TGCCTGCATCGATGCGTCCATGGGCGTAGACCGGGGCTGAAAATGGCCTTGGCACGGAGAATCTGTCTGTTTTTGGCATATCTACAGTAATATATCTAAGTTCTTTCATACGGAGTAATAAGAATACGAGAACCTACACAAGTGGCGGGCGGTGGGGACTGCTTTGAAGCAGTTCCCTTTACCTTAGGATCGAACTGCTAGAGCTTGAGCTGGCGGCAACTGGGCTCGACGCGCCGCTGCCGAGGCCCGCGGGGGCCGGGGGCGGTTTCGCGGCTTCCGGCAGCGCGTTGCTGTTGCCGGCATACGATTTAAGCACAGACTCGACGTCGTTTTCGTCGATGGCGGCGAGGCGCTTCAGGGGCCAGTACTCGCAGACCTGGCTCAGCCAGCGCATGCGCCTGTTCTTGGCGGCGTCGAGGTCGGCCTCGGTGACGAGCTTGTTGAACGACGCCGTCTGGTCGAGCGAGTCATCCGCCTCGTCGGGCTGCGCCGAGAGATGGTCCTCCGTCTGGATCCGCCGCCTCACATCGCCCAGCCTGGCGCAGGCGGCGCCGAGACCCTTGGGCAGCGCGGCGGCGACCTCACGCCGGATGCGGGAGGCGAGCTTGCAGCCCCGGCCGTTGGTCGTGACGCCAATCTGCAACGGCCCGTCCGTGTGCGTCGACAGCAGCGAGAAGGAGCACAGGTGCGGCGCATCGACGACGTTGACGGGGATGCGGTTCCGCCTGCACAGGGCGGAAATGTGCGCCGCCAAGGGGTCGCGGGGCCCCGAAGTGATGAAGACGGCGTCGACGAAGTTGTCGACCTCGTCGCGGCCGAGGGTGAAGAGGTCGGCGTCCTCAAAGGCTTTCTTGTGCCATGTCACCTCGCCGGCGTCGACACGTTTTTGCAGGCCATAATGCAGGTCTGAGGTGTCCGGGGCGAGGAGGATGGTGGTGGCACCGGCGGCGAGGGACTGTGTGCAGCGGGCGGCAGCGAGGGGGTTTGTGCCGATGATGAGGTGTGTGTCGCCCTTGCAGTTGAGGGCTGCGAGGAGAGATGTTATTGTTGTTGCTGTCGTCGTCGTCGTCGCCATTATGAGGAGATTGTGAAGTGAGACGAGACCCGAGAGTCGCTCGTCGTCTTCTTTGAAATGCTTGTGTGAGTCGACGACCTTTTTCAGGTGGTGTAAGAGCGAGCCCCTGTCTCCTCAGAGACTCGTCTTAGTGGCGGCGTTGCGATAATGAGAATGAGACGACGACCAAACACCAACAGTTACGAGGGTCAAGGTACAATTGAACAGTTGGAATTGAATTGAGTCAAAGCCAAAGTCGGGAGACAGATTCCTTAACTTTGTCATGAGAACGGGAGACGAAGCATTAACATCGTTGGCCACTTTGCCATGACTATGCCCTTTTCTTAATAATAACTCTATCCATACCCGTCCATGCCCCCCAGCATAAACAATTACCTACCTGCTATCCGTACTCCCGCCCTCAAAAGGCCGGACGCGGATAGGTCCAATCATGCGGCGGGCAAAAAAGGTTGGCCCGAATTTTCATTCGCTGGCGATGACACCATCCCGACAGCCGTGCCCCCCCCCCCCCAGTCCTTATCGGTGTTCCTGGCGGTCCCGACCAATCAGCGGCATCTGCACCGACTCCCGCGGAGCCGTTACCGGAGATCCCTTGGACGCCCTCCTCCCTCAGGTCGATGCATCTCCGGTGTCAGTTGGTCTAGCGTCTGCATGTCAGATAGGCTTGCACCGAGATGCTTGGAACCCGGAAGTGTCAAAATCGTCAAGAGTTGTGGTATTGTAAAGTGATATGTAGCGGCTCGTCTTTGAGCCATTGTGGATACATCGTGATATGCCCTCTATGCCCGCCTCTCAGACACCTCTGGTTGGTGTCGTGTAAAGTGTTGTTACAATGCAAGTTCGATGCCTTTTTCCCGTGCCTGTTTTTTGTACAACGATCCTGATATTACAAGGTTTTCCGCCCCTTTTCTTTTTTCCCCTTTCCTTTTACATCTGTTGCTCCTCGTCCTGCTTGGCCAGCTTCCTCGCCAGCTCCTGACGGGCCGCCTTCCTGCTACGCTTCCGTCTCGGAGCGGTCTCGGGATCCTGCGGGTTGCCGACGACGCCCGTCTCGTTGATGTTGACGCCAATGATCTTCTTCTTCTTGCTCATGGCCGCCTTGGCGCGCTGCGCCCGGACGCCGCCGTCGTCCAGCGCCTCGGGTCTGCCCAGCCGCACGTTGCGGGGGTTGCGCGTCTTGGCCCCCAGAGCCCAAAGGTCGCCCCACTTGGCCTTGCGCGCGTCGTGGTACGCCTGCTTGCTGAAGCTCTTGGGGACTGTCCAGCGCTCGATCTGCGCGTTGGGCGTGCAGACGTCGAGCGTGACGTGGCCGCGGCGCTTGATGGGCGGGAGGATCTGGCGCGGGAGGGAGAGCATGTCGGGCGCCGTCTCGGACCGCTCGAAGCCCTCGAACGCGCGCCTCGTCGCCTCCTCCCCGGCGAGGGGCCCTTCCTTGGCGGCGACGCCGCGCTGGATGGCGACGTAGCTGAACAGGACGTCGTCGTGGTTGCGCTGCGTCGCGCCCATGATCCTCTGCAGGAACGGCGGCCGGACGAAGCGCTGGCTAAAGTGGCAGAAGTCCTTGCGCCCCATGCTCTTGCCGGCGGTTTGGTACATCGGGCACCCGCGGTGGTTCGTGCAGGGCGCGATGATCATGCCGGGCTCCCTGACCCGCTCGTAGGCCGGATTCCGGCCCTCTTCCTCCTCGCCCTGCGTGAGGGGGTTCTCGCCGCCGGGCCGGATCAGAAACTCGCTGAGCAGGCGTTCGCGGACGTCCGCCACCGCCTCAAAGCCGCGGGGCTGCCCCTTCTCCAGCACGATCAGGACACCGCCGTCCGGGTTCAGCAGGGACCAGAGGTTGTTCAGGATCGCCTTGCGCCTGTGGCCCTCCTTGACAGGGAGGAGCAGGTGTGAGGCGATAATGACGTCGTACATCTTGCGCGGCTTGGGCACCTCGTTGGCATCCAGCTGCAGGTGCGCGTTGTCAACCGAGTGGACGTAGTCCGGGAGGCGTGGCAAAAAGGTCGTGTTATGGAGGAACTTGGCGACGCGGTTCCGCAGCTTCTCGGCGCCGACGACCACGGACAGCTTCCCGGGCGGGTTCTTGGCCTCGACCTCGCCGCGCGACAGCATCGCCTCCCACTCGGCGCGCGAGATGTCCTTCCACGCCAGGAGGGCGGCGCCGCCGGTCCCAGCATCGAGGACGCGGGGACCGTCGGGCTTCTCGAACAGCTTGCGCAGCCAGTCGGTGCCCAGGCGCTTGCGCACCTCAACTAGAGTGCCCATGGACGACGCGTACGCGGGGGGCAGGAACGAGGAGACGAAGGCGTCTGCCTCGATGTCGGACATCTTGTGCTGCCACGCGGCCATGCCGATGGGCTGTTGCCCCAGGCCCTTCTTGGACGCGGGCGTGGCGGGGGAGTGAGGTAGGCCGGGCCCCCCGAACGCCTTCTCGGCAGCATCCTTCACGTGCTTGATGTCGGTCCTGTCGAGGATCGTCGTGACCGGGGCGACATACCCGACGTGCGGCAAGCTCACGGTGCTGGGGTTCGTCGAGAAGTGCCCCTCCCTCGAGAAGGGGTGCATGCGACCGGCGCGCGTCGAGGTCCTCTGGTCCGCAATACCGTCCTCGTCCAAGTCCAAGTCTTCATTGTCCTCATCCTCTTCGAACTCCCGTTCCTCATCCTGCAGCGCCTCCTCCTCTAGGCGACCCCGTTCGGCCTCTACGACGGCACGGGCATTGTCTTCAAAATCTTTTTGCAACTTCATGAGGGCATCATATTCTCTCTTGTTCCTCGCCACGATGTTGATGTATTTGTCGCTGCCGATGGGCGTCTGTTGCCCGGTCGCTCCAGCGCCTTGGGATGTTCCGGAGGAGCCATCGTCTTGTGCAATCTCTTCCTCGCCATCGGTCGGTTTCTTCGGGTCATACTGCACCTCCTGCAGCGTGCCGCCGTCGTTTTGCCGAAGGAGAGTCGTGCCGCCAGAGCCGTGTTGTCGGAGCCGTGCAGAGTGTTTGTCATTCAGATATTTGATGCCGACGTCGTCTGGCGACGTCTCTCTCAGCGGCGGCCCGTACCACCGCTCGTACAGCTCGTACTCCTCTTCGGTGAGGTAGCCCTTGGGCAGCGTATCCCGGAATCTCTGCTTCGCCTCGCGAACCGTCGTCTCGATGTCGGCACTTCGCGCGAGCCCTTCGACTTCGCCTTGTTTCGGTTCGACGTCTTTGAGCTGCTGCAAGGTTGTCGTGAATGCTCTACGGGCAGCGGGCTTGTTCGATAATGGCAGAACAGCTGGGCGATTCTGTTGCGCGAAGCTCGATCGAGCTGACCGACCAGCTAAAGATGCGCCGGCAAAACCATTTCCTGCCCAGCTTGTCAGACGAGCTCGACAGCTCGGGCAGGCGTTTCTAAGGCCTCCTGCAGTCAACATGATTGACCTCTTCTTCTTTTTTTTTTTTTTTTTTTTTCCCTCCTTCCGTAGGGTGGCGACACAGGCTGGGAGTGGGAAAAAAGAGCAAGCTTCGACTTTTCGCAATGGAAATTTGGACAGCTCTGCAAAGAGGCCCCACTTGTTGCAAATAAAAGCTCCCCGATTGGACCAAGCACTGTTGATGATGGAAGTGCTCCGTACTCCGTACACACTAGGTACCTATGTATCCGTACCCCGGCATGTGATACCTCAGGCTGGTTTATTGACATTGACATGGGGCACGCACGTACGTACGGTACCTAACGAGAGAAATTGGAATAAAAACTGTCGACTGGCAAACTATGTGGCGAAATCGAATCAATAATAGGGGCGTGCAGGTTGGCATCCTCGTGAGCGACGACTCATGTTTTGCCTATTTGTCCGAGTCCTCTCTGTTATGGCGATGCTCGTGGCCGAACGGCGGCGGCAGGCGGCCCAGGAAAAGCGGATCACCGTTGACGGACCGGGGCCGGAACCCCACCAGCGGGGACGCCGAGTACCTGCAGATACTAAACAATTCCCCATCCCGCGTAAGTACCTCGTGAGTGCCTCAAACCCAAGGGTGTGAGTGCCATCCCGCCAGCCCTCACGCACTAGTGCACCGAGGCAAGATGGACGTGTGTCTGATGTGACTGGTCGAGTCCTGCAATCGCTGGCGAGCCAAGGGAAACGCGGGGGTATTGTCTTCCTAGCAGTGCATTACGTAGGTGCCTAAACAGGTCGAGCGCCGTGTCTCAGCGAAGCCCTTGCACACATGTGTTGCTCATTCTGCCCCCCGCCTTGGAAAGTCCAAGCTCATACTGATGCTGGCTTGTTCTGCGGATTACTGTACAGTTCCATATTTGATTCGGAAACCCTTTTGCAAGGCCGCATGTTCCAAGGGCCCCTCAAAAACATTTCCGCTAATCCGACAATTGAATCGCGATGGAAGATCAAGCCCGCATGCAGCCCGTCACCATCCGGGGTCGCTACCTTTGGACGGGGAACTCCAGGGTGATAAGTCCTTCCTTCTTGATATAAAGTCATGTCGCTGTTGGCGCGAGTTTTTCTACTAACTGCTGTTCATGAAGTTCATGATCCGAGGGGTCGTATATCAACAGCATATGCGAAATGGCGACACAGAGCCTGGTTGTCGTGACCCATTGGCAGATGAAAACGTTCAAGATCTCAAGCTCAGCATACCCCTTCTCAAAGAGTTAGGGGTCAACACCCTTTTCATATGTACATGTTCCCCATTGGATTTGCCCGCCAGAAGCCGAGTCGGTAGCTAACTGTATTCAAGATATCATCGACGCCACCAAGAGCCACGATCAGGCCATGAGTATACTTGCCAGTGCTGGTATACATGTCATTGCGGTCCGTCAAGCCATTTGTCTCCCTCGAGCGTGCATGCAGCCGAGCTTACCGTCTTTCCCGTGTAGTGCTTGTCCAATCCCCAGAGCTGTATCGACCGCACCTCGCCACTCGTGTGCTACACGCCGATCCTCTTGCAGAACTACTTCGCCGTTGTCGACTGCCTGGCGGCGTATCCCAACACCCTGGGCGTCATCGTCGCGAACAGTGTCATCAACACGACCGCAAGCACAACGGCAGCCGCCGTCATCCGTGCCGTGGTCAGAGATGTCAAGAGGTACATGGCGCTCGCGGCCGACCTCAAGGGCCAGAGGGTGCTGCCGGTGGGCCTGAGTTCGGCCCGGATCATGAGCTTCTTCCGGGACGAGTTCAAGTACTTCACCGGCGGCGACCCGAGCGAGGCCCTCGATTTCTTCTGCGTACGTCACCGTCTCTCTTGACTGCTCCTGTGGATGGCTGTGAATTTTGATGAAACTGACACCTGTTCCAAGTTCAACGAGTTCTCCTGGGTTGGTAATTCCTCCATGGAGATTTCTGGATACAGCCGCATTGTAAGATTTCAATTGTCCTGCAACTAGATTGTGTGTCGTCCGACTAACCTCCCCTCTCCCTCTCTCTTCCCTTTAGCTCCAGTTGCTCACCGAGACCCACGTCCCGGTCTTCTTCTCCGAGTTCGGCGCCAAGACCAGCGACCAGGCGAGGCCTTTTCTCGAGACCCTTGCCATCTACTCCCCGGAGATGTCGCAGGTGTACTCGGGCGCCTGCGCCTACGAGTTCTTTTACGGTCCAAACCGATACGGCATCGTGCGGAAGAACTCGGACGGCACGCTTGAGCCGCTCCAAGACTTCCGGAATCTGAAGGAGAACCTGGCGCCGTCGCCTCCTCCCGTGACTCTCGAAGAGTGGGCATCCAGCGAGCTCACCGCGCCCAGGCGGCCGAACTTGCCCCCGCAGAGCAGTAACTGGAATGGGGAGGCGGTGCTGCCCGAGTGTCCGCTGGACTGGGCCGAGATTCGGTCGCACGTCGAAGACTCTGATTGGGTTCATATCGACCGGGGGACGACGGACGCAATGGTGGAGAGTCTGGCGGGTCTGTTCAAGAAGGCGAGTCGACATTAGATAGGCGAGTTCCGCTCGACTCAAGAGTAATTGGACAATCTCTTCCCACTCTCAATATCGACTCACTCGACAGTCCATCATCAGCAGCCTCTCATTGCGACTCAAGCAATAACGGGGCAGCTGTCAGTCAGGACGAGCGACACCAGACTCATAACGCCTATAACTGAATTCTCTTAGCTGGAAGTTTCATCCATCTTCAATTCCGTTTGTTCATGTTGCTTTCATCTCCGTCTCAAATTGTACCGTTCAGCATACAGCAGCTGGCAGCTGCAAGTCCCGCCCCGTGTAACTTCCTTTCTTCATCTTCCTTTGACACAGCGGATTTGCCAGGCTAAAGGAATCTGCAGATGATGTCAGCATGGAGTCCCAGCAGGTTTAGCATGTGACTTGCACATTGTGAACTGATTGCCTGTGGCCAACCTGTCAAGTCTTGGAGCTCGCGAGAAGGAAGGTCGCCTAACGTAGTGAAACACTGGATGCAAGGAAGCTGGAATTGATGTCTCTTCTTGTTTGGAAAAGTCTTCAGGAGAAGGCAACAGCCAAGTTGTCTAGTGTGGACTGACAGTTGGGAGAGCATCCTGGCAACATCCCCCCCATGGTTCACTTAGAAAGGCGGTGATCCGTTGCAGTGAACAAAGCGCAACAACACATCCTGCCTGCTTGCCTACCTGCCTAGGTAGGCACCTACCTTAGGTACCTACCTTAAGTACCCAGATAATGTGCTCTCAGGGTGCAAGGAAAACGGCGACTGCCTCTTTCTGCCAAACCTACAAATCAAACTACGGCTGTGCAAGGGTAAGGAAGGAAGGCCCTGCCTGGCCCTTCTAGGTTCGGCATTCGTACCTATCTACCTAGGTACCTACCTCTGCAACTCCAAGCCCATCCTGCTTCCTTTATCATCTTTCCTATCCTCACCTCTTCTCCAAACTCATTACACTTCTCACATTCAACTTGGAGCAACTAGTACTCAGCACCTAGGTAAGTGTGACTACATTTTCCTCTCTCCCCATATCCCACGACTTTCACTCGACTTTCGTTATTTTCAAACAAGCCATCGCCACGTTCCTTCTTCCTCTCACCTCGTTTTCCATTCCTCCTCTCATCTCGTTTTCCATCCCCCCTCTCATCTCGTATTTCACTTGGACTTTCTTTCACCTCGGCTTTCATCCCAATTTCATATCCCCCAAACCCGAACTCAAACTGACTAACCAACACCCATACAGTCATCAACATGGCCTCCAGTGACGTCAAAATGGGCTCTGAGGAATTAAGGACGAACTTCCTCAAGAAGCTCCATGATGACCTCCACGAGGATGGCCCTTTGGTCCCGAAAAAAACCCGTCACGGCCAAAGACTGGAAAATTCAGAATCTCGTCAAGTTTGTCGATGCCATCGAGGCATGTGGTGAGGACGAGGAAAAGCTGAAGCTCTTTTATGAGAACCTGTCCATTTCTCTGGGCGAATCGCAACTCCCGTACCGTGCGTTTCTTGAGCACTACGAGGAAAAGTTAGAGGTCCTCAGATTCATCGCTAGCTCTTCCTTCGTACAAGAAGAGGGACAGAAGGCTAGGCGCATTGAGCATGCTTTGATCAACCGCTTTGTCTGGGCCGCCATCTGGGTAGCCCCCATCGAAACCTTCAGGGAGTGGAAAACGACCATCGATAACGATGAACCACTGCACTTCGATAATATGACGGCAAAGATGAAGGCTCTTTTGCCCGAACTTGTCAATATTTGTAAGTCAATTCTCATTCTCATCCTACCCCATCCTACCTCATCTCATTTCCATCGCATCCTTATCGCCATTCTCGTCTCATCCCTACCCGCTCTCAAAATGTTCATAACTAACGAGATAATGCATAGGGAAGGGAAAGAATCCTAGCGGCTCCTCTAACGTCCAGCCGCGGCCAGCGAGAATGGAGGCCCCGAAAAGAGCCGTAAGTTTGCCCTCATCTTCGCACAAACCGTATAGTCTTGTATAGCTAACTTTCATAGGCTCTTGAGCGCGACAATTATCGATGTGTGATACTTGGATCGCATGACCCACAGGTGGCTCACATATATCCATACGCATCCATCTTGAACGCCAGCCGCTGCTCTACAATGACTCGCTTTGTTTTGAGGGAGGTGTGGGGCGACGACGCCATTCGAAAGTTCATGGATCTGATGAATATGAACCATGTCGACGTCGCAGAGAATATGATTAGCCTCTGTTGCCAGATTCATTTCTGGCTCGACCATCTGAAGATCGCGCTGGAGCCTGTGGAAGCCATGTCAAACCCTCACAAGCTGTTTGTCCGAGTGCGACACTTGGCGGATTCGAATCTCCGCCCGAAGCGGAAAGGGGTCGACCCAACCGTCCCACTCGACACAGATCCCAAAAAGGTACTCGAGGATTTAATGACGGGAGCCACGGGATCTGCCAAACAGAAAATCGAGCTCAGTGCTCGCCACTTCAATAGCGGTGAGCCGATCAGAGACGGCCATATGTTCTTGATGGAGACCAACGACCCACAAGAATCGCCTCTACCAAGCATCGAAATCATGAAAGTGGCTTACCGAATGGCCCTGATGATTCAGCTTGCTGGAGCTGCCGAAGACGACGATGAATACGACGACGAAGAATACGACGACGCTCCAGACGCTCCCGACGCTCCCGAGGATTCCGTTGGTACTCCGGACTCCGAGACCAACTTTTCCGCTGTGGATTACGATTCACTTCGGGGTTCCGAGTAGAAGCCCGGGAGAAGTTTAAGATCAAAGTTCGGATAGGCCTAGAAGAAGAGCTTAATGAGAGCGCCATCGTAATAATTGAAAAGAACTATTGAGATACTGAGCATGGACTCTATTCTATGCCTGTCCATTCACCATCGTGACAGCATCGCGGACATACACATTCTGCTGCGCCATGAAGCCAAAGGGGCGGTGCAGCGTCAGGCCGCAAATGCGTGATGGCTTAGTTGGGAACAGTTTGTTATTAGGGATTGTCCCAGCAACGAATGGTATTGGGGGTACCATCAAGTGATGTTCCGCCATCGTAACTAAATCCTGTTTGTCGCCCTCACCAAAGCTGAATACATCAACCCAAGCATACCAGAAACGCCTTGCGCCTGTAACCAATATCCTCACACTATTCGTCACCTCCCAGGTCTGCCAGGGTCTTGAACGCCGGGGCCCTCGGAGCCTGCCGGGTCTTGGGGCCAGCACCATTAGCGGGTTTGACGACCGGCGGGGGCGGGTTCACGCGGTTGAACCGCGACATCTCGGCCGCCTTGTGGGGATCAATCTACCAGTCCGTCAGCAAGCGGTTCTTCTTGCCATTCGCCGGGTCGCTCGTGAGCCAACGCACCGAGAACAGCGAGACGAGGTACAGCCCAATAAAGGTGATGATGCTGTCCAAGATGCCGCGGAACTGCCACGACACCGGACGCTGCAGGCTCGCGCGCGGGGGCTGGTCGCCGCCGAGGGTCCGGCCGGGGGTCTTGAAGGAGGCGGCGGAGCGGCCGCCCTTGTCGGGAAGCTTGAGGGCGTTCTGAATGGCTTGCGTCAGGGCGGGGGGGTTCGCGCCCTTGATGGTCTCGACGGCCTGGCCGCCGTGGAAGACGATGAAGGTGGGCATGGCGCTGACGTTGTGTGCGCGGGCGATGGCGGATTGGTTGTCGACGTTGATCTTGCAGAAGGCGACCTTGTTCGGCTTCGAGTACTCCTTGGCGAGGCGTTCGAAATGGGGCGCGATCACCTTGCAGGGGCCGCACCAGTCGGCGTAGACTAGGAGACGACGTTTGTCAGCGGGTTGTCGGATGCGCGGCGGGGTGATGATGGGCTCGATAGATGGACTTACAATCGGCGATGACGACATTGTTTCCGCTGAGGATACCTTGCCATTGACCGGCAGACTGGACACTGATGAGACTCATGTTTGCGAAGACTGCGGTGCGACCAGAACAACGTTCGTAGACGCAGGGTAGTGAAGCTGGAGGGATGTCGGAATGAACACCTGGAAGGTGCGGCGCAACACTGTTGGAGTTGACGGGTAGCTTCCGCGGCCTAGACCCAGCGGAAGGGTGGTGGCGGGTAGCAAAAGCGGAAGGCGGCGTGATATGACTCCGCATTTCTGCCGGATTTACCCCAGGATCCGCACAGAGAGTGGGACACGGCTCAGAAACTTTTTGGGAACACCGAGTGAAGCCGAAAGCTTCTACAGGACATCCCCCATCTCAATATAGATAATCTAGATAGAAAGCTTTAGTATATTCATTTTACCGTCAAGATGGCTTACGATCAAAGAACAAAGGTATGAGATAAATACAGCCCCTTCTGATACACGTCGCACCTATACTTACACAAAATAGAGGAGAAAGACCGACGATGACAACTATGTCGACACAACGAGGATCTCTTCCAGGTTCCAACCCTATGAGGGTGGCCGTACCTGGACAGTCTCGGTTGCCATTCCCAGCAGCATTCTCACAGAGTGTGTTTCTCCATAACCAATCCATCCATGTTGAACCTCAATTAACCCTATTCTAGTGCCATAACTGCCGAGCGCCGCACTGCCGTTGCTGGTCGCATCGCCCGAGCCCTTGCCGTCTTCTCCATCGACGAGATCGTCCTCTTCGACGACAGCCCGGTCGAGTCCCGCCCCAAGAACGTCGACACCAAGAGCTATACCGGCGACATTGACGGATGCCACTTCCTCGAGCACCTCCTCGGGTACCTTGAGGTCCCGCCGTTTATGCGCAAGATGCTCTTCCCGCTCCACCCGAACCTGCGCCTCGCCAACCAGCTCCCCGCGCTCGAGATGCCCCATCACCCGAACCCGACCGACTGGCTGCCGTACCGCGAGGGTGTCGCTGGAAAGGGCACACCCCAGGGCACCTTGATCGAGGTCGGCTTGAAGGACCCCGTTCTGATCGAGGACGAGGTGCCCCCCAACACGCGCGTGACGCTGTCCTACCCGGACTACAACACAGACAAGGCGGAGGCCTGTGATCCGTCGGCGCCGAGGGAAGAGGGTGGCTACTACTGGGGATATCAGGTACGGCGCGCCGACTCCCTGTCGGCCGTGTTCACGGAGTGCAAGTACGAGGGTGGTTACGACGTTAGCATCGGCACGTCGGAACGTGGGCGCACGCTCTCGGAGGCGTTTCCCAGCGCGGCGCCTATGGACTTCAAGCACCTGCTCATCGTCTTCGGCGGCCCCAGGGGCATTGAGTTCGCCGCCCTCAATGACAAGGAGCTCGAGGGCATGGAGATGACTCCCGCTAAGACGAGGGAACTGTTCGATCACTGGGTGAATGTGCTCCCTGGTCAGGGAAGCCGTACCATCCGCACAGATGAGGCTATCTGGGTGGCTCTCACGAGCCTGAGACGGTTGTGGGTTGAGGTGTGATGTGATCTGGCGAACAAGGGGCGCTGTTGGGTCAGCATCCTGGCGGAGACATGATACCCATAATAGGAAAAGTTTTGTTTGATCAATGCGGATTCCAAAGTGATGGTGACGTTCTCGGCGATGACAGTCGAGACTTCTTGTTCCAATTCCCGAAAGGCCAAAGGGGATGGGCGTCATGATACATACTTGGTTGGCATTCGAATGAGACAGCGATTTCAGCCGACAGTACGTTCGAGTCGCCACATTCCCCTCAGGCCCCTTTGAAGTGCAGCCAGGGGGAGGGCACCGCTCACTCGGTAACGGCCTTGGACAACATACACATATCAAGCCAATGTTGCGTCAGAGTCAGAGGAAGCCCGCAGAGTCGGGAAGACTACCATGAAAGAGCTATGGTATGCTATAGGTCTGGCTCTCCGATTCCCCGGGTGGAATAGCTGGGTTTGTCCACATCGTGCCCATACACAGTCCTCAAGAAAAACTGGCACTTGATGCTGGCTTTGAGTCCCTTTGACCTTGGCTTTTACGTTTTGAGAAGAAAAGAAAAAAAAAAAGAGGGGGGAGGGAGGGGGGCAGAGACGGGAGAACATAATAGAAACAACCAGTGACAGAAGAAATGTTTAATTATATTAAGTACTAGTACAGCGAAAGAAAAACAAAACAGCCTAGTGTTGGTACAGCGCGATACCGGCCGTGAACCCGGCAATGTTGTCCCTGTAAAAGGCGACGTCGGTCCCGTCCCTCGTGACCATGGCCGTCGTGCCGACGATCTGGAGGTTGTAGACCTCGACACCCACCGAGGGGGTCGCGTCGCCATCCGGCCCGTCGCGGATGTCGACGATCCTCTGCTGGCACCGGGCGCCGGCCCCGATCTGGCAGCAGGCGGTGCTGTAGTTGTTGAAGAAGGAGTAGTGCCCGGCGCCGAAGGCGACCACGTTGCGGCTGGCGACGACGCGCAGGCCCCACGCCATCTCGCACGGCGGCGCGCTCGGGTCGTGGTCCCGGCAGTCGGCCTCGAAGTCCGGGTCGTGGTAGCCCTCGACGCGGGGGAAGGGGATGGAGGCGACGGGGTTCGGCTGGTAGTAGGGCGTCTCGGACTGCACCTGGCCCATGTAGACGTCGCGCGTGTTGACGAGCTGGTACTGGTAGAGCGTGTGGTGCTCGCTGCCGGAGGCCGAGAGCCAGATCCTGCCGTTGGTCGACTCGACGAGCAGGCCGCGGCCGGCGTAGATGGTCACCTGCGTGTAGTTGGGGTCCTCGAGGTCGTGGTCGGCGACCCAGAGCCAGCAGTTCTCCATGAACAGGTTGGAGCTCGACTTGGTCATGTGCATGCTCATGAAGGCGGCGATGCAGTTGGCATCCACCGTGTCGGCGGTGATGGTGACCTCGGGCGTCGTGGGGCACTGCGCGAGCTGCTGCTGCGTGCCGGCGAACCCGCCGACGCGGACGTGCACGTCCCACATGCCCGCCGGCTCGCCGAGGGAGTTGAGGTTGTACTCGATGACCTTGGCGCCGGGAGCCGGGCCGCGCGTCGAGACGATCATGTCGGACCACTCGACGGTGCCGCACTGGCCGGGGAGGCCGACCTTGACGACCGGGTGGGGGTTCGTGATGTCTTGGAACTTGGCGCCGCCGCCCATGATGATGGAGGCGAGGGCCTCGCCGACGACCCGCGCGCCGGGGGGGATGAAGACGGTGTCGGAGACGTAGTACGTGCCGGCGTCGACGAAGGCGACGAGGTTGGCGGATGGATTGGCGGTCACGTAGTTGAGGAGGTTGTTCAGCGCCACCGTGTCGTCCGTGCTGCCGTCGCCGGCGGCGCCGAAGGCGCGGGCCGAGATAAAGTTGATCGCAGGGAGGTCCGCGTAATGCGGCTTGGAGCGCTCGTAGTACTTGGTGCCGCCGGTTGAAGAGGCGCCCTGAAGGGCAGGGTAGACGGGGAAGTAGGAGGCGTCGTCGCCGGTGTAGTCCGTCGGGCCGGTGGGCGTGTAGATGTGTCCCATGGCGAAGCCCTGGCTGCGGACGCTTCCCGCGGATCCGGGGATGATGGTGTTGTTCTGGGGGTCGCGGAGTATAGCGTTGACGCCGACGAAGCCGACGTTCTCCATTACGAGCGTGCCGGCCGTGGTGGGTACGGAGGCGCCCGGGTCGCGGCTGGAGTGGATCGCGGTCTCGACGTCGACGAAATCTGAGTCAATGAGAGTGATGGAGCTGGTGCCGGTGTCCTGCATACGGATGCCGATGGCACAGTTCTCGATATATATGCTCTTGTAAGTCCAGCCCCAATCCCAGATCTGGTTGATGGCTACCTGGGCGTTGAAGAAGCCTATAATCTCGATATCAGCAACACGGTCAAACGAACGGACGGTCTGGGCAGACTTACTGGCCCCGCGAAGGGTGTATTGCTGGTTACCGAAGCTGGCGCCGTACAGCCCTCCGTGAAATTCCAGGTCGTTGAGGAGACCTCCGGAGCCCTCCTCGATGAAGAGGCCAATATGCTTACTGTCTGGCCCCTCGGCAAGGTAGAAGGCACAGTTGGTAATGGCAGTGGCTTGAGACGACGGCCAGTGGATCGCATAAGCAGCCGCCGAGGCCGGGATGGCGGTGGTATCGAAGACGAGGTTGCGGATCTGCCTGAAGAATACGTTGGTCGCACCCCATGCAAGGCCGTTTGCGCCGTACTACGGGAGTTGAGCAGTCAGCTTTGTGAATCAAAAGAGGATTGGGCGAAGCAGCTTCCGGGGAGAAGATACCTGGTTTCCATCGAGAAGGCCAAGGGTTGTGTTGGTGGGGAAGTCGGCGGCGGCCTTGATGACGGGGCGATCGTTTGGGTCGCCAATGATCTGGGTATAGAAGTAGTCGATGATGGAACCGGAGATGAGATAGGTTCTGAGGGGTTTTTGTTAGTCACTATTGGCCGCCGGGGGACTGAATATATCCTACCCAGGGGGAAAGTAGACGGTTGCCGGCGATGTGGTCTCGCCCTTGCAAGTGCCCGGTCCGCATCTCTGGCCAGAAGAGATGGCGAGGTTGATGGCAGCAGTGTCATCCGTGACGCCGTCTCCCTTGGCGCCGAAATCTCTGACGTTGCGGAAGACTTGGTAGTTGGGATCCGGATGGTATGCTGAGATGCCCTGGTGCGGGACGTCCTCCATCCAGTAGGCGGCTTTGGCGAGTGCGGCCGCCGCGAGCCAGAACGCGGTTGTGACACGCATTTTGGATGTTGGTTGTGATAGATGCTATGGATAAACCGAGATCAAACGACGGGTGAGATGATGCTCATAGATAATGAGTGACCAATTGGAGGGAGTGGACGAGTGAAAACTCGGGAAACGACTGTAGAACGAATGTGTAAGCCTGCTCCGGCCGATGGAACCGGTGAAGGGGCTGGAGCCTGGAAAACCCAAAGCTTAAAGATCCAATAGCTGCGAGGCAAGAAGGAAAAGGAAGAAAAAAAAAAAAAAGAACGAGTGGAACGATTCTGACAAGAATCTAAAACGACGATTGGACGGACACGGTATCCTAGAAAACTATACACATTGGACCATGGTGGGATGAGCCGCCAGATCGGTACGATTACTCAAAATTGTGTCCAGACGGGTAGCCCTGGACTGAACACCAGAGATGGGGAGATGGAGCAGCATGAGCGAAGAGGGCGGCGGAGACCCTTTTGGTCTTTATTGACCAGAATGCCGTTGGCCTGGTATGAAGGAGATCAACGGGTGAGAGTGGTGCTCAAGAGCCCCGGGCAAGCGATAGCCGCACTTTCGGTGGGAGAACGGGCCGGAAGGGATAGGGTTGAAAGGGGGATAGGGAATGAGTCCAAGAGATCGAGACAAGCATGTCTCGTTGTCTCTCATCTCCAACGCTTCAACAGCCCAATGGCGCTCATCACAATCTGGCCTCCCCGCCCTCCCATTCCCCGCGTTGCGCGTGCTTTGGTTGAGTCACTTCCTCCCTCCACGCGAGCGAGCAGAACACGATGTGGGCCAATGCGATGGAAATGAAGCAGTCGGCCACGCAGATGATGATGACGGCGGGTCCAGATCGCCAGGCAATCAATCAATCCTTTTCACTTTGCCCATGAAACGTCGGCCCATCGTTCAACTGAATGGCCATGCGCCAGCCATATACCGGCAACGCTTGAACTGACGTTTGACGAGCTGACGCGGCAAGAAGCAAAAGCACAAGCTTGCGACATGCTTTCAAAAATACGATATGCCGAGGGCTTGATTTGTGGCTGGCTCGTATAAGACCGGTCTTATAGGTGTGTGCATTGCGGCCACGACTATGAGGACGACGCTACACGCACCGAGGGACGGAAAAGGGCGTTGGAATACAGGATGGTGTGCTGGACCCGGATGGGACAGGATGAGGACGCCCCCAGACGCGCAGAGCAGACTCGCAGACGACTTGCGGAGCAGTCAGACGGTGGGAAACGGTGAGATTCCAAAGGGGGCGGGGGGACACTTGTCTCAATCTGAAGGGAGCCAGCCAGTGAAGAAAACCGGATGCACCTTCGCGTCGCGTGGAATCCTGAGCGTTGCCGCCGCCGTCGAGGACGTTCCTGGGTCTGCAGTTTCCCCAAAGCTGTTCGGTGGCGGGGGGGGCCTAGCATGGGGTTTGCTCACCATTTGGGATTTCATCCCGACGTCTGACGAGAGGAGGTGACGGCTGCATGCGAAATAAGCATCGGGTGGTAGAGAGAGAGAGAGTGTGTGTGTGTCTCCCATCGACGACAGGGAATAAAATAAGCTTTTAATCAGGGGGGGGACGATAAAGAAACCTTCACTCGCGGGCCCCGGTCCGGCTGTCACCTTGATGCGTAATGTGAGCCACCGACCCCCTTGGATATCTTTGAGCGGAGATGTGAGGTTGCATCGCCAAATAACCCCTACGGAGCAAGACCGGGCTCAGCCCAAAGCTCCTGCCTAGGTAGAGAGATGTTTGCCAGCTGGAAAGAACCAGAGAGGACACCTGTAAGTTACCATTCCGGAGAACGCTTCGGGCAGGGGGGAGGGGAATGCCGACCGACTCCCTCACCAAGAAATCGAGGGAGAGGGCACAGCAGGCATTGGCCGGCGGCTTGGCCCATTCGACGACGCGTCACAACTGCTGGCGCCAAGTCTGGGGAGGGGGTTATGGGCTCCGGCGAGAGCTCGCAGTTGATGCGATTCCTGGCACGCGGGGAAATTGGGCTCAACATGCGAAAGAATGACTTCTTCCTCGTCCCGCAGACCCTGCTTTCCCATCATGCGGCCGACACCTTGGGCCAAGACATGGGTTACCACGAATCAGGTTGCAATTGACAGGTATGGCACTTACGGCTCAGATCAGGTTTCGTGACGCGCAGATACGGCCAAGGAACGCCTCGATCAAAACGTTTTGTTCTCTCCGAGTGGGCTGTTGTTGAACGCCAGGGCGTGTGTTTGTGTGTCTCTACATTATGTGTATATGCTCGACGGGTGCCCAGAATCACCTCGAGATATACGTGTAGCCGCGGGGGGGTTGAAGACGGCGATGCCCATGATAAATGAAAGTCCCGACCTTTCCGAAAATAACGCCAACCATGCCATCCGAAGCTCCCCCTCCTCTTTCCACTACTTCCGGTATTTTCCACCCTCGGCCCATTGTATATCTTATCTATCCCTTTCTTCCAAATCTTACACGCTCGTGCCCGGTGCGGTGCTCTCCCCCACCTCGCCCCGCTGTCTACAACGTCTTGAAGCCTTCCTCCAACGCGACGGTCTGGCCCAGCTGCTTGCTGCCTGCCATGGCGGCCTTCTCGCCCGCCCTCTTGCGGAGGACGTTCTCGATGAAGGCCTCGCCGGCCTTGTAGCTGCTGCGGACGAGCGGCCCGCTGGCGCAGTACAGGAAGCCCATGTCCAGCGCGCGCTGCTTCCACATCTCGAACTCGTCGGGGGTGACGTACTTCTCTACCTGGAGGTGGCGCTTGGTCGGGCGCATGTATTGCCCGAACGTGACGACGTCGACGTTGGCCTCGCGCAGTTCTGTGCGGGGGGGGTCATTGTCAGCATTTTGTGTCATGTCGCCTCGCACGCGGGGGGAAGGCAAAGGAAAGACATTAGGGGAAGGAGAAGGAAAGGGGTTACTCACGTCTCAGTGCATCCATAATCTCCGCCTCCTGCTCGCCCAGACCCAGCATCAGACTCGTCTTGGTGATCATCTCGGGCTTGACCCCCTTGACGTGCGCCAGCACCTTGATGCTCTGCCTGAACGTCGCCCTGCGGTCCCGCACGTACGGCGTCAGCGCCTCGACCGTCTCGACGTTGTGCGCGTAGACGTCCAGCCCGCTCTCGGCCACGATGCGGACCATGTCCAAGTCGCCCATGAAGTCGCCCGTCAGCGCCTCGACCAGCAGGCTCGGCTTCTTGGCCTTGATCTTGCTGATGGTCTCGGCAAAGTGCCGCGCGCCGCCGTCGGCGAGGTCATCGCGGTCGACCGACGTCAGCACGACGTACCCCAGCCCCCACCGCGCCAGAGCCTCGGCCGTGTTCTCCGGCTCGTGCGGGTCCAGCGGTGCCGGCGCGCGGTTCGTCTTGACGCTGCAGAAGCGGCAGCCCCGCGTGCACGTGTCGCCCATGAGCATGATGGTCGCCGTCGCCGCACTCTTGGACGAGCCGCCCCAGCACTCGGAGATGTTGGGGCACTTTGCCTCCTCGCAGACCGTGTGCAGACCCAGGCCACGCAGGTCCTTCTTGATGGCCTTGAAGTTGTCGTTGCCGGCGGGGATGGGCGTCTTGAGCCACTCGGGCAGCCGCGTGATCGTCTTCTTCTTGCCCGTCGGGCCCTTCACCTCGACGGTGCGTATCTCGTAGGCCTCGGCTTCCGTGAGGGCGGCGTCTTTTGCGGCGCCGCTGATGAAGTCGTCGAGCGAGGCAACCGTCTTGTCCTTGAAGTACGTCGGCCGGCGCGCGACGGATTTCGGGGACTGTGGTGAGGCTTCGGATGTTGTGCCGAGCGTGGGAGGGACGGTGGCGAAGGCTCGGGAGCGAGCCGACGAGGCGAGAGCCCGTCGAAGGGGTGCCTGAACGCGCGCGAGTGGCGCCATCGCTGAAGACATTAGGGTTGAACGCTGTCTTCTGTGGGCTGTCCTGTCCTCCTCGTAGGTTTTCAAAGGTGCAGCTCCCAGTAATGCTGCTGGTGGAAGCTTGTCGAGGAGTTGGATTCAGCAAAGCTATGATGGGGCCAAAAAAAAAACCGGACCAAGAAAATACGACCATTGGAAATCAGGCCCTGCAGCCGGTCCCCGGATTGAATCGGCATATCGGGGGGTGGGGTCCATTCGTCAGTATCGGCCAATCAGCGTCCGAGTGCTATTTGACAGCGGTAATGCTGATTAAGTCAGCGGCGTGCCGGGGCTTTCCGCCCCAACGGATTCGAGGGGGCAGTCTCGTTAATATCCTACTACGGATACTAGTTCTTTCCAATCAAGAGACGGGCATTGACAATAGTGCGCCGGCTGTTGAGTAGTTCTGTTCTCACTTCTCACCTACAGTCAGGCCAGGCTTTTACTGTCTGTCAACTTGCAACTAGTTTTGGACACAACATCATGGAGAGGAGAGCATCGAATTGTATCAAGAACTTCATGAAACTGTCTATGCCGATAAACTCTCCGTCTCATATATTTACAAAACCATCCCCAATGGCCTCCAAGCCCTCCTCATAAGGCAAAAAAGTCATCGTGAACAAAACTGGCGTTCAAGTCAAGTAGCTCGTCATCGCGAATATACAAACAAACACTCTCTGTATTCTCCTTCCGGTCAAAGTGTCGGGTAACGCGAGCAAGTCGATGGTGAGGATGTCTCAAGCAGAGGCCAACCCCAGAACCAACGTTCACGATGCCCTTCTCCCTCGCCGGCAACCATACAACAATAATAGGGGTATCAACAGCTCGAAGAGAATGTGAAACTTTTCTTCCAACACAAAACCCCCGTAAATCCCTAAATCATCCATCCTGATCGTTTCTGTCATACATCTACTCCAGGGAACAAGACGTGGCGAAAGATCTCATAAAAGTTACTTACAGCCAGCAAGCACGACAACATTGTCAGACCTCGAGATCAAGGCCGACGAAAAGCCTGGCAGCTTGCACAATGTGAAACAGTTTCGTCCCATCCCGGATCCAGCACGCACATCATCTCATGACCTCGGATGATGTGCAGGGTTGGGGATACATCGATTCTGAACGAGGCCAACGGCGCGTAGGCTGGCGGGGTGGATTGACTGCGCATGTCGCACGACCTCCTGTGCTGCTGGGGAAGAATCGAAACATTAAATAAAATGGGGTTGACAGCCGTCCGCGGTGCTCAAGTGAGTGGCCGCGGACATGTGGTGTCGACTTGAAACAAAGCATGAAAAAAAAAAGTTGATCGCTGTCAAACGTCCCTAGTGACAAGCGTCTTTGGGTTCCTTTCCTGCAGGCTGGCGATGCAAGCGTCGCACGTTGTGTTGGTGAAGAGGAACAGGGTATTTGGTGGTGCCATTGACTGAAGTGGTATCCAATCTTTACGGTCGTTCATGTCGTAAAAACCGGCTGCGCTCACACGGGTAGCGATGTGGCGTCGAACCAGGGTCGGAGGCGAAGACAAAAGAAAACGTTGGTAAGTTGTCGCATCCATGTGCTCGGCGTGGCAGTAATGTTTGGTTGGTACCATCCTTCCAACCATTTCGCAGCCCCACATGAGTCCTCTCGTCGTCTCACATTCTCTATGCTCCTCCTCCTCCGAGCGCATCAAGCAATGCGACTTTTACAAAAGGGCGGCGGCGATGATGCCAGCAACACCGGCGAAGGCAATGTTACCGGCCTTCAGAGCAGCACCAGCGTTAGGCTTCGTCGTAGTCGAGGCGGAAGCACCAGCCGTCGCGGAGATGACTGTAGAGGGGCTTGAGGCGCCCGAGCCAGTGGGCATGAAAGCCGCCGTGCTGTTGCTGCTGGCGCTGTAGGTCATGGTGGTGGTGTGAGCGCGCCCCAGAGTAACGGTCTTGGTCTGCGTGGCAGTAGAAGTGATGGTGGTTGTGCTGCCGTCGGACGAGCTCTGGGCCAGTGCCATGACGGGCAGAAAGGCAGCGAGAATCGTGGTGAGCTTCATGGTTTCTGTGGACTCTGTCGGCAGTCTTGGTTGCGAATGAGATATATGCTGTCGAATCCTACTGAGAAGTAGATGCGAGAAGTACGGATATATGCTTGGTGATTTGAGTCTTTGAGCGTTTGAGCGAGGGGATCGGTAACAGTTGTCGTTGTTGTTGCTGTAAGTGCGAAGCGAGGATAGTTCCCCACGAGACGGCGTCGGATGGTGGATAGAAATAGGAAGGAACGTGAGTCCGAAATACTTGCTCGGCGAGTAGTTCAGGTTTGGGTAATGTTTGTTTCAACGACTGTGCGCGAAGGAGGGAGACTTTGCCAACGAGGTCTGCGAGATTGAAGGGGGGGAGGAGTGATTTGAATAAGAGAGTCGCTGGGGAGAAGGCCCAGACAAATCGAGACTTGGGAAAAGACATGGGTTTTGGATGTTGTGTGGGGAGAGACGGCGGGTGAGGGCAACTGCAAGCCAGCATGTACTCTGTACAGTAAAATGAAAATGAGGGACATTAGTGTAGCCAGGACCGGGGGGGGAGGAGTGACGATGATTAGGCGACGACGATACAGCGATGGAGGCGCCGGCAGGGACCACCTCCAAAGCGAAAGCCAAGCGCAGACGACGTTGACTATGGTCTGTGGTCTGTGGTCTGTGGAGCGACAGGTGGGAGGTGCTCGGCCCTGCCTTCCTTTTCCCAGACTCTCATCCTCCCCATGTGGGTCCCGGGGAAAGAGCAGATACGGAGAGAGGGACGGCGCAGTTACACGGAGGACGCAGCTCGCGGCTGGGAGAGCCAATGAGAAAGGCCATATGGCCATGCAGCCCTCGTCTCATGCCGCCGACGAGTGTACAGCGAGGTAGATGCAAGGTACCCGCGTCACTTTCTTCTTTCCTTCCCAACCCTAAAGGCCACGAAGACACCGGGATTGCCGTGCAGACGCCGGGGTCGCCAGCCCGAATCAGACATCGCAGCTCGGCTAGTGTGTATACAGTACTCGGCCTTGAGAGTGGAATAGCGTCATGGCACATGTACTCTAAACTTCTCTGAGGGCAGGGGCCTGGATCTCCGTGGGAAATTAAGGCGCGAAAGCACAGCGCTGCGTTCGCTGGCCGCTCACCATGTTACTCTGCCTTGGCTTTATGAATAGCCCGCCCATTGACAATTGTGCAACCAAGCCGAATCTCGCCGGCAACCAAAGCGATCGGCATGGCGTCCCTGGGAAGGTTGTTGGCTGGCCGCCTGAAGCCGTGACAGCGCTTTTCTTAGAACTCGGAAGGGCAAGCGATCGATCGGGCACGTTCCTCAGAACACCAGCAATAGAAGCAGACGCCAGAAAAAGAAGCACAAGAAGGAGACCATGGTGACAATCGGCGCGCCATGAATAGCGCCGTTCTCTCCGATGGTCTGGGAAGGGCTCGGCCGATCCAAGACGCACACGAGGCGACAACTCGCGAGACACCCAACGGTCGAACTTCCTTTCCCTTGTTTTTGTGGCAAGTGGAATGGCGCAAAAAAGGCATTGCCACCCAGTCGTGTGGTCTTGGCGGGAGAACTCGTTCCTGTGATTTCGCCAGACGGCGGCGACGACACTATCAATGGATGGATGGGCCGAACGGCACAATCTGCACCTTGTCACCTGGACCAGCGGAAGAAACGAATTTGACGCGAATCTGAAATGAATGCGAACCCCGGGGATCAATGAGATTGTACGACTGGAATGGCATGGCACGCGAGGAAAGCCGCGAAGCCCTCTCATTACCAATGTAGCAATGTGGGCGCATTTCATAAAAGATGGCATTGCATAATTTCCCCGAGTCGTTGGTGATTGGCTATATGGAACCCTTGAAAGTCCTCTACGCTAGGGTACCTTGCATGGGCACTCTGTTCCTGACGCTAAGCCTTAGATGGTCAACGCTAAGTTGCTGGGGTGGGTGACCGAGCCTCTGAGAGTGGGAGTGTCTGTATCCGTAGGTACTCCGTACTGAGTAGCAGTTGGTTGGCAGCCACGACCCGAATGAGAACTTTGCCGCCAGTGCGGCATTTTGGGATTGGACAGCAGCTTGGGTGGTGGGAAGGGTAACCGGAAGGAAGGCAAAGACAACGGATGAAGAATATTTCCTTCTCACCAGGGGCTCCTTCCCAAAGTCGACTGTCAAATCTCAAGATCGCCTCGCTCCTTCCCAGAACGTCCGTACGACGGTCTGTGCAGTCCAGTTCAGGCAAGGTCGCACTCGGCTATAGCGCCGTCAGCTACTCATCATTTGGGAAATGGCATCATCTAATCATTTTATCATGAATCCCTCTTCCTCCCGCTCTCATCACTTGCGGAGAAGCGTCTTCTATTGTGTGTCGGTTCTCCCCCGCTCACTCGCAGCCCGGTCCGTGGCGCACCCTCCCCTCCACCGGCGCACTCACCCGCCCATCATATCGCATCGCATCGCATCGCATCGCAACACGTCCATGATTGCGACATCAAGAAATCTCGCCGCTGCATGTTCATGGCTTCATCCCAGCGACACCAACATGACCCTCGATGAGCACCGTACCGCACCACACAACACTGCACTGCGCAACGTGACGACGGCCGTCTCATGTGTCGCCCTTTCCATTTCTACCGCTTCCACATGACCATCCCATTATCCGAACTCCCGACTGGGTGTGTGTGGATGCAAAGTCATCCGCGGCCGACAGTTCTAGTATTGCAAATCCTCGGATGTAACCCGAAACCTCTCCACCATCAGCTCCTCCAACCGCCTACATAGGTAGTAAAGACCTACCTACCTAGGTAGCCTGAGAGGAGTCACTATGTCGGAGATCGCCAGCAGGCCCTCAAGGGGGGGCAGCCTCTGGCCTAAGCTTGCACCTCACTCAACGCGCCGCTCGAGTCGCATCCCCCTTTACGTCGCAAAGCTTATCGACAGGCCTCTGTCGCAGCAGGGCCATCGTGACTCCTCGCTGGCACCACCGAAACCTCACCAGTGTCGGCAGTAAATACTTGCTCATTCTACCCACCACCAGATGTGTGCACTGTCGGCGCCTGCGATGCTCATTGGGAAACCATGGGCGAATCGATGTGCCTCAAGGCTGCCTCAGCTGAATCATCGCCTTGGCGCGGTGCTATGGTAGGCCTGCAACGAGACAAATTTATCCCGTTGGAGCGTACCATCTATGTACGGCCAGCAAACACCCGCCAACGCAGCAAACGGCCAAACGGCGCCTCGCGGAACCGCGACCGCTCTTCTGCCTGCCACGTATTAGTGTGTACCTTGCGCAGTTCTCGGCATCACAAGTGTCGGTCTGCGACTCACAATTAGCGCAAATGAGATGTTTGACCGGTTTTTTTCTTTTTCTCTCCTCCCCTTCGCTGGTGGGTCAAGGATCAGCGATGCGTCGCAGCACCTGGTCTCACCGACGATTTCTCTAATTTTTCGACTGCTCCCCATCAAGCAATGGACTCCCATCCACACGACAACAGGTGCCCGTGAGCCCACCGAAGCACCCGGTAGGCACGCATCGGTTGGGTTCGAGCTCGTACACTGTCTCGGACTCATCATCTCTCCCAACGGCCGCATGCATCGAACTTGGCCCGTACGATGTATGCAATATGCAAACTGCCGCAGTGCCAAATACCCTCATCCTGGGTTCCAGTCGCTCTGGGGCTGCGACAGCCAGCCGTCACACTGTCACTAATTTACGTCAGAAAACACCCTCCTTGCCATCTCCTCTCGTGGCTCTCCACAGGTATGTCATGAGGGGAAACACAGCCATGCAGTTACAACCCGACTTATTACATGGGGGAGCCCGTGTCTGTCGGCCTTCGCGAGCGTTCCTGTTATTTAAGTGATGCGAAACGATCTGCGAAGCCCCGTCTCCGTCTGCCGATTTTTGAGCCGATTGTCCGGGGACCAGCAACCGAATCACTTCTCGCCGTCATCACGCAACCACCGGACAGTGCCACGAGGACGGTCCCTTGGAAGGAATGCGGCGCACGAAGGTAGGTGATGAGCATCGCACCTGCAGCAAGTGCATTATCCGTCTGCCATGGGCGTGCTACTTGCCACGATGCAGGGAGTGAACGTTGGACGTAAATATCCTGCTGTTGCATCGCGGTTCTTGGCGGTGTCCGATCTTGACATTCATCAAAACAAACGTCGTTTTCCATTGAGCGCGTCATGAAACGGAGGTCCATGGTTCATCTGAGCGCAAACTTATCCGAAACTTGGGGACAAGCACAACATGGGCTTGCGCCAGACCCAGCTGCATCGTTCGAGAGCAAAGCATTTAGGTATCCGTATTTGGAAGCCTCTGTGCGTCTCCATCCATCCAGAAAGTGTGATACAAGCAGCAACAAGGTCGGGAGCGAAACGTTTTCTGCGCCGCTGATTCTTGCTTTTCAGCCACGGCACCCAATGTTTTTGATGCTAGAACGCAACCAATACTAATTAGCGCCCGCCTGGTTACGCGGTTTGTTTGTCCTTGCACTCTCTTCCCACAACAGGGCCGTCATCCGGGCGATTCCCTTCAGAAGAACCAAGAGCGCATGCTCTCTGGCGCGAAGACGACGAACGCATTGACATCCGGACAAGATACCCACTTGTTGCACTCGTCGTTTTGTCGCCTAATGGGGTTAGAAGTGTCGTCCACATATAGTATCGGCGCCGTTCCAAGACATGACGTTGGGTGACGGTTCAACACCGGTGATTCCAGTAAAACATGACAAGGCACATCTTCAGATGGCGCTTCGACAAGGATCTCTGACTGACCCCTGCCGCCTCAGTAATTCTTCCAAGTATCATTGCGCCGTTCCGGAACTGTCGGTCGGACCCGCACTAAAGGCTTCTGAAGCCCCTCACGATCGTTCCACGGCAACCATGGCGAATGCCCTTGGACATCAATGGTCTATTAGTCTAGTTGGTTAGGACGTCGGATTCTGATCCTGGAATTTCCGTAGGCCCAGGTTCGAATCCTGGATGGACCTTACGTTTTTGCTCCTACCTACTACCTCTGGAGCCGCGCACACTTCCCTTTATATAATTCATTTTCTTTTTTCATCGCCATATTGCTTTGCGTGATCAGTTAGTTGTCTGTCTAATATTGACGCATGCCGAGGAAACCCCTCATTTGCTAACCAACTGCATCGCCAAATTGTCGATTCATACACATGAGATACCAATATTAACAACATCAGTATAGATAAGCTAAGGTGTATAATTGTTCCTCTAATATGGTCTTGGCCGGATTGAGGATTTTATGCCTCAAACGAGTCTTCCAACTGCGTAAAACTTTTATCCTGCCTCCCAGGCAAAACCGTTTTCGCCTCTAAGCCGATTCATCCGTGAATCACAACGGAACATACACAGTCACCAAGCATAATATGGCTATCTAGACGGTTTCGTCCCACTTCTAGTCTGATGCATGCCAATAATTAGATAGCACTCAGACGGTGAAAGTGTCCACCGTGACCGAGACAACATGTTGAGGTAGGAGGGTCCCGATATCACACTAGACGAGGGCGGAAAAAGTGCTCTCGGCATTGATGGCTCACGCAACATACCCAGCTGTATCGAGGCCACGACAATGTTTACGACACCCCGAGGAGCTGCACCCACCGCGGAATTAGCAAGTCTCTCTCCCAACATCTGCCCCCCGCCAAGTCCCAGGGAGCAGCTTGCCCTGCGCACTGCGACTCTCCATGGCGGTTCCCAAACAGGCAACGGAACATTGATGTTCTGGGCCTGGATGGTGTCAGAGGTCTTTCCGGCTGGAGATGGGTATACTTGTCCTTGACCCGACTACTTCCCGTGAGATGCCTCAAAAAATACTTAACAAGCAGGATTTTCCCGTTGAGAATGTTATCACCGTTGGCATTTCCATCCATCTCCATCAAAATGATCCCAAGTGTGAGTGGGTGCAGTACCTACATGAATCCAACGTCTGGCAGACCTACCGACAACTTGAGTCTCCCCGTAACCTCCTTCCCCACCCGCTCACTGTTAACCAAGTCGGGCACGATATGCCCAACTCTCTTTGCTCTGGCGAGCGCCATAGTCGTCTCCAGCCCGTGCCTCAGAATCCGCACTCGCCGCCTCAAACCCCTCTTCACGCCCTGCCGTCATCGAGTACAGGAACTTCCCTCCTTCCTATGCCCACTGCCACGGCGCCCAGCGCCAGGGCCTTGACGGTATCTGTCCCGCACCTAATCCCGCCATCGACGAAGATCCCGAGCCTAGCCGTCGTCCGTGGAGCAAAGAGATGCGGCGCGTACCTCATGATCTCGAGAAGCGTCAACATGGGCGCTTGTGCCGTATCCTGATACCCACCTCCGTGGTCCGATAGTACGATTCCGTCCACGCCCCGTTTCGTGAGCAATTGACGCATCTTCTACCGACAGAATGCCCGCTGCCACGATCGGTACCTCTTCGCCGCCCTTTCGAAGTCGTCGGCGTTGATGATGGTGCGGATGGACGGGTACGTCGTCGGAAGATTGGAGGGGGTCCACGGGCTCGAGGCGGCAGTCGGGCGAGAGGGTTTCTTTGATCAAATCCGGGTTGTGGTTGGAGTTCTAGTCCTCCGTTACGTCCCGGCCTGCTCACCGGAGGAGAGGCTTTGCGCCGCCGAGGTGCTCATCCAGGAAGTCTGGCGAGAGTCAGTTTTGGACTCCTTGGACCGAGAAATAGAACTGGAAGTATCTGTCAAGTTCCATACGTCTACCCAGGTGAGATAAGTGTCGCGAGTTAGAGCACACAGCAGGGATAGGATATTTAAGGTCTAAAAGGCTTGTTTCTATGTAAGTGAAGGAATAGAAAATAGAGACCTATATATAGTTGAATGAGGGTGAAATGCCACGTGATAAAGCACATGATAGTGCTCTTACATGAGGTGGAAAGCATATGAAGCTATCGTGACAATAAGTCTGGAAGCCACATGTATAATGGTGTTCTGCAGACTTCAAGAATGTCTATTAACTCCTATGAATTAATCTTCTCATCGGTTCGTTTCCGCCAACTTCTACCCCATATTGCCACAGCCCAGACGCCCAATGCCCCGATGATCAAGAAAGTTGCTGAAATAGTACTGAACCAACCGACGCCAATCTTCTGGATGGCTGGAAGCACTATGGCCGACGCAGCGGCACCGAAAAGATATCTTATCATGAAGTTGCCTGCTATCACTTCCGCGCTACGTCCTTGTATCACATCCAGGCAGTAGGTGTTGAGGCTCGGGAAACAGAATAACTGCGACACTCCTCCAAGAAACATGAAGATAACAGGCACGGTAACGCCACCAGCACGTTCTTGAACAGCCCAACCGTAGATGAGCATGCAGCCAGGAAGAGCTGCTCCAAGGAAAGGCAAGCATGAGCGAAGTCTGTCTTCGGAAATACGTCGTCCATGCCGTTCTGCTATCCAGCGTCGCACCGTGTAATCCGCGTACCGCCCACCGACGAGCGTACCAGCCAGGTACCCACACCCCGGGGCAAGGTAGAAGAGACCGGATTGTGCTGGGGAGGTGAGAGAAAATCGTGGGTTGAGAACGTATCAGGCATGAAGAACAGGGCGCCTCCCAGGCCGACGCCGGCAAGGGCAGTCTGGAGCCAAAATATGGCGCGCCACGAAGTGTAAGTCACGATGATACCACCAAGAACTGGGCCAATAGTCGGCCCGATCAAAGTGCCAGACAAGAACCATCCCATGGCAGTGGCGCGCTCAGTTGGATGATACAAGTCACCGATAACGGCAGGGCCGGTGACGAGAAATGAGGTCCCGGCAAATGCGGTGAGCATACGGAATACGAAGAACGCGGCGACGTTTGGGCTCAGAGCAGTACCGATAGAGCACCCCAGAAATAACGAGGCGGTCACTATACATATCTGTAGTTTCCTATTAGTTCTTTAGCACATGGCTTGCGAGTGCCAAATGATGGGGATTTAAGCTCCGATGCTCAAGTAAGAGTGATAGCACATAAGAATGGGTATTCAAGACATGACTCACTCGCTTCCTTCCATACACTTGGCTCAGAGGCCCTGAAAAACATGGGCTAATAGCCATGAAAACGAGATACATTGCATTGCTGAGACTGATTATGTCTCCGGTCGTCTTGTACTCCGTGGCTACTTCAGGTAGCGCCGATAGCACTGCCGTGCTGGAAATAGGCGACAATAAGCCACACCATGAGATTACAGCAACAATTATGTACTTGCGATGTTTGGAAAAGCGCTCGTAGATTTCGTAAGGAACCTCTACATTGGATTTCTGGCGAGAGACAGGGTCGTCTTGAAAGTTCAAGACTCCCGAGGGCAATCTCGCTAGGTTTGGTTGCTCGGTACTGTCTATCATGTGGTGAGTTATATGTCTCTGCTGAAGATAGCTAGTTTCAAACTAACCTCTGTGTTGGCTTTTCGATCTTGGAGGAATGATATCCGCATACTCTTCGCTGTCGTCATTGCGCCGATCCAACGAAATCCTTCCGGGAGAGCCCCCTGGCTCTTGCATACTCTTTCCGGTGTTCATGAGTTTGTCTGGTCTCGCAGCTTCTTTGTAAATGTGAGAACAATTGTGAAGGAGGGTGCTTGAGGCGAGGGGGCAATGAAATTGGTTTTCTGTGGACAACGGATGTGGGCCACTGATGTGACGCCGTTATCCGTTGCCATCAGGGGCCGAGTCGGCAAAGAACCACCGCTTGGTGCCGGACATCGGAAACTTGGGCCTGTCGGAAAGCTCTCTCGGGTTTTTTTTTTGGAAATCGCTGGGACCCTCCGGCCCCGCATTTTGAGTCGGATTCCACGGTAAGATAGTAATGGGCTGGCATTAAGAAATTTGCATTATACTGCTTTAACAAGCAACGTCAAGTCTGTTGCAACGCTGTGCGCTCTGTCATGTTCATCAAATAGACGGTTATTTGATGTCGTGGGAAATGTAGGCAACGCGAACCAGTGCTATGAAGACCGACATGACATGTTTTAGACAGTTCTAGCAAGGCTCGATCTTAGTTACGGAACGGGTCCGAATTCGGAGTTATCCCTCTTGAGCACCATCCGGCAAGGATTTCTTATCTTGGTGTGAAACAGAAACTCGTACTGTCAGCGTACGGTGTCGCCAATGAGAATAGTGATTAAGCAGGGAATTGTTGCAAAAAGATAAGACCAACTGATACAGGCTTAACAATTGTCAAAACTTGCCTCGTGAAGAGCAATTCTTTAATCATTTGCGCGTCTTTATCACTTTGGCGATGACCGTTCTAGACTATACGTTGAAGTCCCTATGGAGCTTGGCTGTGACCAACCTGATGGCTGTTTACCCTTGCATACAGTGAAATTCTCACATTTCGCCTTCATCTCTCCCCGAAATTGCATATTTCAACGGAGAGTACTGGAAATAGTCACCAGGAAACTGCCTAGATAACTAAAGCCCAGAAAATTCGAGTGAACATATTTAGCACCTGTGCCCACCTGATGTCTGTGAATTGATCCACTCCGCGAGGCTTGCTCCGATCGTCACCTCGAAATGGGCGATGACTTCGGGTTTGGAAGCGAAACCCCACCGAGAACCGGCTTTGCCGGCCAGTCCGGTCGGGCTTTGAGGCAGAATCGGCGGTCGTCAACATCGGAAACGTAAAGTTTGTACCTTGGCAGGTATTACTAGATTCGTTTTGACGGCACCAGTGCGTTTTAAACTTTTCGAGTGTGAAATCGATGGAAGCACACCCGCATCTTCCGATATTATGATCGAATAGTTCAGGCTCGTTCGCCACGGATCCATGTCCATCCAGCCCCCGAGCCAATACACCTTAAGGCACAGAGCTAAGCCATAAACTGAGTAATAAAAAACAGCACCCTGCCATTAATCAAGTTCCGTGCGCCACATTTGTGGCAAATTTCCGCAGCCAGGGCAAATTGACATGGCTGTCACCGCTTAGTTGACGTTGCTACGGAATTGGAGAGTCATATATAGCGTTAATGAGGTGAGTCTTTGGCAGGCTCAGATGGTAGTCCAGACGTTGTGAAGTTTTCTGTTGGAGCAAAAATCGTGAGCGTTGAGTTCCTAGAGAAGTGAGATTGCAAATGGTGTAATTAGCATGATGGTGTACGTAGGCACTTTCCGACAAAGTATGTAGAGATCACGGGCCCTAAGCAGAACGAAATATCATTCCCAGAAACCAGTACATTCTCATTGATCAGAAGGTGGAAATGAGACCCTCCAGATAGTTACAGAACGGGGTGGCTGACCTTTTGGGGGGGGGGGGGGGGGGGGGGAGAATCGATTAAGAACCTTGGATGTAAGTGTTCGCATATCAACTCAGTGGGGGATGTTTCCAGACTAAAAAAAAAACACTAAAAGGGCCTCATTAAGACTATTGGCGCTTTTATGGGACCAACAGCATTAACGGGAAGTTCGGCGTTTTCCCGCAATCCCACACCAACCCTCTGGAAGAGGGCACCATATCATTAATTACGAAGCAGCAGCAGCCCGGTGGCCTAATCAGGCTATAGAGTAAAAAAAGAAAAGCGGTACGGCTTCGTCACGAAATGGACACACTTAAGAAAGAACACCTTAGGCGAAAATACCGTCTATAACACTAACGACTAGAGCTGTGGCATCACCTGACACCAATAAATCAATCTTCTGATGTGATGCCTCCGCTCTGCTGATGTCCAATCTACATGTCTTCGCCTGTGTGAATTCCACCTGGTCTTCCATTGGTAACCTCATAATGAACATTCTGGCCTTCAAACTGAGGCTTGTCTGTAATGTTATGAGGCAAAGTGACTATCTCAGAATAGACCATCACTTTCAATGAAGTGATAGTCTCACGAGGAACTTGAGCGCCGTGACTCTGCAAGTTTTTGTTTCAGTCGTTAACTCGAAATCTTTGTGCCTTCAAGGGGTGTCTTACATTTACAATTCGCCAGTGAAGATTCCGAGTGAGGAATGGTAGAACATAATCTGGGCTCAAGTCGCCAACACGACAGCCATAGTGTTCCTCCTGGCTATCCCAGTATGTCAAAAGCGCAGGAGTCAGTGCTATAGTGTCCATGTACTTAATCCCACCTGCTTCCTGCTTTGCGCAGTTTGCACAAGCCCCGATGGTGATGGTGGCTCTTGAGTTGGCAAATATTCCACTGGATCCGACAAGATGAGGGTCTATGATCCAGCTTTCAACATCAGGGCTGAAATCCCCTAAAAAGAAGAAGATTGTGAAAGAGCCATCCAGCGAGAACCTATTCACGGAGTCAGAAGAAGAGTTGGTGAGAATTAACCAGATGCACATTTCAAACAAAAGAAACACGGGATCAATTGAGAACAGGATGAGGACGCGAGATACGGACAACATCAATGAAGCGCCCTAAGATAGGGACCGAGTGCCCATGAATGAAACATCGGCTGATCTAGTCTTTTGAGAACGGAAGTACTTACTTATCCACGCTGAAAGTAGCGTTCCAATGCGTCATCTTGTGATGCGAAATGAGATCTCCTAAATGCCCGTAACAGCGATTGAAGTCCATATTCGCGGAAGGGAGGGCTGTTGAAAGCACCAGCTGAGACAGCTGTTGTGGGGTGGCTATGGAGTCCGAGGACCTATTAATGGTTACACCAGAACCAGCCGTTACCTCTGTAGGTTTTCTATGCCTTCTTCTAGGCGAATAGACCTTGATAACTGTCTTGGCTCGATTCAACAATCGACGAGACACAGAGAGGGGCTTGTTGTTTGCGGAGATTCTAGCGGTCATCGTCGTAGCCATAGATCCGATAAAAGCCTGACCATTACTGAATGGAGTCTTCCCATCTATCAGCACTTTGAGCGGGAAAAATGGCATCGGCTGGTTGATCTGACGTTTGAGTTGTGCTCGGGCGCCCTCATCAGCCGGTCTTGGGCTCCTGGGCGCCAGCCAACCAAGCTGGGTGTTGGCCCAAGCCGTCAAAGACCGAACTATATCTCCCGATTTTCGGGCGGCGGCCGTTTGTGGGTAGTCGTATCCAAGGTCCAGGTGATTGCGGCATTCATTCGAGGTCCACCATATGGGTTTGGAATCAGCGGTTAGGCCTTTGCGGAAGGGGACAAGTGGAGTTCGAGGTGTCTCAGCCAGACGTCCAGGTTCGACAAAATTGCCTTCGGGAACCTCAAGAGACGTCCACCAAGCAACAGACTCCGGATCGAGAGAGTGAATGCCTTGCCAGATGGCTAGGAGGCGGTCAACGTTGCTGGCACCAGTAAGTATGAGAAGCAATCAAAGCGCGGCACACTATAGCTCAAAACGCTTACCAGTGATGAAGCCAAAAGCTTGGGTCAAAGCTACGACGGGTCAGATATATCCAGATCATGTTGCATGATAGATGTAGCCGACTTACCCTGCAAAAGCGGGGCTACCCATATGGCCACTCGAGCCTTGAGGACCTGTGGCCAGCTGGTTGTGTATGTTGTCGTGAAACCCCTCCAGGGAATTGGCATTGTAGACGACCGATGCGGGATCTCTTGTTCTGGGATCATAGTGATTCGACATCTGAACCCAGGTCTGCTTACCAAACATGACGTGCCAAATGCTCTGTGGCGTTTGGCTGCTAAGGCCGCTTACGGGGTTATACGCGTTATCGAAAGCCCGCATCACGTAGCTGTGGTCTGCAGATTGTGTGGCAGTGTTGAGACCCCGAATAGTGAGGTCTCTAGCAGCAGGGATTTGGGTGTACATAGACCAGTCAAAGCCACCTTTGCCGTCTGCTGGAAACTTGAACTGGTATAGTGGATTTGCCATGGAAACCCACGAAGATGGACTCTCTGGTCGACGAACCTGTATATGTGGCAATAAGAAGATTACAGGTATTCCATATGTGTAGATATCTTCAGTAACGAGCTTTTGGCGAGGGAGGAAAGGATCAAAGTACGGGATTCGGAAACGATCGAGGGCAGCCTGTGCTTTGAGTTTTGGGGCAATCTCAGCAGCGTGCAGGTACAAGGCTTGCTATGCTCTCGTCAATTTCACCATTGTACAGTTCATCTCTGTCACAAATAAATAGACGTACCTCAAATTGAGCAACATAAACCCGATGCCATGTTGGGAAAATAACAGAACCGTGCGAGCAGTAGCCGCTTTGTGGATCGGGGCTGCCGGCAGAGAAACCGAATTCCGCAGACTTGACACCGTCCCACGCACGCCACGGTTGACCATGGATGCCGCAAATTTCATAGTATGAAAATGGGCTTTCGGAAAGTTTCTTACTCATGAAAGCTTCAAGGGCGAGGAAATAGAGGTTCGCGAGCTCAACATCCTGGAGAAAGTCGTCTATCTCCAGCCTCAGAGGCTTACCAACGCCTTTGGGAATGACGCCAACAGTAAGCCCCCTAGCTTGGGCGCTTTTGAGGGCGTTCACATCTACTGACATGATTGAGAAAATACCGGCAGATGGATTTCAACTGCTGCGAGTTCTGCAACGAAGGTATCGGGACAATGATGTTAATTTCACTCACCCGTAGAACGAGGCAACAACAAGATATTTATATGGACACGAGATGATTCTTGGCATGGGGACTCTCATCACAATATACACTGCTTCATCTCCTTGATTGAGAGATCAGTTATCGTAAGCTCAATCATGAAGATGGTGTAGGTCGCTTACGCTGCGACACTAACCACGTCCGCCACTTTCCAAGATGTCCTAAAGGCCAGAAGGAGCGACGTTAGGTGTGAGAAAGCGGGATCTTGGAAGACCTAAATCAAAATGGATTTGTATTTCCTGGCCAGTCAGTTGATAGACTATATCATGAGGTGCGTTCAGTTGACTAATAGATACACTAGTACTTAGCTAGCGCCTGAAGATGGCACGGAACTCTTTAAGATTATGTCAGATTTTCCGTCACCTGCCCAACTAAGAGATTTTTCCCTTTGAGTTGGCAAAGCATTAGTTTGTGACTTGTAAACAAGCCTAAATGCGGACCACCTTGGTTCTAGTGGATGAAACTTTCCTCGCCGACAAGAGGCGTACAAACACCGAAGAGAAAGTCGTTGATGTGCTTATCCGGTCGGGAGATTCCTCAGCTATCGCAGTTATTCAATTTCTCCGGGTAAATAACCGGTACTTGCACTAAATCCTAGACAGATTACTGCCGGAACGCTGAAGAAGCAAGTATAGGCAAGAAGAATCGGTTAAGTGAAAATCAAATTTATTTAAATAATCAAATACAGCATGTTGCATCAATTTCGCGTGCGTTCTAAAAAGGGTTGTTGCTGCGATGTTGACCATCGCCTAACTATCGTTGTTGTCAGGTTAACCCCGATGACCGGGATAACTACGAGGGATGACCCAGCTATTCACCCAGCAAGCCCACGATAGTTACTCTTCTCTTCACGCATAATTCAGAACCACCAGTTGCCCCTATTGTTTGTCATTTGCCATTGATACGTACGGTTAACCGTGTCACGTACCCTGTGATACCAACAGTTGTCTTCTGGGGTTATGCTTGCTGCACAAAGACTTTTCTTGGTTGGTGGGGCACATGAACTTGTGACCACAAAGATATCCCCAATCATTTTCCATGTAGTTTTGCCACTGATATTGTCACGATAGCTTCATACACTTTCCACCTTATGTAATAGCACTGTCATGTGCTTTATCACGTGGCGTTTCACCCTCATTCAACTATATATAGGTCTCCCTTTTATATTTCTTCACTTACATAGAATCAAGCCTTATAGACCTGAATTGTCCTATGCCCTGCTCTGTGCTCTAACTCGTGACAGATATCATACCTGGCTAATTTGTAATGATCTGTTTTAGGCCAAATAAGGTTACCTGTGGAGAGCGTCGTTTATTTTCTGCTTGTGAGCGCTGTAATAACATGTTACTTACATTAACTCATGAAATTCGATCAGGAAATGCTTCGTATACGAGGCCATGATTATCGGCATAATCGCTAAGGTATTCTGGGCTTCATCTGGGCTCCATCGCGGTCCTACATACAATACACTCTTCATATGGGATACCATACCACAGCGGGTAGATACAGGCGCATAAGAGAGTTTGAGGCTTGTGACAGTAAACCTTTGTTTATCACCGGCACAAACTGAAAGAACATATGAGATGATCAGGGAATGATTCATGAAGTCGGATATCTATAGAGAGTTGTCACAGAAATACATGAAGTTTTTTCTGTTGCATTTTTTACGTCTCTCATCCAGTTCTAGCGACATCCTCATTCAGGCACTCCTCATAATCACTCAACTTAAGAAACTCTTGGTTGTTCCAAACGGTCCGCAATAACGAGTTCCGTTCCCAACGTAGGCTTAGTGCTAGCAGTGGTCTTTCTTCTGCTTCGGATATGTCTAAGGAGAGAAGTCCAAGCCAATGACTAATGGTACGGTCAAATACGGATCTGACAACGGGACTTGACGCCACCATGATTGCCACTCCCATTTGAACTCCCATTTGAATACTGCCAACGATGCTCGGTATGAAAGTTTAAGAAATAGGGCTCTGACATGATACTGGAACCGGGGATACCGATCAACGCGATCTTATGTGTCCATCTCGAATCGCTTCCAAATGCTTTGTGATTTGATCGTTGTGGGGGGCGGTCTGGCTGGCCCCGCCGTATCCAATAGACTCCCGTCTTCAACTCAGGATTTTGGTAATCAAAGCCGGTTAACACCAATGATGTTTTAGACATTATGTGCCAAATTGAGTCAACACCATGGGCGGGGACTTCTACTTGAAGCTTACGTCGAGCCCTCAGTGATTTCCCGCTGATTGGTTCAACCTACCAATAAGTTCGCCTTGTACCCCTCTGCCGTCGGCCTCCCGCATAAAATTGGCATGCTAACCTCTGTGCGGTTGCACTGCATAGTATGTCAGAAATGTGAAAGCTGTAAGCGCCTACCTGCCCGGAGCAATCATATCCTCCAGTGTGACCACAGTCCGGAAAGCGTAGCTGTTGGTACATCTTTATGCGCAATGTCGACAATATGGGCCGATATCTCCTCTTCCGCGCAGCTTGCAGTGGGTTTGCAGCTTGTGGAGGCGGCTTTGGTGCAGTTTATCGGCTGCCAGCAGCAAATTTGTGGCCAAGCCCCTGAGGTTGTAGAACACACAGCTCACTGGCCAAACAGGTCACTATACTCTGCCCAGACTCAATACTGGACTTTGCCTAAGTTCTGTCATTAGCCGTTTTTTCTTAGTAATAGACAACCGGTCGGGAGATAAAGAGCCTGAACGAGCTAGTTGGAGATAATATCCCAATACCCGCCTAGATCTGCTTTTGTTGTTCACTGTTACCAGTCACACGTTTTTTCTTCTAAGCCAGAATGATTACTCTCGATTACCTCAAATTGGCTCTGAGGCAGAAAGCCTCAGAAGATGTGTCTTCAAGGCAGCCGTTATCAGACATACAGTACAGCGCCGGCTTCGATATTCTGACCCGAGGTTCAGGCTGGACAGCGTATCAAGACTTCATTTTCCCTCAGTTATCCCAGCTTCTCACTTCATTCACCACGCTTGCTCATCTTTCTGTACTAGAGGTCGGACCTGGGCAGAAGAGCGTACTCGGATATCTGCCTATTGGTCTGAGAAAGAAAATCACGAGATACGCTGCTTTTGAGCCCAATGGCCTGTTTGCCACCAGATTGGAGAATTGGCTTTCCTCTACATCGAACACGGAGCCTCCACTGCCATGTCTAAAAAGCGCGCCCGTCATCTATCAGGCTCCATTCACCCTAGGAAGTCCTGTGAATAGCGGCACCAGTACCAGCACAAGCGATAGCGAAAATGGTTTCAACATCATCCTATTCTGCCACAGTATGTATGGCATGAAGCCAAAAAGCAAGTTCATCGAAAAGGCCTTGACAATGCTTGTACAGCAGCCAGAAGTCGGAATGGTTGTGGTTTTTCAGCGGGACGGGACTCTGCACTTTGACGGTTTGGTGTGCCATCAGACAGCTAGTTTTCAAACCGGCGTTGTTCACGTGGCAGATAATGACGAAGCCCTGGATTGTTTTGCATCTTTCATCACAGGGTTTTCGATGCAGGATATGGATGTCCGAACCGAATGGCGCAAGGTGTGTCGCGCACTGGGCCGTCATGAAGAAGGCTGCCATCAAGGACATCTCTTGTTTAGCTCACCCGAAATCATGGCAACATTTACTCGGCATTCAACAATGTTGCCGGAACTAGAGGCGCGGTTGCCGGTGGTGAACGGAAACAAGACTGGCAGGAATCGAGAGGCTCGCCTCAACCGCCCCGCATCAATTGTCAGGCCAACAGAAATTCAGCAAGTGCAGCAGTGCGTGCGATGGGCTCTGGAGCACCGGGTCTGCTTGACTGTTGTTGGAGGAGGTCACAGCGGCCATTGTCTCTGGCCCAACGTTGTCGCGGTTGACATGGGCGCTTTTGACCAAGTCCACATTATCTCGGCAGGGAACGGGGTTGGAGATTCCGGCTCTGACTCAGGTTGTTTGGTCGTTGCTGAAGCCGGCTGCAAGACGGGCGACATCGTCTGTAAGGCCATGGCAGCTGGTATGGTAGTGCCCTTGGGCGCCCGCCCTAGCGTCGGAGCCGGTCTGTGGCTACAAGGCGGCATCGGACACCTTGCTAGGCTGTACGGCCTCTCATGCGACGCCATTGTCGGTGCTGTCATAGTCAGCGTTGACTCGGACCGGGTTCTCTGCGTCGGCCACGTACCACGCCAACACCAACCAGCCAACGCCGTGCGGCCCGACAACGAATCTGATCTGCTCTGGGCGATAAAGGGCGCCGGGACAAACTTTGGCATTGTGATCAGCGTTACTTTCGCGGCTTACCCAGCTCCCACTTTCCTGGCCAGGAATTGGGTTATTCCCTCAAGCGATGCTCGCGAGGTGCAGCTCAGGCTCAGCAGCTTTGATAAACTCTTCGCCAGTAAGATCCCCCGAAACTGTTCTGCAGATGCGTATCTGTACTGCGATGCGGGCCAGCTACATCTTGGCGTTACCATATTTGAGGCCTTCACGACTGGACTCGAATCTGCGGCATTTAAGCCCATCTACGAACTCATTACCAAACTCTGGGGACCGGAAGCCGATTCGAAGCGCGTGAACAGCGTCGAAATGTTCGAGACCGAGATGTACATGACTAGAATGCACGGTGGGCACGGCGGCGGCAAAACCTCTTCCTTCAAGAGATGTTTGTTTCTGAAGGGAATCTCAGCACAACCCATTGTAGACGTTCTAGTGGAGGCCATTGAGACTCGTCCCTCACCACTCTGCTATCTCCATTTACTACAAGGTGGCGGGGTAGTTGGCAACGTGGCGGACGGTGCTACTGCTTTTGGTTGTCGAGATTGGGACTTCGCCTGCGTGATCACGGGTGTCTGGCCCCGTGATCAAGATGGCACCGATACCAACAGAGCTGCCGTACAGTGGGTCTATCATGTCGCCGGAAACTTGCTGCCCCTCAGCGCCGGAGCTTACGGCGCTGACCTCGGGCCGGACCCGAGAGACGCCCCACTGGCGGCCAGGGCTTTCGGACCGAACCGGCCCCGCCTGTCCCGTCTCAAACGCATCTCAGACCCACGCAACATTCTAGCTTACACCTGCCCGCTCCCGAAAGCGGCGGGGGAACAGGAACTTATCATTCTTGTTACAGGCGACAGCTGCTCTGGAAAGGACTACTGTGCAGACGTCTGGGCTTCCCTGTTTGTTGAACGCACTAATAAACGCCTCCGGGCGCGTGTTTACAGCATTAGCGATGCGATTAAGCGGGAATACGCAGCAGCTACTGGTGCCGACCTAAGTTGCCTATTTAGCGACTGGGCCTATAAGGAGAAACACTGGCTAGCGTTGACAGCATTTTTCCGAGACCAGGTGCGGTAACGGCCACGGCTTCTAGAAGAAACCTTTCTGAGTGTGGTGGACGACGCTGTAGATGTTGACGTGCTGCTTATCACTGGAATGAGAGATAAAGCTCCAATTGCATTATTATTGCACCTGGTGCCAGGATATAGAATGCTCGAGGTCCAGGTCCGGGCTACCAAAGAGACACGGCGGGCTCGACGTAGGTGTCACGGTGGTGATGACGATGACAGGGATAACAAAAGTGACGAGAATAACGCCAACGACGGGACGGAGTCTCTGGTTTTAGACCACCGTCCCAACTTCGTCTTCGAGAACGGCACAGCCGGAGACGAGGCGGCTCAGAAATTTGCAGAAAAACATCTTCTTCCCTTCTCTCATGAGGACTTGCATCAACTGGCTAGCATGGTGCGTACAATACCGGACTTTCCGCGCCAAGGCATTGAATTCCGCCACGTGCTCAGCATCGCCGAGCAGACGGGTGGTCTAGCACTGTGCACGTCACTACTACGATCTCAATTCACTGGCGACTGGAGCAAAGTTGACGTTGTGGCATGCTGCGAAGCCGGCAGCTTTGTCTTTGCGTCAGCGTTGGCCTCCCAAGTCAATGTGCCCTTAGCGCTGGTTCGGGAAGCAGGCAAGCTCCCTGCGCCCACCGTGTCAGTTGCCAAGCCCCCATGACATATTTCATCTGCGGTATCCAACAGCTCGGGAGAAAAGAGGATCGAGATGAATCGATATGTGGTTCCCAGGGGTGGGACAGTTGTGGTAGTAGACGACGTGCTTGCTACGGGGAAAACGCTGTGTGCGGTTCTGCAGCTGCTGGTTAAGGCTGGAATCGATGTCGAACGTGTCAGATTTATTGCTGTAGCCGAATTTCCTATCCATCGCGGTCGGGAATTGTTGCGCCGACGCGGCTTTGGCAGAGTCAACGTTCAAAGTCTTTTGGTTTTTGATGGCGAGTAGGGAGTGGGGAGCAGGATGTTGTAGTCCTGGACATGAAGATGATGCAATAAAGAGGCCTCCTCGCCTTGACCTTTTGCGCTCTGTTGTAGCCAATGCTATTTCTTTCGCTATATTCAGCTTGAATCTTGCAGTGAACATCTTTTCACAAGATGTACTTAAGTAGAACGTGTAAAGTGCAGCTAGCCTTCCGACGATTAGCATTAAAACCATAGAGAGAGTACATATGTGTGTATGACATGATATAAGCTGTCATTGCGCATTGTTAATTACAGTTCCGTTTTCGTCATCACACGCACTCTGTTGCAGAGTCGATAATTGGGTTACATTAAAAATTATTTGGATGTGACTCGCCACACATGGAAGGGAAGAATGTAAGTTCTCATCGTTCCATGCAACCGTTACGTGTCCAGAAGTCTACTTCTGGACTAGGTGATAATTGAGTTTGCAATGCCCCGACTGGGTGGTTTTGCCCGTGATCAAGTTTTGAAATCTACTTACCCATGTCCACTATCAAGAGTCTCCCGCGAAACTGCAGACTTAGAAATACATAACCGCCATCGCTACGTCGGTCAGACACTTTCCCCATCACTCTGCCTTCTGGTTGGTGCCCCATTCACTGTCGTTGCTCACGGTTGTCATTTTTTGATTCTTGAATAGCCGCCCTGAGTCGCCCGGTGTCATGCGGCTCAAGTCATATCTGCTTGCTCTTCTGCCACTTCTAGCAGTTGCAGTCAGCGCAGATGGGCCGACTGTCGATCTATCATATGCACGGTATCAAGGAACATATAACTCAACGTTGAAACTCAATATATTTAGGGGGTATGTGGTTCGGACTTTACTCGACTAGAACCAGGCTGGGCTACGATCTGATCTTGCAATCACGCAGAATCCGCTACGCAGCTCCTCCAACAGGGAAGCTTCGATGGCAGCTACCTCAAGAACCAGAAGACATCACCAGTAACAAGAACAGTAATACAAGCGACAAAGCCACCATATCCGCCACTTCTAACCCACCGCACTGCCCCTGGTCTCGCCGCTCCTTGCAGTACCCCAAAACAGCATCTGAAGAGAGTTCTCTTGCTGCCTTCGATATCTTCGGCGACGAGGACTGTCTCTTCTTGAATGTGTTCGCACCGGCTGGTGCCGAAGATCTTCCCGTAGTTGTGTGGATCCATGGCGGCGGATATAGTCTTGACTCGGCGGCGAATTACGACTTTTCCACGCAGATTACGACAAACGAGAATAAATACCTCGCTGTTGTAATCCAATATCGACTCGGTGCCTTTGGCTTTCTGTCTTCGGCCGATGTCGTGGCGAACGGCGTTGCCAATGTTGGGTTACACGACATGCTCCTCGCGCTCCGGTGGGTGCAGAAGCACATTTGTAAATTTGGTGGTAATCCGAGCAAGGTAACTGTTGCAGGACAATCCTCTGGTGCCGGGGCGATCCTGGTACTAGCCACAACGAACGAAGCCGAAGGTCTCTTTGATGGGGTGATTGCAAGCAGTCCATACCTCACCACCCAACCGTGAGTTATGTTTATGCCCTTTGCCATGCAGCTTCGGTATTAGTGGAGTAACCCTACGAAAAACAGCCAGTTTGATGGCGTCCGGCCCACAAAAGCTTACCACAGCCTAGCAGACCGTGTAGGCTGTTCTTTAACCAACGAAACTTCATCCCTCTTTGCTTGCATGCAGAACGTAGACTCGATTACGCTTCAAAATGCCAGCGATTGGGTGAGCACCCAGGGCCTATATGGTCATTGGGAATGGAGACCCGTCATTGACGGAAAGCTCCTCACAAACATTGCCTCGAGGCATCTCGGTTCGCGAACAGACAGCGTCAAGGGCGTCCGCCTGCTCACCAGCAATGTCGCAGACGAGGGCCCATATTTTACTTGGCAGAACATCACGTCTCAGACGACTTTTGTCAAGTTCCTGACGACCTACTATCCCAAGCTAACCGCATCCAACGTGACTGAAGTCCTCGCCGTGTACACGCAAAAGTACGAGGATTTTATCATGGCCAATTCAAAAGACGTGAACAACACAGACCCCGGCTTCGATACAGACGGCCGCAACGCGCCGTTTGCCACCACCATGTCCAACTACGCCATGGGCTGGCAACAAGTAGCTAACAATCTCTACGCCGAGGCTACGTTCGTCTGCCCTTCACACTGGCTCGCCAATGCATACGCTACCAAATCTGGGGGCAGAGCGTGGCGCTACCAGTTCAGTGCTTCACCCGCCTATCATGGCTTCGACGTGGGCACCGGGTCTGATTACGATGTACTCCTAGCGCCAGTGGATACCCCCAACTCGACTGTTCCGAGATCCCTACGACGGGCGCTGCAGACCGCTTGGGGCGACTTCATTGTGACCGGGGCGCCGACCTTGCGGGATACTGGCCCGAGCACGACCTTTTGGCCGCAGTGGAAAGAAGGAGGACAAGGAGCTGCCAGCATACTGAATGCAAACGTGACTGGCGGTGTGCTGGTTGAGAATGACTCATCGTTTGATGGCATGGTTACTTTACATATCACTAGCCATTTGCCCGGTGGATTTGATTACCCACCGCTGCAGGCAGTATTTGAAATTGCAGATGGTGATACTTGGGAAGATGGTCGAGGGAAGCGATGCTCCATGTTAGCCGAGCTAAGCCCTTGGATGAACGAGTAAAGTTAAATACGACATTTGAATGTCCACAGCGAATGAATTTACAGCATTCTTATTAATCATGTTTGAATAACTAGTTTATTGGATGTATCTGAGAGGCTTTGTCGATCGCACTTATATCAGGAAGCATCCTATCATTACAGCGTGAGCCGATCCGTGAAGGCCTTACCAGTCCATGACATTTATATTCGCCAAATTTGTAACATTACGCAGATAACCTACATTCTCGTATTGTTCAAAAGGTATAACCTGTGTGTGGTCAGTAATTTCAGGCTATCTTCGTTGTAGTATGAAGTTACATTTCTCAGCCTGGTTAGCTAGCTAGCACGACTTGGAAACTCTACTAGATATTTAACATGTACAAGGCCGGTGTCACAGAAAGACCCCGCATATTGCTGAAGCCAACTCAATCCAGAGTCTCGATTAAATGAGAATAATCACATCGGCCTGGTGAAGAATACGTCGCAATTGAATTTGAGGAGCTACTACACCGAGTCAAGTAGTTCCTCAAGACTATCTCAAACTAACCGGATGATCGGCTAATGAATTGCAGCTTTCAGCACCAAATAGGACGTCTCCAGTAAAGTTTGTGTTTTCTTAGCAAAGGTGCACAAGTAGGCGCATCAGCTAAAATGTTTCTGTAGCCCAGACATTCAGGTAATGTAGCATACTATCTGCTGCTCAATCGCATATCTTTGTATCATAAGTTGGCAAGAATTAAACGTCAAGAATGTTTTAGATTGCAGAGGCCGTTCGCTGTTTTCCCACCTCAGTTCAGTGGTGAAATGAGACACGGCAGATGAGGGCGGTAAATCATAATACCTATCACAAAGTTCAGGCTCTTTCGGCCTGGTCAGCATCACTATTGAAAATCGGTAGGCCCATAACATTCATCCATCATCACGATCTACGCTACAGTCGTGGTTTCTGCATCTGACGGGAACGCCACCCGGTCTAATTTCCAGACGTGGTGGGTGATAGTAAGTACCCATCCCTGTATGAACCCTGTCATCAATCTCAATTGGGGGATCAGTCGACGCCGATGCTGCATGTTGAGGTGGGTGATCAGTGGGGAGCAGCAGGGTTGGGCAGCATAAGGAATTGGAATTGGATGCGCCCATCTCGTATCCATAATTAATACGAGTTCACTCAAAAGTGGAGATAGCCATAAGAGTTTTTGTAACTCGGAACCAACGGCATGGAACTGCTCATCTCCCCGCTGAGGTTAGGGCCGGAAAAGCACAAAAACTTGAGGTCATGACCTAGTGCGACGCCAAAATTGGCGGGTCCTCCGGCTGAGTGGTCCTCGCCCATTCACTAGTGATGCGTGGTTGATGGCGCTTTGTAGATGGAGGGAGTCCAGTAGCAAAGCTTCGACATTATCTAGTCTATCAACATAATTTCAATACGTGTGAAGGCAACGCTAGACATAATCCCATCCCCTTTTTTTTGTTTTTTGTTTTTTTGCTGGCATATTCCTCTATTCCCAGCTCCAATACACTTCGACAGTTGTCGCCACATCGGATTCTCGTAGCCGGTTGGTATCATTTCGGTCAAAACTTCAGAAAAACAAGATCGTGCTGTACGCATCTCGCTTAGAAGAGCATGTAGGCGGCAACGGCAACGGAGCCGAAGATGGCGAAAGTGGACTTGATGCCGGAAGCGCTGTTGGGGGCGGTGGTGGAAGTGCCGGAGGCGGCGGTACCGGTGGCGGTGCGGGTAGCGCTCCCAGAGCTGGCGGCGTCAGAGGCCGTGGCGGTGGCAGAGCCTGTCACAGTGGTCAGGCCGGAAGCGGTCTTGGTAACGGAGCCAGTGGCCGTAGATTCAGAAGACGAACCCGTGGCAGAAGCAGAAGCAGAAGCAGAAGCAGAAGCAGAGGCAGAGGCAGAGCCGGAGGCGCTGGCTGAGGCGGTAGCGGAAGCAGAGGCAGAAGAGCTGTCAGCGCCTGAAAACACAACCCCAAGTTAGCACTCAGTGATTTGAAGCCCAAGGGGTAGGGCCATAGCAGCTATACTTACTTCCGGTCAGGGTGAACTCCTCGGACTGAGCGAGAATGCCGGAGTTCTGGGGGTCGGTGGAGACGAGGTTGATGCGGTAGTCGTCACCAGGGGCGACGTTGAGGCCCTTCAGCTCGTACTTGCCATCGGCAGCGTTGACCTTAGCGATAGTCTGGGAAACTCCAGGGTAGCTGGACTGGTTGATGATGACGATCTCGAAGCTCTTGGGGTCGCTGGAGACAGTCTCCCATTCGATCTCGTTGGTCTTGGAGAGGTCCCAGTCGTCACCCTTGGCGGGCTGGGTGACTTTGACGGCCTCGGCCAGAGCCAAAAGGCTGGTGATAGCGATGGTAGCCTTGGAGAACATGTTGTCGGGTTGTTGGTGGAAAAATTGAGTGTAAAGTGGCGTCTTTTTGATGTTTTTTGGGGGTTTTATATTAAGATAACAATGCGATGTGTGAGCGAGTGACTATAACGAACGTCCAAAATTGATGAATTGAAAGGAGTTGGATGGCAGGAAAGGGGAAATTGAGCTTCACCCCCAAGCTTTATAAACGGACCATATGTGAATAACCCCTGTCTTCACACCTCGCGAGTCAGACCCAGTGTTCCTCCCCCCCTCGTCCTCCTTTTCTTAGTGTCACCCCACCGCCCCCATCTCGTATGGAAAACCGCCCGCCTTTCAGAGAAATTTGGATTGCTGTTAAGTTTGAACCACTAGCCAGCCAGCCCATTATTTTGATAGGTATCTTCCCTGCCAACCGTGACGTCGATCTGCTCCGGGCATGCGTGCGAAGGAAGCGATGAACCTCCACAGAATCCAGTAAAAGATAAGTCGTCGGCCGGGAGTGCCGAGAATACGGATTCATGCCCTTAACAAAGGTTTCAGCTCAGTTGCGATGGGCCACATACCTACTTCCGTCATGAGAAGCTCCAACCGTTGATTATGGCAGCGACGTTGACATCCAATACGCAGTCATGTTCCAATGTCTACGGAGTACATAATCAGGGAATCGCCACAACGCGATAACCCATCAACACTACGATACGAATGCCACACTCCGGTATGGATGCACGGCGCAGCAAGGACCAGTGTTGGTAGGACTTCTAATTTAAGTACCTCGCTTCCTTAGCTCGGTCGTATGGTGCCCTGCATTGAAGAGACCCTCCCCCCATGCAGCACCGACCGGGTTTCCCCTCTCACTGATCTGGTGTGGTAATGGAATGGAGTCCTGTCGGCCTTTCAAATACAGGTTTTCCCTCCACACTGCGCGTACCTGTGCCTGACAGTAGGGCTACAGCCGGTGGCCACCTAATGCTCGCTTCAGCGCGAATGGTTCTCCAAGGCGCCGATCAGTGGGAATAAGACCTGGGAAGGTGGGTGGCCAGGCCATAAGCTTGGTTGGGCTTGTCATTTGCCAATCCAGGCTTAACCCCTTTTTAGTGGGCACTGCCACGCTGGTTCAAAAGTCCCGACGGCGGAGTTCCGGACAGGCTTATCGCGTCATGTCGTTCCACCTATAGGTAGAACTGATAGGAAGCCTATGGCCAGAGAACCATTTGTAGCTGACTGATCCTCGAGGCGAGTTAGCATGTCACTGGCCATTTCCTCGTATCCATACGCAGTGTGCTTCGTAAACATCCATGTGTAATATACACATGTGTTGTATTGCAGTACACACAGAGAACTCGGGGAAAGTCCTGTACGTGTACAAGTTGAAGAGTGTCGCCGTGGCGTCCCGACGCCAAGAAAATCCCCGATTTGGCGATACTCGAGAACAACCGGACGGGGTCAAGGATATCAGTACGGTGTATTCAGTCTATTGATGATATCTAGCGACATATCCTATTGCGTGTTAGATATAAGATGACTACAGGTCAGCGAAGCTCACGTTATGATAAAGGTAGGTCTGGTAATCTGTGATGACAAAAGCGGGTCCGTAGTTGCCATTGCGCAATTATGGCTAATATGTCACGATATTGTCTATAATGAGTATTTGCTTTCTCGCCCTCCTGTTCTAGTTTGGTGGGATCGAACATGGTCTCTACAAACCATTGGTTGAGTATCTGACAGGTAATAGAACATCAGCAAGACGTCCTTTCCCGCCGAAGCCTCATGCGCTGGGGGTTTTTTTTTTTTTTTTGACCGCCATAAGGCCTTCCATCTCAGCAGCCATAGTTTCGTACGATGAGCATCCTGCCTGCGACACGGCTCAAAATTGCGGCATAAATGCCACTGTGATCCAATAAGAACTTGTTTCCGTGTCAAACTGGCATTCTTCTGCATGCAATAATCATTTTGGTCAAACCTTCCTCTGGCTATGGTGGTTCTTCATTACAGGGGCGACGGAGAGAACTAGACACGATTCATATTTGTTACCGAAATGCATAAGTTGGCGACTCATGCTGACCATAGTGTTATGGGGGAGCAACAGGAATACCTAGATAATATTTGCCGTAGCTGTGGTCGAAACGATAAGAGGCTATCGCCAGCTCCATAACGGCGATTTGATATTTGTATCTCGATTTCAACACAGATCACATCATCCGAGCTTAGTTGGCTTACTTGGCCGTGTAATAGATGTATGGGATGCCAGGGCGTTGACTGAGCCTCGTCCCTTACTCAGTGGATGGCTTGGAGCCAACCAAAGCCGTTCAGGCTGTTGTTGACAACTGTCTTCTAGAGAAGATACATTTCGTTTTTCTTCTTGTCTTTCTTGCGCAGCGTTGTGAAAATTTTCTGTCTCAAAGGGAGCTAAAGCAACCTCGACCTACTTCGTATCGCACAAAATTCGATGCTCTCTCGGTTGGGTTATTTGATCGAACTTCAGTTGTGTCCTATAAATAGCTTGGTATACTGCGCTTCTGGGATCTCAAATGCGTTGGTGGAATGTCGCCATGGAGCACCCTCACAGCACATTGGGAAGCGTCATCAACAGTCCAAGAATAGTTTAGTTAAAGAAAGCCTTTTGTCTACTCGGCAGCTCCTCCGTCAAGAACCATTGTCACCCAGTTACATCAAGCACTTACATGCAGTGAAATTGCTTTTAAACTTGGAGGAAATAGGCGGAACTCAATGCCTGATTGCCCAGTGACAAAAGATGTAGACTGGGAATTGAACATCATCAAGCTCTGGAGTCTTGTTTTATCAGGACTCGTCAAAGTACGGGTGCTGTTTGTACCTGTCAGTTGGTTCTTCGACGAGACTGTTATCCCAGCTGAAAAACCTTATATCCGGTTCGTTCGTGAGCGTACCTACTTGGGATCAATATTACAAAGAATAGATGCTAAGCTTTCTGTTGGAACGGTTTTGTAAAGCTAGCTGTTCTGCAAGATCGTATCCTATTGCAGGACTATTTCAGATTAATAGCTATTGAAAGCAAAGGTGTACGTGTTCAAATGGAAGCGTCTCAAACCCGACAAGCAAAACTATATTTATGGCCAGAATCAGCGTCTTTGAAATGATGATTTTTCCCATTGAATATAATGAGCCAGTTATTGCCCATAGCTGACGCCGTCATTTTGTTACGCGACATAATCGTTTCCATCATCAGACTACATTGGTCCTTTGGCATCGGTGTGAAGAACGGTATAAAACAAATACCGTGGATCAGGTGCTTCAAAACAAGATTTTTGGTGAGACCAAACGTGTTCTGACCACTGCTAGCTGGGAAATAGTGATATCAATGGCCTCGTCCTTGTTGTAAACGCCTTAGTTGACTCAGACGGCAGCGCAGCGATGGATGACTCAAGACTTAAGAGTCAGCATAGTACAGTATATGAATACTACGGAAGATGTAGAACGACTGTCCGTTTCCGAACAGAAAGGGCAACATTTGCAGAATCCGAGACGCTCTGCTGTTCGGCATTGCTGGTATTTTACTGGGAAAATATTAGACCAGTCGGGAGAGTATGGCCCTCACAAGTGGCCAATGCTTCATTCCAGAGGTTCAATCGAGACGAATCAGCTAGTGTCGAGTCATGCAAAGTTGACGGTATCGACCAGTCTTAGGTTGCGCTCCTGTTATCCTTATCCGCTGCCCAGCATCATTTTGTACAGTTCAGTCCTGCACGGCCGATTCAATCCAAATCTGTCATGGGCGCTTAGCAGACGGCAGACTTTTACCGTTCAGGCTGACCTCCCATTTCTCATTCTCGCCCTGGTTGCCGCCATTCACCCAAAGGGTATTAGATCATCTCCACCCCAGTTCATACTATCACATCATCATAAATAGATGATGCTAAGGGGAGTCCCAACGCTATAATGCAAAGGAACATAGATATTTTGTTTACCTCTTCGCCGGTCTAATTTGAAATTGCACGCTTCTAGAAAGTACGAGGCAGCCGCCAATTCGACTCGGATATTATAGCACAAGGTATTCGCCATCCGGCGTTGAAAACATGCCGTTTGAGCTCAAGTTCCTGTCGTGCCTGTTCTCGACCAGCGGCTTTCGTCCGTGGACGGCGAACCCCTTCCAGTACCCGTGGTATTTTGTGTTCTTCACCTGGTCCCTGACCTGCGCACAGAAGACAATGGTCTCCGACACGCTCCAGCCAAGCACGCGCGTGAAGAGCGCGAGCGATAAACCCTCTATACCGGGAAGCAGCGAGGCCTGCGTCCACTCACCCATCAGCCTCAGCTTGGGGTCCTTGGGCCAGGGCGACACGGGGAATTTAATATTGGTGACCTTGATGTCCTCGAAGCCAGCCTCCTCTAGAAAGCGGGGGAACTGGCTGCCGATGGTTATAGAACGCCCCCTCCTTTCACAAGCTTCGGCGATAAGGAGGGTCCACCTCATCAGCGGCGATTCCTTCGTCAGGGTCCCATCGTCGCATAGCAAGGGATAGATGGTATCGTGGAGCTCAAAGTAGCCACCGGGCTCCAGGTTGTCAAACGCCTGGGCGATGACACCCTCCCAGTCGGAGAAGCTGCCTACCATGTTCCTCGCGAATATGAAGTCAAAGGGCTCCGTCCACATCCACTCCTTCTCAAGGTCATCGACCTCAAAGATGCAGTTAACCGGCACATAGGCGGGTTGAATAGGACTCAGGTCTACGCCGATGACCTCCGCTCCAGGATGTTCGTCTGCATAGTCCATGGCCCAGATGCCTGTGCCCGTGCCGATGTCAAGGACCCTTTTGACACCGTCCACTTTGGGACAGAGGCAGAGCCTGCCGTCAAAGGTCAACATCCAAAGATGGTTGACAATGTCGAGGCGTTCCTGCTCCAGTTCGTCGTTGGGCAGGGCGTACTTGCCATCGCTGAGACGGTGATAGCTGCGGCCATTTTCGCGGCGATAATCGAGGATGCTCGGGTGTTGGGACGCTTGGGAGGTGATGATTGGGAAGAAACTGCCCGCTGAGAAGTGCGCGTCCGAAGGCGCTGGTTCCTGCGGAACCTGGTATGTCTCGGCCGCCGGCTCCGGGGCGGCTGGTAGCGTGGCCGATTCGATGGTCGGTGCGGCGGTTGAAGCTTGGCCTTGTTTTTGCACCTGTTTTTGATGATCGGCCATGGCTACGGTCCCGGGAACTTTGTCGTGCAACGATGGAGAATACAGGATACTTACTCTGGTACTTACTCATTACGGTGAGGGGCCTCACAACGTCAGATCAGCTACATTAGGAATCCCGCCCCTCTTTGCTAGGAACATCCCCGCCTTCTGCGTTGTTCCATTGCCCCCCCCCTACACTAGGCAGGATCCAAGGCTCTTCGTTTAGCACTTGCCTTACTGGTCCACGTGATTGACTCGAGGGTGCCTGCACACCGACATCACCGTTGGGGTGGACTGCACTAGTCGGAGTCGGAGTGGAGTTAGCGCGGGACCGAGAAACCGGACAACGAGTCGGTATCGGAACAACTTTCGCACCGACCAAAAATTCCTGGACCATTGGAAAAGTAACCATACTGAAGCTACAGCAGCTTCAGAATCGCGCGACACCGCCCTCGAACCACTAGACTCCATCGATCAACGAACCCGCCGGCTGCCCCTCTCGCATTTCAAACATGGTCGTACGCATACGTCTTGCCCGCTTCGGGCGCGTCAACCAGCCCTTCTACAACATTGTCGTCTCGCAAGCCAGGTACGCTGCCAGTCGCCCTTTCAGCCCGATCCCATAAGCCCCTCTACCAATACCGCACGCACACGATGCCAGCAAAGAATGAAAGACCAAGAGCCATATCAAGTGAAGGAAGCTAATAATTGTGTGCCCCCGACTCGCAGAACCGCCCGCAACAGCAAGCCCATCGAGGTCATCGGCACCTACGACCCAGTCCCCAAGCAAGACCCCTACGACGCCACGACCAAGCTGCACAAGGACATCCGCCTCGACTCTCTCCGCGCTCGGTACTGGATCGGTGTCGGGGCGCAGCCGACCGACACCGTGTGGAGGTTACTGTCAATGGTACGACGAGACATGCCCCTTGTTACGCTTTCCTACGATCCGTCTGGGATGGCCGTGAATCAGAGGACGACGATAGGACGCGGAGCAACGTTGTGTGGACAATTAAAGCTCCAACGATGAACGGGATACTCAGCTGCACCCAGTACTGAACTCGTCACTAACAATGCCCTCCGTGCAGGTCGGGATCCTTGAGCCGAAATACAAACCAAACGGGGCCGCCAACACGGAAACAGCAGCAAAATCTCTTAGGGCCCCTCCCGCAACTAAGACATAATGAAATGAATTGGATTCAACATGACTGGATAGAGGCTGTCGTGTGCCCAGCGGCAAGGTTACAGTTCACATATCACTCCAATTCGCGAGGGGTGTCGTCAGGAACGCGGCGGACGACTTCTCTCATAGGCGGCCCTGTACCATTAGAGACGGGAAGAGAAACCAGAGTCGAGCGAATGTACTATTACCGGGCGACTGGTGCGGACCATTGGGAAGTTCGCATGTAAAAATGAGATGGATGGCCAAAGACGAGGCCAAAACTGTGGATGCAGCACCATCGCATGTCACATTGACCTGCTAGAGGGCGTGTCACACGGATTGTATACTAAGAAAAGAGGATTGTAAAGGACCAAAATGTCACTCCGTTTCGAGCCTTTTTTTTTTCTATTTTTTTTTTCCTAAGAGTTTGTTAAAGGCTGCAGCGTCTTTTCACCAGGACCTTGCTTGGTCTTGGTATGTCGACACCAAGATAACTGAACGGAAGAAGAAGTCAAAGCTAGAAACTGAGCCAACGCCTCGTACATGCAACCGCCGCGCTAATGAGGGGTTATACAAAACACAAGACTCGAGTGAAGCCCCCAATACACAAGAAAACACAAGCAAACCGTCCAACTCCAAAAATGCGCAACGCTTCCCGCGGGGTCCTTTAACATTGCAATCTATCTATCGCTAGTGGCCGTGTAATAGGTGGTGCTGTACTACCGCATTCGAAGATAAGCATCTTTAAAACTCTTCTTTCCTGTGAAGAGTGAGGAAAATGCAAAATTCCGTGTTCAATGAGATGCGTGAAACACGATGTTCATGAACAGACAAACGACCATAACGCACACGCCGTAAATGGCGAGAGCCAAGGCCATTTTACGCAGGGCGTCCTGTTCAATGTGCTCGAGATCCCACCGCCATTTGCGGTTCCATTGACGCGGGTTAGCAACAACGCTAGCGACGCTGCCGAGACTTGCGATGCTGGTAACCATGGGGTCTGCATCCTCTTCGTCCGAGGGAAGGTCGGCGTCGTCATCCTCCTTGTGGAGACGTTGCTGGTGCATGCTGTCGGGGTCGCTAATCTTGTAATAGAAAAGACCCGGAAGTATAAAGCTAATGCTGGTTGACCCAGTGCTTCCAACGTAGGCCAAAACCCTTTCCAGGCTGTGGACGGAGAGTGCTGCAACATAAGAAAAAATAAGAAGAACAGACGTAAGGATGACGAATCGGGCCTCGCCCATGGAGGAGCTGGATCCGTGATCGGAGCGGATAGAAACCGAAGAGGGGAGAAGTGGGTGTCCACCAGGCGAGTTGGCGCGAGCGTTGCCACCTGGTTTGCGGTTCGGGCGCCACTTGAGAATCGCATCGACGGATGCGCGACATGGGTGAACCTGCAACGGAACGGAGAAGGTGACAAGTACCACAATGGCCAGCTGGCCGATGTACGAAGCGGCAGTTGCCGAGTCTGAAAGGGATCAGCAAAGCCCAGTACGCGGATGGCATGCACTTACACATCATAACAATATTGCCTACAACCTTATTGCCGAACGTGAGGTAGCCAGTAATGGCAACGACGATGTAGATCGAGGCGGCACCGCCAATGCTCGACCCTACAACCCCTATGATACTCCCAGGAGAGTTGTCCTTGATTTCGTTCAAGATGGCAAACATCTGGCCCCAAAATTAGCAAAGAAAACTAGGCAAGGCAAGCACCCCCCTTTCCCCCGACTTACGTTCTGGTGGCAGGTGTACGCAAAGACAACCACGGGCAATGTGCTGAGAAACGCGATGGCGCTCTCGGGTTCGACAACTCTGATTTCGCTCATGTCCTTGAGACGGTCGGTGGCGAAGTGGTAGATGACCAGGATAACAAGATACCCAATCGATACCAAAGCGACAATACTGGTGTACTTGAGCGAATCCAGCTTTTTAAGGAAGCTCAAGGGAATAATAACCAGCATGAAGGCAGTGATCCAAAAGTTCCGTTCGCCCAGATAAGGATTGCTAGCCACCGCACTGCTGAAAAGGCCAATAAAGACCTTGGGCATCAGGTCGCCAATGATGATCATATAAGATACTCCGACACCGAAACACTTGATCGCAATGGCAGTGTCAAATAGAATGGCGGCGTTTGGATATGTGATTTTGGAGATGGCGAAGAAGGACGATGTCCCTCGATCGAGGTACCGCGCGCAGCGTGACTGCAGGTAGAGGCCGAAGGCGGCCGTAATACCGGACCAGATAATCATCAGCACACCAAGCATGCAGCCCATGTGCGACATCACGGAAGGCATTGCCAACGTTCCAGCGCCAACAACTGTAGCCAACACTCGTTAGTCTCTCGGCCTACGTCGCACTGGTACGCAGTCTCTCGAAGTTCTTGGGTCGGACGTACTGGTATTGAGCAGATTGATCACGCTGCTCGACATCGAGGCCTGGCCTCCCCCTTCCTTTCCGTTTCTTCGGCGTTGCCTATTTGTTGTACGCCATTCGTCAGCAAAGCTCTTCATCTATCTTTCCCCCCAAGACATCGTCTCGCTCCGCATCTCTACGGGAAGGTATTGGTGGGGTCGGCGTACCGTGACATTTCGCCAGAGCTTCCAGACGCAATCGAATTTGCGCTCCCATCAGTAAAGGTTGAGTAATTCTGCATATTATTTCGCTCTGGGTCGCAGCGATCGGTCGTTCTCAGTCAGAGTCGGTTGGTCGGCCGGTTGGGCGGTCAGTCAGTCAGGCGTCGTCGTTGTCGTTGTCGTCGTCGTCGTCGTTGCCGTCGTTGGTCGCGTGTGGTTATCGCAGGCGCAAGCGCAAAAGCGGAGGCCAGATAAGAGGGGCTAGAAAGAGTGGTGGAAAGCCGAATCGGGTAGCTTGGATGAAGTGTCCACAGGCGCAACCAATCGTTGCAGAACACAGTCGTGATGATTGGCGGGAAATATCCACTAGATGGTCGAGCAAGGCGGCAACGTAAAGACTGGTTTGGTGTTTGGTAGATGAAGAGGTTCGTGGTGCTGATAGAAACGACAGTCTTGCTCGGCTTCCCGGCGTTTGGGGTGTCTCAATCGGAATCCACACTTCAAGCGTAACAGGCGCGGCGTTGGACTCGCGACTGTCGGAGGAAGCGGCGAGGCAGGCTGTGACGTGATTTTGAGCGAATCTTTCGAAATCGCAAAGGAGGTTGCCACCCTTCTGGGACAAACCTCGCAGGTCCGTCGGGGTGCAGCGACCGAGTAATTAGACGTTTGCGCGCGCGCGGCGTGGGCGTGAGACCAGTGCAAAATGGAAATGGGGTCGCCGCCGGGCTGGAGCGCACTGGACAGATGGTGGAATGCGGAGAAAGGCAAATGTCAGGGTGGCTAATACCGGTATATTCGCCTGTCGACCACGACAGTGTATGTTGACGAGCGAACGAGTCACGACGTGGGAGGCGAGTCGGTACGCTTGAAGTATCGACAATCGTCTCTGTCGCAAGTCGTGGGCGACATGCGCAACGCAGAACACACGTCAAGCTGGATGACAACGGGTGTAGGTTTGGCACCCGGTATGGATGAAGAAAAAAGAAATATACCGGTCCTGTCGGGGTTCCCGCTGAATAGACGAAAGGTTAAGAAAGGGTGACGATTATGGATTGGCCAGTTTGCCAGAGTGGTTGTAACATAACAGAGCCTGGTTACAGGCCGGGGGTGCTACCTAGGCCTTTGGGGTCTTGGCTGGCAGGCGACGGGGAGGAGACGAGAATGATGTGCGTGTTCCTCGGAGGAATCTGCCTGGCCATTTCCCCCTGTCCAATGTCGTTGGTTCCCGTTACCTGAAGGCGCCTTGCTTCTTAGGTAACAGTAACAGAACAAGACCGGGGCTTCCCGACTGGAACTTGACGAGTCCTTCCGTTTTCAAGTAACAGTCCATCTGGCCACGAGGGCACATTCCGAATGCTCATCAGCCCAGCAGGGCCTGTGCAGTGGAATGACAAAGACATTATTAGACGCCCACATCGAAGTGCCAGCAGCTGGGGCGAGAGGGGTCTGCCATCCCCGGGCGACGCTTTGTCAATCCGGACATGGCGTAGTTACTGCTATCAAGTTAAAATGATTTCCGCCTTGTTTGCCCTCAGTAAGAAAAAAGTTTGCTTTTGTGAGAGTCAAATGAGCAGGCAGATGTCATTTGAAAAAACGTTTACAAAGATTTAAACAATTAAGACGGACATATGTTGAAGTGAGACGCTCCCCTCAACCAAGCAGTTTCAGACCCGGCTTGGCACGGAGGGAGGAAGAGAACATGCTTAACATCGGGGGAGGGAGTGAACTTCTTCTAGAGGCATTCGTGCCGAGGAGCACTAGTGACATGAGTCCGTCACGAGCCACATGTCGCCTAGCAATCGGGATCAAAGGGTTTGTCTTTAGGTGCTGCAAGCTTCAGCCACTCAGAGCTCGCCTCAGCCTTACGGGGTAGGTACGCTAACCTACCTATCCACTCGACTCACCGCATCCATCCATCCCGCCCTCTCAGCCGTGTCATCTTTTCGGCGAACTAGTTGCGCCAGTGTTCTTGAATCCAGAGTGTATGAATCATTGTGTAGGGCACGACACGGAGATATCGAACTTCGTCCTGTGCATGAGAAAAAAAAATCGTCTACACCACGTCTTATCATATCTTTGACGCGCGACGTCACGCGCAGCTTCCCCAGTTCGCCATGGACAATTCCCTCGATAACACGACCCTCTCGACGGTGTCACTCCTTGAATCACGGCTGTTACGAATCGAGCACCTCTTGTACGGTCCGACCGCAGCGTCACCACCTCCCCAGACAGAGTCCGTGGTCGAGATGCTGGAAGAACTCGAACGTCGCTTTAACCACCTCATGTCCCGTATCCGCGTGTACGGCGAGCTGATGAGGCTTTGTAAGTCTTTATAGGATCCAGGCGCCAGTGCCTCATGTCTGCGGCTTGTTAACGGAGTTGCAGATCACTCCCATCCAACGCTCTTCCAACCCCCTCCGCCTTCCGAACCTCCAACCCAGCTTGCCCCAGAGGCAGTCCAAGCAACAGTCCTCGCGTCAGCGGCGTCCTTTCCGGCCACGGCCTCGTCGTTGACCTCTGTGAACGACTGCCCAATCCCCGAAACTTCCCAGAGCGCGGCCCTGGCCTCTCTCGTGCCCAAGATGCGAGGTATTGAAGCGACACAGATGGCTCAAGAGGCGGAAATGGCCGAGCTCCGCGCCCGAAGCGAGGAGGTCCTCAAGAGCTGGTATCAACAAGGTGTTCTGAGCGCATCCGAGTTCATTGCCGAGGTCGAAGGCCGGGTTGAGCGGGTTGAACGCCATGTACGGAGGGCTCGGCGGGAGAAGGAAGACGAGGCGGCAGTCATCTGATACCCCCCCCCCCCCCCCCCCCCTGATGCGTTTCCACGTTTGAACGGCGAAGACCCTTTCTGTGTCAGCATGCCACCGTCGCTTCTGAGCAGTTTCTTGGAGCAGGGCCTCGCATGCGCATAGCACATATGTTATAATCTCGGAACCAGCCGCTATCGACCTCCCATCGTCTCATACAGTAGGCCTTCTGCCGGCATCCCTGAAACAGATGGCTTGCCTTGCCGGACGTAAACTAGACGTGGCGATTAAACACGTCTAAGGCAACATCGGCAGAGACAATCATGACGGCATTGTCAGCAATTGGCAACAAAGAGCGATGATGCATACACGGCGAATCGGCGAGACAGACTCGCCTTTCATCCTAAATACCGACAGATTCTGTTCGTCGCACACTGGGCTCGCCGGTAGTTCTGGCAGTGATGCGGAAAAGGTTCAGATCACACAATGCATCGTCCTCCCGAAGTATGTGCGAGGAGTCAAAGGCAAGCCCGAAAGGTCTTACGTCGGCCACCCGAACGGCGACGTAGGACGAAGAAGTTTCCTCAGAGTTTGCGCATGATCGGATCAGAGTAATTGACCATGATGCAATCACGATGGGATAGGAGGGTAAAATGCCGGGACGGTTTGTGCAGCGGTACGGGATTGGCCTCTCCGTGTTTCAGAAGCAGGTTTGTCCCAGCCAGAGGGCCGAGGTGGCGGAATTCTCTGATCTCATGAGGCTTTGACCCCGACTACTTCTGTGGATTGGATTAAACTCGTGTATGAACTTGGCAAGTAGGGGAACCAAGCCGAGATTCTGCTAGCAACTCGGCTCGTGAGCAGCCGCAAGTAGTCATCAATACGAGAGAATATATCGGGCTTCCCTCTCAAAGAGACATGCAGAGCCACGCAATGAGACCCGGTCAATGGAAGATGGGCCAGGTCAGGATGTGATGGAGGCTAAGACCAAGCTCAGACGGCGACATTGAGGCGCGGGGGGCGGGACAAGGCTGATATACTCAGCCGGGAAAGCTTGGCTACTTGGACACAGTGCAATCGTCGATTGTACTTTTAGGTAGTTCGCCCGGCCAGAGGTTTTCATCCGTGGCACATGACTGAGGCCACAGCCCAGCTGGAACGTGGCACCGTAACGGGCAACAACGGCCGATTCGCTCTCGCTTCACCTCGCCCCATCGGAACCCAAGGGGATGATTTGGGTTGCGTCCGAGTGTCGAACCCAGACGGCCCAGAAGTCATCACATTGCTCAAAGGCTGACTGAGAGGAAATCGGAGTGGACGGCGAGATACCGGAAAGCCACAGGACGGCAGGGTCCTGATTACCACACGGGTTGAGACGGGAAGACGTCGTTAAGGAGGATGAATATCCGTGTGCTGTGTATGCGTCGCAGCCATGAAACCTCTCGCCGGGTAGACGACTATCCCAGCACGGCACTCGCTGTAGATATTGGGTCCTGGCCCCTCGCGTCCAGACTGTCGGATCAGGATCCGTAGATGCTTCCTTGATTCAGGACCTCGCTTCCTCCTCCTCACCCTCTCCCCTCAACCAAAGCCTATGGACAAACCGACTGTTTCGAGAGAGGAGGCCGCTGGAGATCTTGGTCGTCACGGCTGCCACATGAAGGAAGGCCCCAGACTTTGTCCTCAATATGTGAGCCTACAAAGAAGCGGAAGGTGATGGCATCGAAATCGCACGGACTTGTTCGTCGACAGCATGCAGGGGGTTGCGGGACGCTGTCAGGGGTTTCAGCTGGGAAACTGTTAAGGTACTGCACGGTGCGTCTGCCAAGATTTGTTCGGACACAACTGTTGAGGAAGGTGTGATTAATACTCTTGTATAGGTAGTAAGTAGGTATCTACCTTTCCGTTCCTGTTCACGTATTCCTATGCTTTTTGTTATCTTGAGCATGGCATGCATACCTGCTGTTTCTGTCAGGATCTCACGGCAGTCGCTATCTCTCCCCACTCTCCCAAGTCCCCCAAGTGCCCTGGGACCACCGGGGAAGGGCGGCAGAGGGAGCAGCCAAAGCGACGACGGAAACCATGGCGCCGGTGTCGTCGTCGTCAGTGACACAGACGGTGGCCGTGTTTTCTGCACATCAAAAAGAGTGTCAACTTTGCGCTCGGTGGGGGAGGGGGGGTCCAGCCGATCACGGCAGCATTGATAACCCCCATCCGCATCCACACTAGACCTATCGATGTCGGTGTCAGCCGTCACTGACGAGAGCCTTGATTGTGGCCGGGCGAGACACGGGTGAGCGGGTAGATGGAGAGCTATTCGGAAGCGGTGGGCAGTTTGTGGCAGAAGGACGTCGACACTACGATCGAATCCCAATGCCCAGAGACCGGCTACGTCGGGACGATGGACATTGATCTCTGCCCGCGCTTGCGGCGAAAGCGCGCCTGACGCTGAAACACTGCACAAAGAGGAACCTGGGTAGGGCGGGCGTTGATCAGAAGGACCCCCCTGTACCAGGACGACGCGGATTGAGCTACTTGTGCGTAACCAGAGAGTGAATCTGGTTTGCAATCAGAGGTCTCTTTTGCAGGCTCTTGCATGCATGCCCGATTCAGTCGTGTGTTCTCATTACCCTTAAGCAACGCACTGCACTATGACTCCCTGACATCTGCATCCGCACAGGCTCGGGGTGTTAATTGGAAGCGCCTCCATCCATCCCGCGATGGCGTTGACTGAAGCATCGTTCGATACTAGCCCCGTGCTCGCGTGAACCCACCCCCAGCTCTCTAGAGACGCGAGCTCCCCAGTCATCCGCCGAGTCTGCCGATCGTCGTCGCTACATGAAAGAGAATACCACCTGGCTTCTCTTTCTACGGCAACCTTTCGGGCTAGAGGCCCGAGGAGGGAGACGGCTCAGCCGTTGGCGCCCATTCCTCCTCGTGTACGGCCGGCAGCGCGTTCCAGACGATGCGAAACCTTAGACATTGGGGTTGCTATCCTGCTAGAGAAAAAAAGCCAGTCGGCCGTGTCTCTCGCCAACCGAGTACCGGAAAACATGGCGTTTCTTTGTTTCCAAGGCCATCGATTATTCTTCGTTGCCCGGAGAGCCGCCGCCGTCACCACCTACCGTGGACTCTTGCCCAGAAAGTTCCTGATGAAAAGCCTCTTGTTCAATCGACTCTTTCTCCAGCTTTTTCACCAAAGCCTGCTGATAAGACAGCACACGTCAGAGATGAGCTAGATCACAAGCTTTCTCGCACCTAGGGTGGCCGTTGCTCCCATTGCAAGCGCACAGCTCAGCACTCGTCACCATCCCCCTTCTCTTTCATCCCAACACCATGGGGTCGACAATGTGTTCATCCTTGTCCCATGTGAAGAGCAAAGCCTGAAGATCAGTTGTGATGATCATCAACTTCCTCGTCCGGACGGCCGGATGCATCGATGGCACGGGAAACATCATCTCGTCGGCAGGCGCCGCCGGACGTGGACGCGGGCGGCGGAGGCCCGGCGGTGATAGCCATCACCGGTGCTCGTCTACCAGACGACGCATTCTAGCAGAGGTTGAGAGTGACGGTACTCGACCGCTAAAATCACACGCCGTTCACCAGCTGTTGCGGGTACATGGTAAAAGGATAGGCCCTGGGGGAGTATCCAAAACAAGCTTGTTCAGCGACCGTGGGGCTACGGCACACAGGCGCATGCACATACAATCATACACACCATATACTATTTGAACGCCGGTGGTGTGTATATACCCGAATGGACCCGAGACGCTCCTGATTCGAACTGGCTGGGATCCTCCCCATTGCCGAAGTGGGATTCAACGAGTCGCCTCATCCATGGTTCTTGTGAGGGCCAGGCTGGCCGAATACCTACACGGGTGATGACAGGGCGATTGTAGAAGAATCCGGGCTGACATCAGTGGAATACCTAGAAGGCGAAGTGCAGACGCAACAACGGGATCTACGGCCCCTCCTCGAGCCTCCCGTCGACACATGGCCAGGTCTCGGCTCAGGTAACGCATGACCGAAGGCGTGGATATCATTAAGGCTGAATTGAACCAAGAATGTAATGATCTAAGTGAAGCGTCTCGGGGTGGGAGGAGGAGGACTGCGCGCTGGTGGGGACAAGGATCAGGGGCAGATGTCTGTCCAATTATCAGATATAGCAGGAGGAGGCGGGCGACTCCATCGTCCAATCAATTTCGTAGGCGGAAATGCCCTGCAGGAACGCGAGGAGGAACTCCCAAGGGGGACTAGGTATCTGGAAAAAGTAAAAAAAAAAAAGAAAAGGAAAAAACTCAAACCCCTTAGCCTCGATTTCTGGGCCAAGGGGGGAAGGGGGGAGGCACCAACAGTTTCCGGGGAAGTTGGTAGAGGGGGACCGGGTGGTGTGGCAGAAGGACCCTCCCGATTGAGGGGGATTGTGACGAGGTAGGTACAGATCTATCAGGCGGCTCGTCTTGGGAAAGTACTCTATGTCTTGCCCCTGCCTTATTTGGTGCTATCCACTTTTGCCCTGTGCTCCTGCCCGCTGCTGGACAATATATCGAGTCATATGTGTGTACTCCGTACTCCGTCCCCCGTACACGGTGCAGAAAAACCGCGTAAACTGCTCCTTGCAGCAAGAGGGAAAGGGTAGGTCGTATCAGTGTACGGGAAGTGTTTCTCTGCATTGCCATTGCCACGGTTCGGTTGGCTCATGTCATCTACGAAATACTGTGTGAACGAAAGTAGGTATGTATGCATGCATGCGTGCATCTGCGGTGCCGACGACGTGCAATAAAGCGCTGCCTGGTCGAGAATTATTGGCAATGGGACCACCTGGCAGTGCATGGGGGAGGGGGGCATGATATGGGTTGTATTGTCAGTTGGATGGCCCAAAGAGCAGTAATAACTATTCAGTATATCTACCTATAGGTAGTCCACCCCGTAATGAGGACAAGCAACTATGTCCCTCCATTTTCTACTGGTAGAAAATAAGCCAATTGATCCATCAGTGCTTGACCTCATCCACCAATGTGCATGAGATCTGGCTGGGCCTGTGTGCAGTCCACCGTCCACGTTGTGCGTCTCGTGGAGTCTGAATCTCTCCGTCACCCTGTCTGCAATTACCTACGCAGCACACAGCTCGCACTCGTTCGAAGAACCAGATCCCCCTTCCCAGCTTCCCATCTCCCCCCACTCCACTCAGGCCCCCCCTCCCAGCGCAGTTTACCTACAAGGTATGAACCTGCTGCTGCACCACCCACACACCCATACCCGCTGGTGGCCCTTGCAACTTATCGGCGGCCTTCCCAATCGCAGTTGCAGTCGCAGTCGCAGTCCCGGTCCTCTCGCGCTGTCCTCTTTTAATGCCTTTCTCCCCACCCCACTGTTCATTCCTCTTACCTATCCCTTCCAATCCCTATTCCTCGACCAAACGGCTTTCTCAATTGCCGCCCGCCGGCGCAGAGACAGACACACAGAACAAGAGGGAAAGAAAGAGGATAAAGGTATCAAGGACTCGGCCCCGGTTCCGTTGAGAACAGACAGGGAGAGAGAGAGAGAGACACACACACACACCACGCTCGCATACACGTAGCTGTACAGTACGCCAACACACCAAGCACTGGCACACGGCACGAAATCGTCACCCAGCACAGCAAGCAAGCTACACTACGTACGCTAGGCCACATCAAAAGCCTACACTCGCTCGGGCGCGCGCGCGACGGATTCTGACCAGGAACCGCTGCAACAAAATAATAGGGGCGGATTGGACTTTTGCTCATCGACACGCGCTATCCCGGACAAGTGTGCCACAACAACGCAAACTTGGCCCAGTCCACTGCTCAGTTCCCACTAGTCGAGGTCCCCGACTACGAATACACCACCACCACCTAGTTTACCTCCTGCATCCACCCCGAGAGACGTTCCTGAGTTGCACCAAGCTAAGCACCAAAAAGCCTCTCGCTTCTACTCCCACGAGTTTGACCTGTTTCTCGAGCGAGCCGGCAAAGAGAACCCAAAGCTAGAAACTACGCCATAGCACGATATCGACGCCACGCCGCGCCTCCTTCTCCCACTCGTCCGCTGCGCTAACAGCGATCTTGGCTTATTCTGCTTCTGCTGTGGTCCCCGCTCACCTTTCTGTCTCATTCCCACGCCGCCCGCTTCCTTGTTTGGCATCCTGCCAGTCGTTGCCCTTCATTTCACGCCGTCAACCGACGACCAACGCCCGCCCGTTCTCCCTGCTCTTCCCACAGCTTTCCTTGGCTGTCGGCTGCCCCTACAACACCCACCGCCGTCGTCTGTTCGTGGACGCACCTCGCTCTTCCTCTTCTCCTTCGACTCGACATCGATTCGTTGTCATCTCTTGTTGTTTTTTTCCTTCCCACCTTTGCATCCTTTCTTCTTCCGGTTCGTCACTACTTCAACGTTCCGACCCTTTTCTCCCTTTGTATTCCACCGTATCACCAACCGGTCCGCCGCCGTATTCGATTCGCTTCGTCACCACTATTCCGTCTCCCGATTGACCCTTTTTTTTTTCCTTGGAAAAGAGGCCGCCTTGCTGGACAACCCTCTGAAACGATTGACTCGCCTTTGAGATCACCGAATTTCAACCCTTCTCATCACTTCGGCCAGCAGTCATTCGCTGCCGTCTTCTAGGCGCTACGACCTAGACCCATCAGCGCACCACACAGCGCAACCTTGCGCGTGCTGCATCAACACAGCCATCATAACCACCACTACAACATCCGTCCCCCGCTACCCTCTAATTTTTCGCCGACGGGACCAACCACCAGTCGCTCCTTTTTCCCCATTACCCTGAGGAATCGCATTCCAGCCGCGACAACCCCCTCGCGGCATATGCATTACGTATCCACCGTTGGATCTCGCACCGCTCCTTTTCGTCCGCTTCGCCAAATAATCCTTTCTCGATCGTCCAGCTTTTGACAATCTTTCGGGGTCGCTCGACCCATTTCCACGAACCGAACTTCGATCGAGACTGACTCTCGTCATTTGCCCCTGGGCAGCCGATTTTCACGCGACCAAACCCCAACGTCTTTCTCTATGCCATCCTACGGCTCCCTTCACTCACCATCATTGCGCAAAATGGAACAGTCAAGAGCTCAGTACGGGAGGAAGGGTATCAATATGGGGAATATCATCGGTGACCCCTTTGCCCTGGCTACGGTCTCCATCTCCATGGTAAGTTGATGCCGGCACAACTTCATGCCCCTTGCCCCTGCCTCATGCTGACCGTTCTCCAGCTTGCGTGGATAATCGCATTCATCAGCTCCATCATCGCGACGACACAGGTTACAAATGACTCCGGTTCGTTTCCGCCTTTTGCATGGTGGACAGTCGTCTACATGTCCTTCGTCATCGCTGGCGTCTTCGTCGTCGTTGCCTCTGACACAGCGCAAACCTATCACGTCGCTCTCACGGGATACCTAGGGGCCGCATTAGCCCTGAACTCGCTGACCATTCACTCCCTCATCTACTCCGCCAACGGAGCCCGCCAGGCTGCCGGTGCTGGCTTCATTCTAATGGCTATGGTTACCGTACGTTTTTCTTCTTGGCTTTCTGTTCTTTACAGAGCGACTTGAATACTGACTGCCGCAGATTGTCTGGATCTTCTACTTCGGCTCCGCCCCTTCAGCAAAGCCGCGCGCCTACCTCGACTCCTTCGCCCTCCAGAAGGAGTCTCATAGTCGACAGATGATGTACGGAGGCGGCCGACCCGAAACCTCGACCTCGGTGCAACCTCCGCAGATGTACACCTCGGCGCAGCTCAACGGCTTCGAGAACCCGTCTCCTGTTCAGGGCATATCCACCACCCAGGCTCGCAACTCAGTCGTGGCGCCAACTTTCAACGCCACCCCACCAGCTACGAAAGGTCCCGGCCAAGACCAGGAGGTAGTGCCGCCCACCGAGTATCCTTACCGCGCGAAGGCCATTTACAGCTACGAGGCCAACCCCGACGATGCGAACGAGATTTCCTTCTCCAAGCATGAGATCTTGGAGGTGAGCGACGTAAGCGGACGGTGGTGGCAGGCGCGCAAGGAGACGGGCGAGACGGGTATCGCACCAAGCAACTACCTGATCCTATTATAATGAAGCTCATGAATTTCATTTCGCCTTTGAAGATGGGAGCAAAAAAAAAAACCAAATGACCCTATGGGACATGGGAATGGTTTGATGTTCACTGCTTGTTGGAGCACATTAGGGTCCCTTGTTTGGGATAAAAATCGATTGCCGCCTTTCTGAGCCACGGGCGGCATCACGTATATCCGCCAAAGTGGCCTCTTTCTTCTACCTGTTGTTCTAACTTCTCCCCGCCCACCCTCGCGCGCAGGCCTTTTCCCTATTACTGCTAGTTTGCGTTGTCGTTGTCGCTTGAGCAAAGGGATTGTGTGTGTTTTTTACTACTTTCTACTTTTCGTTTTCTTTCTGGGACGGTTTTCACGAGCAACGGGTTGGTCATTCGGATAGCTACGGTAGTTCGCAGGTGGGATACCCATGCATGTTGGTGTTCCCTCGCTGTGTCATAAATGGTATTGCACATATTCAAGAACTGCATATTGGCACGACGATTGTGAATGCGTGAGTGTGGGCTGGTTGTTACTGGTCCCATAACGCCTAGAGGTCGAGAGGCTAATGGATCCCCTTTGAAAATGCTTGTGGTGAAGATGCTATGCCGACTCATGCCAAGTGTCCGATATCCGACTTCGACCCCAGACAGGACCTCGGACAACCCCATCACGCGAGATCTTCGTGCCGGGAACACAATCTCATCGAGCCTTCTACCCAGCAATGCGGCCGCCTATTCCGCCAACCCGACGTTTCCATTCAAGGCAAAGTCACTCACTCACTGCCGCCTAGTATTTGAACTCAATCTTAGTCTACAGAACCGTGTTTCGTTTCGTGGAGGCGACGTCCTCGCCCTCTTGCATTGGGTATCATAACAATCATCCATAGCCAATTTTTGCTTCCCGCGGGAGCACCAAGCCCCTCCTTCGCCCCGACGCCAGCAAAAGTCTCGGTCGGTCTCACGCCAATTTCTTGACTCCCGTCCCCGGACCGGTGCGCCGTCGTCACTCACGCCTTGTCCAGCCTTTTCCTCAGCTCCCTCTCCTTGGTCAGGACCTCCAACTCGAGCCTCTCAACGCTGTACTCCAGTCCTTCCCTCCGCTGCCGCACAGCTCTCGCGCGCAGCGCGCTCTCCCCACCCAGCGGCCTCTTGGTCCCCGCGCCCCGGCCAAGGCCCTTGCTCTTACCCTTCTTCCCCGCGCCGCCGTACCCGCCATATTCGTCTCCCTCTGGCTGCGCCAACCGGCCCTGCAGCAGCTCGCAGCGGGCCTGCAGCGTCTCGATACGCCTCTCGCGGCGGGCGATCTGGGCCTCGGCGCGGTCGAGGAGGAGAGCGATCTGGGGGCCGATCTCGTCGCGGAGCGAGGCCTCGGCGGCGGCGAGGGTCGGCTGCGGGATGAGCTCGAAGTGCCGCGTGGGGCGAAGAACGGAGGACAACCGCGGTAGGTCCGAGACGCCGGCGTCGAGGGTCGCGACGGAGGACTCGAGGAAGTTGAGGGAGGAGCGGAGGGAGGCGACGCAGTCTGCGTAGGTGGCGGCGTTTTGGGCCATGGTTCGTGCTTTGTGGTGCTCGATGCGTGTTGTGGTCGTCGTGCGTGGTACGTTGTGCGTGTTTGCGCGATGGCAGCCGGCTTGTTGTTGTTTTTCTGTCCTTTGTTTACTTTGGGTGTTTTTGTAGGTCACTGATGTCCCCGTCTCGATCGTGGGGATCTGGCAGAAATAACCCCGCCCGTCAGCCGGTCGGATGGGCAGATGGTGGTTGGTGGGAGGGAGGGATTTTGTTCCGTCGACGTTCTGAGAAGTGCGCGAGCTGTACGTCCCGTCAGTTGCAGGATGATGGATCTTTGTATTTTTCCCTGGGCGGCTTGAGACGCTTTGTCTTGCTCCCACGTTGTTTACATACCTACTACCTACGGGCCCCGCTAACTCAGGAACGGAGCGGGCCTTGGTGCACGGGCCATGCTTCGCCGCGGGAATCCCGGGTGAGCTTCGGCGTAGATACGCACCGGGCTCCTGCTCACCTTGATTTCATTGATTTCATAATTTGGCAAGGCAAGAATAGTCAAGTCGGCTCTTTCCTCGTCCTATATCGAGTTGCTTGACTTAGCCGGACCATGCGTATTCTTACTTCTTCTTGGTTTACTGTCTTCCCAACCCCCTAGATTTGCATCCATTACTTCATCGGCATGCCCGAATTCCTTTACCGCCGCCCCGTCGTTGCGCGCATAGATGGTCAAACCAGGCTGTTCTTTATCTAGCCTGGCTGGCCGCTACATACAGTTGAGGCGGTCAGCGCGTCATTTTCTCACAAATTTGTTGGCAGCCTTGTGGGAAACAACCCACAGCAGAAACTTCACTAATCTGATGTCAGCATTGCCATACGTTAACCATTCTCGTTGGTGGAAACACTCTGCTCTGTCTCTTACTTGCGCGCGCAGATCCGTATATTCTGATCACTATTCGGAATAGCCGTCGCCATCTCGGGATCAAAAGGACTGGTTGCAACACCACACAACGACATTCTTGCCAAGAATGCATACACGACCTAAGGAAGAGTGGAGGGGGCACCCAATGTAGCCCATGCCTCCTTAACTGTATGCTTGGCTCAGAATGCAGTGAGATTTCATGCCAGCTGGTCTAATCTGATTAGCTCATGGAGTCTACCACGCGGCCCACCACCAGTCCGTCGGTAGCGCCCCTTGCCTTCCAACAGCAAAACTAGATATCCCGAAACTGAGCGGCCGCCCAAACATGCGGGACGCGTCGTGACACCACGGACCTGACTCACTGCAAGTCTTGTGAGTCTAATTCGATGCCTTGCCTTGGCACTTGCTATCCAGCCTGATCGATGCGGTCTGTGGCTGTTTGAGCTAGACATGGCGGCCGACAGACGACTGCTCTTGTTAGGCCGTAAGCAACCGTTTGCTTCCCAGCAGCAGTGGAAGTAACGGAGAGTATTACCGGGGTGAGGTTGGCAGAGAGCTTCTGAAATGCAACTCAATGTGTTGGTGATGTGACGCCACGTGTATGCAAGTCATATTGCGGCTGCTTATGCCGGACTCGGATTGTATCATGTCTGCGCTTTTGAGAGGGTGTCGCCTGCTCTGGTCAATCTGCGGAAGTCCCGGTCGAGTGCTCAACGAACTTGCATCTCGTGTTGCTTCGTATATGAAGAGCCTCTTGGACTCTATCATGGCCTCTAATGGCCAAGCCCATCGCATTTTCTCCCAGAGCAACGTCCCAGTCGTCCTGAGCCATGTATACCGGTCATAGCCCTCTCTCCGAGCGGGTGTCGGCAGTTCCAAACGTACGTTTCCATGCAGTGCCACTCACCCTCCAAGAATGCCAGCCTGATCTTCCCAGCCTATCTCGTCACTTCCGGAAGCGACACAGCCCAAAAGTGCAGGCCCGTCGGGGTACAACTCTGCAACCGTGGCCGTTGCCGTTGTCGTCGCTCTTCTGCTGCTGATGGCTGTCGCTGCTATTTCTCGCACCGAGCACCGGAAGAAGAAGGCCTCCGATGCGCCAAGAACCAGTATGAAAGGGAAGGACAGCGAGGACTTGGGCCATTCAGAAACGAGATGGTCCCTGGGGAGTTTTGACTCCACCGCGGGATTGAAGGAACCGAAGCCTGTCGCACGGGGTCTCTCCATCGGAAGACGGTTTGCTCTATTCTATGAGAATAGGTAAGGGGTGTGGTGAGTTTGTTGAGGAGGTTCGTTCGATTTTCCGGTGAATATCACGTGTTCATCGGTCAGCGGCTAGGTTGTTGATATTTATCGTTCTTATAGAGAAGCGGACATACAGAGACATGCAAATTGCCCTTATGTTTGATAAACAGCTAGATGATTGCGTCTATCGTGGCTCATTCTTGCGCATCCAAGATACGCCAAGCTGATAGTCCCTGCAGTTTCCTGCTTGCGATGGCTCTTTAGGCCACAGGCGAAGTTTTTTGTCGACGCCAAGTCCGCGTAAATTCCGCTCACCCCCGGAAACCAATAACTCCAGAGCAACTACGCTCGACCTCCCAAACCTAGCTAAGGCGTTGAATGTTCTTTAAGCCTGGATCTTCTCTCTCACGGCTCGTCGGGCTTCCGTGGGCGTGTGCATGCTGACGCCGGGGCTAGGCATAAGTTCCGGACCCACTCGGATCTAACTCCTGTCGTGTCGTCCCGGCACATTGGTGCAGGTCCGCCTGCACCAACGACGAACCGCAATGTCGGCCTGCAAGAGAAGTAGCTACTATAGTACTTATCGTGAAAATCATTGGATCCGAGTTATAAATACGCTTTCCCAGATCCCCCCCACGACTCGCCTCTGATTAATCACACTCTGGTATCCAAACAGTTCCAATCATCTTCGCCATTTCCACCATTGACAATTTTAGAGAAGGTCTCCAGAGCTATGTCTTTCAACCTTAGCGAACCAGGCCGCGCAATTCGTGCTGGCGTCATTTTGACCAAAGGGTTTGTGACTGGCCATGTCCACCACCGCCCTCCCCCCCTCCAATGAGGTATGCTGATAATTGAACCGATTACAGTGTCACGGAAATGCTTGACGTCGCGCCTTTTGAGTTCTTCGCTTGGACAGACAAGGCTATGTGTCAGATGTTGAATTTGCCCAGGGAGATGTGGAAAGACACTTTCGCCGTAGAGCTACACTGGATTACCGAGGACGGGAAGCCCGCTAGGATGAGGAGCGCTGCCGTGATTCAGCCCACTGTAAGTGAAGTAAAGGGGCCCTAGGCTGTTATACGAAGGCCTACGTTGATAAAGTGAACAGGATTCGTTCGAGTCTTGCCCCCCGCTTGACATCGCTCTCATGGGCGCTCATGACGCCGATTACAAGACCAGCGAAGCTGAGCTTGCCTTTATCCGCAAGGTCTGGGGTGAGTGCAGCGCATTCCTCACCATCTGCGGCGGCATGATCCCCCCTCTGGAGGCGGGAATTCTCACGGGCAAGACGGCCACCTGCCCTCGTCCCATGATCGGCGTGATGAAGAAGAAGGTGCCGGTCGTCAACTGGGTCGAGACGCGGTGGGCTCGTGATGGGAAGCTCTGGACATCGAGTACGCTGCTGAACGGCACCGACATGGTGCGCGCCTTTGCTGAGTCCACGTGGGGTGGGAAGAACGGGATGGTTGAGGCAATGCTTGATACCGCTGCATTTCCCACGAGAGACGTGGATTTCAAGGATTTCAAAGGGCATCATTACACGGTTGAAGAAGTGGACTTTATGTAATTGGTGGCACCAGTCTTTCTTCCAGTGGCGATCCACGAAGGAGTCTTCGTTTCGACCTATTTCGTCAAGACAGAGGAATATTATCATAGCTGGTTTACTCAAGGATCCCGAGCTTGCATCTTTCGTCGCAATGTATCAATGCCTCAAACATTCTCCGGGAAGATGAATTGGATAAATTCTACGTGGTATAGTGGTCTCAAAGACAGACGTCCCTCTTGCATTCTCGGTTTAGGTACGTGGCCATTGCAATTAGTTCTGCTTTAACTGAATCGATCTTGATGCTTGGGCCTCACCTTCTGAGAGTCAAGATGTAGGACCTCCGCCAACTCTGACCGCAATCTATTTTCAAAAAGAGAAAGGGCAATGTATGGTCTGTCGGCATTTGGCTTATCCAAGGATCTAGAAGAGACACACGGAGTACTTGTTTAAGCACATACTCTGCAAGTATCAGTGAGAGGCCAAATAAATATAGGCCGGCCCGTTGATAGGTCTCTGCCCACTTGTGCCTCTTTACCCATGTCTTGTGAGCGATGCTGTGGGGTTTGGGCGAGATAGTTGATCGCTGCCTGAGTAAATAGAAACCCTTAGGCGAACCTGGCGCTGCTGCACCGAAGAGTTTGGACATTTATCTTTCATATACCTAGGGATATCTGTGGCATAATTAATTCGCGTAATCCTGAATAATGCCCTGCAAAAAATGGTATCATCAATGTAGTCACCTGACCCCAAAGTTAGGGAGTAAGGGTAAAACAAACCACCTTGATGGCACAGTAAACATTGGAAATTTAGTGTTGGCACCATGCACTGTATGTACCGTGCGGGCCCCCCCTCTCAGTGATAGCCGAGCTGGCGGCCGTTCCTGCCGTTCCGTCGCGTGGTTCGTCGCTGACCGTGCGTACTTGTAAACTCCGATGCGGAGTGATGTCAGCCCGTCGCACGTCCCTTCCGTCTTCTTCCACCCTTCTCCCTGAAATGGTCGACGGACTTCAACCCATCATCTTAACGTCACCTGCCAATCCCAAATCAGCACAAACCAAGCCATCACGAAGATAATTTTCCTCCGATATGGCTCTGAGAGTGAGTGCTGCCGAGGACCTGCAAAAGGTAAAAATACTGATCGCTCGGTGTAGACTCTTGGTGCGAAGGCGGCTGCGGCCCTCGATAAGGACTTGATGAGTACTGGTGCCTTTTCTATTGACCAGCTGATGGAACTTGCCGGTCTATCCGTTTCTCAAGCCGGTATTTTTGACGTCTCCCAGAGCGCCATGACAGATGACAATTGACATCCGATGCAGTCTACCGTGTTCACCCACCCAGCCGAGGCGTGAATGTCCTGATTGCCTGTGGACCTGGAAACAACGGTGAGCCTAGGTTCCTCCCGATAGTACAACGTAAAGCTCACCTAGCTGCAGGGGGCGACGGATTGGTTGCCGCCCGGCATCTTCGTCACTATGGCTACAATCCGACTGTTTACTACCCCAAGAGAAGCAAAAATGAATTATACCAAGTGAGTGAGGATTCATTTGCTTTTATCTATCTCGATCGATTCGTTCGGCGCGATTATACATGGGGAGTGCTTGCATTACATCCCATATCTATCAGCGACTCCTCGTCTTCAAGTTTCCATTGCATCACCCCCAAAGATTGCTGATGCTTTTCGTTGTCCTCCCATGCCATGCTATGCAAACGCACAACTCTATGGTTTTCCTTCCAAGAAAGCGGTAGCGTCTCGGTTCGCACGCATCAAGTGCAAATGTTGCAATGGACCCCTTTTCCTTCCATTCGGGGGACTGCCGTGGGTTCGAACCTTTCCGCTGATCGTTTCCTCTTTAGCGACTGGCGCAGCAGTTGGTAGATCTGAACGTTCCATTTGTCGACGATTTCACGGCGGCTCTTAAGTCAACGGATCATATCGTAGACGCCATCTTCGGTTTGCTCCCACTGCCGCTGGTTTCGTGAAATCGCCTAACATTGTGGTGTCAGGATTCAGTTTCTCTGGCGAAGTTCGCGAGCCGTTCCCTGCAGTGATCAGGGCGCTCGAAGAAACAAAGTTGCCTGTGACATCGGTTGACGCCCCTTCTTCATGGGATATCGAGGACGGCCCGCCTCCGTCTGGTCCTGGCAGCTCTTTCCAACCTGCAGTACTCGTCAGCCTGACGGCACCCAAGCCGTTGGTGAAGCATTTCAAGGGGCGCCATTTCATCGGCGGAAGGTATGGATGGCCTGGAATTCCAGATGATCCTCTTCCCCGAGGCATAAGGAAATTTTATTGGCTGACCTTGGGAGCAGATTCGTATCGCCAGGCATTGCTGAAAAGTACAATGTGGACATTCCGCCATACGAAGGCATCGACCAGGTGGTAGAGGTTGACAACAATGGTCAGAAGCTATGAATGAGTCAGTCGACACGTTCGTTTTTTGTTGGTTGCTGTAGTATTTACCATTCTATCTCTGGGGAACCAGAGTCAAGCTTTTTCCCTCGCCGGGGCATCTGTCTAGATGACCGCGCAGCCCCCAATGCGGCTGTTTGGACAGACAGGACTAGGACATCGACCGTCGAGCATCTGCATTGGCTGAACTATAAGACCCTGCGGGCAATTCAAAAGGGGAGGATGATATGCGTGACAAAATGCAACATAGACGAGGTATAGTCTTCGACAGACTGGGCAGACAGTTTTGTGCTCAACACACATGAAAGCCGAATGAAAGGGAGTTTGAGCCTCTCGGACAGCGTGTGAAGAGTGATGGTGAGTAAGTTTGTCTTGAAGAGGGCAACATGGAAATGTTTCTTCCGGGTCGAAGCAGCGTTGGGAGCGGATAGTAGGCAGAGGAACTACCAGGGCCTGTTGAGAGTTGGCGTCAAACCGGCGGCCCAGGTGTGGCTGATATAAACAGCAGCTGTGGCTGCTGCCCCCCAACGTGTGAGTCTCTCATCCAATAAGGAGACAAAGTTCTAGGGGAATTGCCACACGGGGGTTCCGCAGGGACCCCTTGCCAGGCCGGAGCGTTTTTAACGACGACAGAGAACGTTGTGGACGAGGGTGCCGGAGGTTCTCTTTGGTTGGTCGGCGCAGACGGGACGCTGTAGAGTACGTGTGTCTGGGGTGGGGGAGGGGCGAATCTGGAAGACTGGTGCGGCAGCGGCGGCGGCAGGCTCGACGGGAAGAAAGGTTTGGGGGGGGAGGAAACGGGAAGGAAACGGGAAGAAAGACGATGAGGGGCGGGAATTTGTCTTGTGAAGTGAAGAGAGAAGGGGAAAAGGGCAGAAAGGTAAATGGGATAGCCGATGGAAGAGTAAGGGGCAGGGCAATAACGCGGCAGCGGAATGGAGCGGACGAGGCGAGGCAGAGTCTAATCATGCTCGACAATTTTGATTTGTCTGTCTGGGAAAAGACATTTTGGTGCGTCCCATATCCCATTCTTTTTTTTCCCCCTCTTCCACGGTAAATCCTCCTCTCCATGAGGAGAATGTACTCTGTACAATGCGGCTTCCGGGCGTGGTACCCTTATTCCCCATCTGTATCCCCAGGTCGGACCCGTGGCCGGGTCAGGTAAGTACAAAGTAGTGCAGAGAAGGCGACGCGAAAAAAGGTCGAATGGGGACATGTCTCCAAGCCAGCATCCCAAGCAGTTCTGGGTTTCCTGGGCCTTGCCGGAGCAAAAGCTCCTCGCCACCCCTGTGATAGGCCCGAGCGGCAAGGCAGCGCTTATGGGGCCGCATGGAGCACTGGGTGGTCTCCGTCGTTGTGAGGTGCTATCGGACGGGACCCACCTTTTCTTGTCTCTCTCTTTCCTTCTCTCTCGTCGTGTCAGTGGAACCCACAACGGCGAGAACAAGCGTTGGTACCTGTGTAGAGGCAGGCGAGACAGAGACAGGCGCAACGCTGAACTAAGCCACAATTCCTTCACTGTAGCCGTACGGATATTTCCTGACCATTCGAGTAACCCCCCATTTCAACACAATCCTTGTCCCCTCCTTCCGTTGGCACCACCGAGCAAGGACATAGCAGCTAAGTACGGATACAATGGGTGGTAAGGAAACGCAACGGCCCAATCTAAGTACGTTTGTACTCGTACACTTCCCCCCCCCGCCTAGGTGGATATCAACTGTACCTACACGTGGGTACCTTGCCTGACCCTACTCTCCCCTCATTCATTAGTACCTTCCTCTCCCTCCCATCAACATTCCTTGTCTTCTCCGCGACTTGCATGCTTCAACGTACCACGAAGGCTAGACCAACGGCTCGACCGGGTTGATCGGTCGGCCGGTCGGTCTGTCTGCCCTCACAACAGGCACCTCTCTTCGCCGGCTTTACCTTCTTTCTGAGTTGATAAGCCGGTAGGCCGCGCATGACACTCGAGGTTCGTGTCGGGGTCTGGACTTTCCGCCCCCAGCCGCACTATCGTTAGCTGCAGCAGGAGCGTGGGCGGATGTTCGGGATGCCTACAAGTATCAGATTGGAGCCGACAAAGTGGCAGCCGCGCCGCCCGTTCTAACTGTGTATGTATGACTTGTGAACCACTATGTACATCGTACATGGTAAGTACACTGTTAGTCAGGGGATCCCCTGCTGCTGCTGCTGCTGCTGCTGCTGCTGCTGCCAGGCCGAACTGTCGCTCGAACTACACGTCATAGACTCACTGAGGGGGAGGAATGGGCTTCTACAGAAAACGGTGCTGCCGCCATAGGGGTTTTACTATCCGTGGAAAGGACAAATTGCTGATGAGGACACATTTTCCATGGTTGTCAGACCACATATATGGCATTGATTGGACAGCGTCTAATCGTTCCTTCCATTCGCTTCAGCCCGACGTCGCTCCCAGGAGGTCAATCCCATGACTGGGGTCTGTTGACTTTGCCTGCCAAAGTAGGGACTCTGCCATGTGCCCCTCGCTCGGAACGCGAACAAGACTCGTCAACATCGAACGAGGCGCCGACATTCCGACATTGGCCCACACGGCATCCGGGGCTTCTGGTCGTTTCGAGAAAGCGACATACCTATGCCCGGGCTAACCATGTCAAAAGCAAGACCCTGAACTGAGGTACGTATCCAAAGCGGTCCCTCTGCGGGTCGCACAGGTACATAATAATTCTCTAACACAGTTGGGGAAAAACGGAGCATAAGCATCATGCATGATATTACTTAACACAATACATGTACAAGACTCCTAGAAGAACATGGGAGTTTGGCTTCACGCCAAAGTGCGAGAGAGGCTAACAGCCCTTTCACTCCCCACCGATTTGAACATGTCCTAGCTGCGGCGCCTGAGAGAGCTGGCGCCAAGTGGTCATTGCAGCCACGCAGCAGCAACAGACTGGTTCAGAAGGTATGCCATCGAACCACTAGATTCGCCTTGCCTTAGCCATGCAGTCCCTATACAGGGGAGGAGGTTTGAAAAAAGAAAAAAGGCCTAGCGCACATCGTTGCATTGGCTTGTTCTGAAACGGACACCGAATCAGAACTTAGCAAGCAAGGCCGGAAGGGATTCCGGCGGCCCCAGATGAATGGATAGAGATTCGATATTGGAGATATTATGTCAGAAACGCAAAGTCTGAGGTGACTGCGCGCTCGCTGTCGTGACCGTCAGACGAAACTAATCAACTTCTGGTTCTTGGTTAGCCTGGAGAAACCGCCCTCTGCATGCGTTTTGTATCATACACTACAATCATCTCACGTCATTGCAGTGGGTGCCCGAATCTCATTGCGACGCTTTGGATTATCCACTGTCGACGCCCAACGAGATTGAGTTTTTGACATCCCAGGTGGCGCTGGGTGCCAACCTTTGCCAGATTCTGGCCGAGCCCAACCTGGCCAGTTCGGTGGAGAAACCAGCTGGCGCTCGGCTCGAGTCGTGCTATAGGAAAAAAGCACTTCTATTGCGACCCATATCCTCGTTTGTTCAGGATCCAATTCACGAGAAACCCCGCCTACAAAACGTGGATGCACGCTTCAGTACGACGCTCTTAATCACGTACCAACATCCACCTTATTTGTCCGGCCACGACAGTGCGACAATTCGACGGCAATGACCACCCGGAGTCTCAACCAGTGATGCCCGATCAGGAGATTCTTGACTTGACGGCAACCTGTTCGTTATGTCGTACTCTCTAGCAGGAAACTATGCTACCTAGGTCTAGGGTTCTCAACATGCCAGGCATCGGATCGGATCGGATGGCGGAGCTGGCTCCGATGCAACATTACTTCTTCGAGATGCGAATGACTTGCACAGGTTAACATGCTTTCGGGTCCTGCGCACAACTCGATGGCCTTTTTTTTTTGTTTTTTTGCCGTGCACAACAAGAGCTAAGCGCCCCTGTCAGATCGGCCAGACACGGCTGCGGTGGTTGACGATCGTTTCCCCCTTTGGGATGACTTACGGCAGCAAAATTTGACCGGTCCCATGTTGCATCTACGAACCCCCCTCCCCTCTTGCCGCTGCCACGCATAGTGGCCACGTTGGTTCCCGCAGTCGAGGTTTTGAGGGCATTCAGACTATTCCCAAATGAGTGCTGCCGGGTCTAGGTACTTGGGTGGCCTAGGGGCTATGCAACCGGCCCAGGATGATTGACGACATGTGATATTGCCCGTCTTTCATCAATGGCGCCAATTCTAATCCAATCTTCTCGTTTGTTCGACGAGTGCTGTTTTGCGTGCCGAAGTAAGTTGGCATGAGCTGCAGTGAAATTTCGCGAAGGTTCTATGACGTAGGGGGGTCGTGTGGGGACTGACTTTCACGTCGGCCACGGCGCGCGGGGTTCGTCATGCCCGCGAATGCAAAGTGGCCTTTGTGGTTCAGCAGTCTCTGGTCAAGCAGAATTCACACTCGCCACAGGGGAGGGGTAGTGAGTTTGTTTCGACGACCAACTAACGATACGGAGCGTCTAGGTTGCTCAGAAATTCCTACAGTATATTGGGCTGGTCTTGGACAGGGTGGGACTTGCGAACCTGCCTCACCTTCGACACCAATCAAACCGCCACTTTTTGTACTTTGCGTGTATTTTCTATATGTCTTGCGCTCCTTACATTTCATGCAATGCGACGACGGAGCCTTCCGGGAGCAGTGGAGTCTAAGCCCAGCCAGACCCTTGTGAATAGTGGCATTGGCACTTAGCACCTCGGCATCACAGAAACCATGCTATTGGACTCGTCAGCCACGCCACGGCCTCGATGGTAACGTTTTGTTGCCGCCGAGATAACATCAAGATCCCAGCCCATAGTCCGAGGTCCGAAAAGGGTTACATGGCAATATCGTCTGACCGTTCCTTTGCGGACCTGTTCTAGGCCCTCTAGAACCGTCTCGACCTCGATCCAATCGTTCTCCACACCTCTACTTATAGATACTTCGTATCCCTCTGATGATAGCGTCTGCTTCCATAGGAGTACACGTATTAGTCCCGCCTTATTATCGTGTACCTGTGCGACCTCAAGCGGGACCGCCTTGTAGATGGTATTTCGTATCTTACAGGTAGTATCGGTCCCGCATCCTTGCGCGGCAAGTCCGTGGGCCGCAATCGCCATTGTGGACGTGGTTGTTACGATTACGAGGTGGTGTCTAGGGGTAGGTGTATCGTACCGTCGAGGCGGTGCTGCGACGGGAAGATGCAGGTCCGACGACACGTCACTATATATGGTGCTGGTATCGCGGTCATCGCTTCTCGTGATGGAGACTGTGGACACCCTGTCTACAAGGACGTGGCGGCGATGGCAGTGTGATTGAGTTGTCTAGCTGTGAGCCTATCAGGTCGTGATAGTTGTCAAATTTATTTAATCGGGTCGGCAAATGGATTTCTGATGCCGCTCAGTAGCCTGCGTAGGTGAGTCACCTCGTCAAAGACGGTGGAATATGCCAGGCCTCTGACGGTGGATTGCTGTTGACCAAGTGAGTCATTTCGTCTGATGATTAGGTGTCGAAACAACAATACGCCGCAAAGACTGAATAATATCAAATCTATATCATCGTAGAGAAGACTCGAGAAGCTGTATTGATGCAAGTTTTCAATTGGCTCACCATGATCGTAGTTGTCTCCCTTATATATGTATTTGCCATTCTTACTGTGGCGTCTATCTGCTGCTGTCTTCCCCCACCCACTTATTAGCGACATCACTTTCAAAGATTGTATATTTCGTTTAATTGAAATGTTCCGGGAATGTCCGTAGGATGAGTTTTGTGTAATACCCTGGGTCTGTCAGCACTCAAGCGTTGTAGGCCGATTGGAGGATGTGGGCTTGAAGACACAGTAGATAGGGGAAGCCAAGGCTTTTCTGAAGCAAATAAAAAACACCACAAAACTCAGGTAACTGCTCATAGCCGTGGGCCTTTCCGCATACTCTTGGAGGGGCGAAGGTGACTGATTTGTACCAGGTCTTCTGTTGATCAGGAACTTATACAGTGCAGATTTAAATCATATAAAGTAGCATAATATTTGACTGTTCATGTACCTGAAAACGAAAACCTTGGATCATAATTGGAGACATACAATTTAATAGATGATTTAATAGTAGCAGCGACAATACACTTAGGAAAATCTTACTGATAGTTAGATCCTTCCATTTCACGAAATGTCAACAACCATAACTAGAGGCACATTTTCGGGGAACGAACAACTTAACTTATCATCCCATCTGGTTAGCCAAGTCCCTGATACGTGATAATCCGTCTCGTTGTCTGGTGTTCAGTAGGCACAGCTTTGACTTCGTCAAAACTTGGGACGACAACGAGGATCTTCTCCGCCTCGATGCCGGACCAAATGACCCGGTGCGCTACAATCGCCAGCTGCCATCTCTACGTTGCCGTTTGCGACACAGCCCACCACTACAGCACATTTTTCTCTCACCTGCCATGGAGGCGGACCCTTGCTACATGAGAATTCTCAGGGTAATGCCTTTTCGGGGGGTTTGGTCCGCCCGCCGTCTCATGAGGCCTATTCTCAGTATGTGGTCGTAGCCAAATCTCACAACGCTGTGCCTCAACTTCAGCAGTTCATTGGTATGGTCTGCTTGTTTGAGGTGATTGACATTCGGTAGACCCGCCAGAGTGTCGGTGCTGCTCTCAGAGGCCCCCATAGCCTACGGACCTTTTCCTCCGACCTGGAGAGGTTACCTCCACTGCCTCTTCCCCGTGATGGATGTATAGGTCCTCTATGTGAGTATTCCTTGTAAGGCAGCCACGAAAACACACTTCGCGAGGATTTGAAGAGAATTGAGCTGATAAAGCTGTCAGTGTCTGATTGGTTCAAGTTCGCGCAGTAGGCCGAGCGTGCTTATTAGGTACTGTTGGACGGAGTGTGGATATGAAGGGTCCAAGTACACTCGGTGGCTGGATTAATTTTCGGGTGACCAACTCCTTGCGGCCCACATTGTGACAAAACGGCGTTTCTTGTCTCGGTAGAGCTTTCGAGTAGATTCTCTACAAGAGCGCGACTATTCTTGGAAGAGAACGAAGAGTCCGTCAAAAGGAATGCGAATCGGAACAATTGCGGAGGCTTAATAGAAAATTGAAACTTGGTGATGCTCAAGAATCTCTGAAGAGAGAAAACGGGGTCCAAGGAGACAGAATTGCTCCAGTATACTCATGATTCCACTCGCTACCACTGAGTTCTGTTGAAGCTACAATGTCCACGATAGTCTTTCAAAGAGAGTGAGATTACTAAACAAAGCAGCTTGTATCGACATTTACGCTGGATTTGTGGACGACACTGTCTACTGTGAGGTGAGGAGTACTATCTGAACCCAAAACTTAGTCGTCAGTGAGATCGAGCTTAATTCTTACGTTTTGTACGTGACTGTAAGTGTAAGGGCTCGAGAAGATGCTAGCTTGAGGTCCAGAAACATGAGCATTGAGTTTTGGTGGGTGCGTGCAACTTGCTGTTATACTTGCATTTGGCTTAGGGGGTCGATGTAGCGTTCGAGACTGCGTCGAAGAACACAAGCTTTCAAGTTTTGGCTCCACGAAACTGGAGAGGGGTCTTCATCACGGGGATAACCTTAATTGAGGCATGCACTCCGGTCATGAACTCATTCGTATGTACATAAGTCGGTTAAAATTCTTCCCATATTGGGTCTCGGCAGTATGTACGAAAGCTGACGCAAACCATTGAGATGACTGGGCAGAGACGGTCTTTAGCAAGTTGCGTCATGCTGTTCAACTGTAAGAGATCTTTACCTTCATTAACGCTTACAGAATATGCCGAAGCTGGTTATGACGTTACTTGGGGAAACCACTTTTGGGTCCTTCTTGTCCCGAGCGATGATGCAAACTTCTTAGCGAAGCAGGCCGAGCCTCGCATTGGCATCGTCATGAGGTAGACTTCCCTAATATAAATATTGAGAACTTGAAGAAAGAAATTCAAGGTTTTGCCAGAAGATGTTGCCTATAGAAGATATGGGAAATTTTGCTGATATCGCTCAATAATTATGATATAGGTCTACAAGAAATTGACTTGGGCTTGTTCTATTACAAACCAAAGGGGAGGTTGATGGGAAGTCCGCCACCGAAAGGGATATTCACAGGCAGTCTGCTGCCGTTGTTATTCCGACCGCCAAATGGGAAACCTGTATCTGCAAAGGGAGTTCCGAAGTTGACATTGGGTCCTCCACGCCCATCAGTACTCCAGGACCACGTGCGCCCTTCTCCACCACCACCGATATCAATGTTTACATGCACGCGCCGATAGCTGGTGTCATCATTTTGTTCTCCTTGCTGCTCGTTTTGCTGTCGATCCTGGCGGGAGGCTCGGCGCCTCGGTTCCGGTCGCTCCGGCCTGGAACTCTGACGGGGGCGGCTGTAGCGGGATCGTTGCCGTTCCGATTGCGGGTTTGTGCGCCGTGGAACTTCCTCGTCAAACGAATTATTTCCCTCGTCCTCTTCTGGTTCTGGTTCTTGGCTTCGGCGCCGTGGCTGCTCCTGCTGAGGCCGTGGTTGTGGTAGTGGCGGCGGTTCTCTGGGCGTTTTGAGGTCCCCGTACAACCCATATATGCTTTCTTCCCAGTTCTTTCTGATGTCGTCCTCTCCTTGTTTCCGCCGAAGGGGAGGCGATTGTGATCGCTCGGGAGGGTCTATGAATTCTTGGCTATAACGAGAGCTTTCTTCGGTTCTTCCGGTGCTGTATCTGGCAGTGTTACGATTGAAGTTGTTGCTGTATGAACTCGAGTACGACTGGCTTTGCTGTGTCCCCTTGCTCCGCTGGGAACCTTGCGTTGTTTGTCGGACTAATGCATTAGACGGAGGAAAGGGAGACTGGCCCGGGCGAGGGTTACTGGAGTTGCCTAGGCTGCCGTTTGAACCGGATTTCTGGCTCATGGTGCTGGCTTCTGGTTTGAAGGTATGCAGCGGTAGTTTGCGATTATGGGCGGAAGAGACTTGAAAGAAAACGTCGAGAAATTGATTCCATTGGCAAACTTTTATTCCAGGATGTGGTCTAGACGTCATGGGCGGCTGGCGCATCATGGTGCCACAGTTCTGGCACTTGAGATTCATGCGTTTCATAGGTAGCTGTTTATGGGTCGATATGGGATGACGTTTGCCTGTTGGATGGGCCGAGACCATACACGTTATGTTACTGCAAATGTTTGAGGTCTTCATCCATGATTCGCAACGCCACATCGTCAGACCATACGAGCCCCTGACTGGTGCGTTGCTCTTATCTAGCAGCAGCAGCAGCTTTGACATCGACACAGATGTATTTCGAGAAGTTAATAAGTAGAGTTGGTGTGATGGCTCTTTCAGGTTTTCTAACGTCGGTTGAAACCCATCATTTTGCTCAGGAGCTTTGACGCCGTCGGCCCATTTTTCCATCTCATCATCGGCCCATCTCAGTGTCATGATCCCTGCAGCTGCCACCTGAACCCTTAATTCAACCACATTTTGCTAACAGGGCCTGTAAGGGTTGCTTTCGACTCATTTGATGATAAGAACAACATCATATGGCGATGATTGGCTGTCTAAGCAACGACAGACCAATATTTACTCCGCAAACGTTAAACCTCCGCTACTAATTTATCCCCCAGATTTCCCCCACGCCGCTCAAGAACTGTAACTAAAGCAGTAAGGAGGGGTATATGAACAGGAAATAAATAAATGAATTTGCTTGATTGGGCTTTCAACTGGCCAAACCTGACCGAGTTCCGCCCCCCCCCCCCCCCCCCCCCCCCCCGCCTCGCCTTTTTTTTTTTTGAAGATAGGCAGCTGCAGGACGAGGGCGAGAATGCATTTCCTGACTTAGCTTTGACTCATGAATCGATACAAAGTCCTATGCTGGCTTGGTTTAAAGCTGATGTAAAGCTCGCGCATCGTCCGAAAGCTCTTAAGACCGGTGTTCTGCTATGTCATAGTTCTCCTTGCTGTGCTCAATCTTCTCGGCAGGTAGCACGTCGGTAAGGCCCACAGAAGCCGCAATCATCATAAGCCTTGCCTTCTCCGCATGGGCTGCCGTGTCGCCAAACACCAGATCCATCTTTTCCAGGCTCTTACCACGAGTCTCGGGAACGAAGAAGTACGTCATGACAAAGGCGAGGGCGCAAAAAGCGGCGAAGAAGAGATAGGTGCCGAACCCAATGGTTTCGAGCATGTCTGGTGTGACAAGGCCGATGATGAAGTTGCACATCCAGGTTGCACTGGTCGTGATTGCCATGGCTTTCGAGCGGTTGCCGAGATTGAAAATCTCTGATGGGAGGACCCAGCCGATGGGCGCGAACGAATAGGAAAAGTTAATGTCGTAGATGTAGATGAAGGCAATGCCGGCCCAGCCAGCGGACTTGTGCGACTGTATAGAGGCACCAAATCCTCCGATAATCGAACCCACGATTACCAGTGAGATACAAGTACCGGCAGCGCCGCATAGGAGAAGAGGGCGCCGCCCGACTTTATCAATGAGAAAGAGGGCGGGTAGTGTCGACAACGTGTTCACAATTCCGTATACACCCGTAGCCAGAAGACTTGAAGTTTTTCCGGAGAGCCCAAGCTGAGAAAACATTGTCGGGGCATAATATATCACAGCATTGCAGCCCATGAATTGTTGGAAAAACATGACGCCGCATCCAATGGCTAGACGCTTCAAGGCAGGCCTAGACGATACCAGAGCGAGATTTTGCGCGGCGAAGAGTGCGATTCCCTCCTTCCCGGGGTATTTATCACGGTTGGTTGATTCATCAAAGAGTACTTCAGCCTTGATATCCAAATACTCGGCGCGAAGATATTCGGTGTCTGGGTGAACACGGCGGACCTTTGCCAACGCGGCAAGGGCTTTGTTCTCCTCACGACGCATGAGAAAGAACCGCGGAGACTCGGGGAAGAACATCATGCCGATGCCCAAAATCAGAGCCGGAACAATCTGGAGGCCGAACGGAATACGCCACGAGGCATCAGACTGACCAGTGCATCCTCTAGGACCAACGTCGTGCCAAGGGTCAAACTTGGGGAGTTCTGTGGTGCCGCCTGAGTACGGGATGTCGGGATCACACCGAGGGCCGCCAATGTACTGGGTTCCATACTCAAGCCAGTAGCTGACAAGAATGCCGAGTGTAATGCTGAGCTGCTGCATGACAACCAGAGTGCCACGGATATGGGGCGTGGACAGCTCTGATATGTACATTGGCACAATCATTGTCAACATGCCAATGGCAAAGCCTGCAATGGCGCGACCTGCTATTGTATTAGCTACTGCACAGAACTAACCCACCATTTCTCTCTTACTCACCGGCAAACAATAGTGGGACGTCACTTGCGGCGGTCTGGAAGGCAGATCCAAGAATGAAGATGGCAACGGCCAGTAGCATGGAGCCTTTTCTGCCAAGGAAATCGGCCATCGGGCCATTCACCAAAGACCCAAGCCATGCAAAGAGAAGTAGTGCTGAGACAAACCAGCCCTTAAAGCTGCTGTCAGTGTCGATGCGGGGGAATTTGGCGGCGAAAGATTCCATCGTCAACACGCCGGAGACAACGCCCTGATCATAGCCGAAAAGAAAACCACCCAAGCTGGCAAACTGCATAAGCCCATGCTAGTCAGTGTTTCTCTTCTTGTATTCATCTAGAGTAATATTAGGAAGTTCACTTACCGCAGAAAGGCCAAAGACGTAAGGGTTTTCGCGGAGGTATCGCCAAACGCTCTGCTTTAGGGCCATGCCGCCTAGCTCGGTGACTGCGTGGTCACCCGACATTCTGGTAGTTGAGAGTGGAGTAGGTAATTCGGCACACTTGCGGCTTATTCGGCAACTTTTTCTGATCTGGGGATCTGGGGAATATTTTATTCCCCGGAGAGAATCATGCGGCATTTATATAGGTGTACCTACGAACTCGTTTGGGGGATGGAACGAGCATGTAGCTCTGCCCCATGGGGAATGGAGAATCTCAACGGAGGCATTGGACGAATGAGATACCATGTGTGAGTCGTTTGGTAGCCTTATTTCCGGACAACAGAACTCTGGCCAATGAAAGATTTCAATCTAGCGCCAATCTGAGGATCCATCTATCCAGTTAATAGCGGACCAAGGTCCTATCGTAGTCTACCTCTTTCCAAGATCGTGAGCCATTTTTGCCATACTTCCCCCTCATCGCCGATCCTCTCCAAGTAATTCTTGGCTCTTAGCCCCACTGCTAACGGAAAACGCCAGGAAGGCCGTTGGGAAAAATCCTCATTTTCGGGGCGTTTGTTGCCCAAATGACAGGCTCACCATGCAACAATATTGTAGTAGTATGATGCTTAAGACCAACTAGCTAGCACTGTGGGGATCCTAGTCCCAGCTGCGGTAAAGCGGGGGATCTTTTGTTGAGATATGTATGCACAGCTACCGAACTGATGCCTGGTGGTAGGTGTGCCGGGGTCTGGAAAGTTAATAACTATTACGACTCCTCTGGCAAAGGATTTGAAGAAGCACGAAGTTGAGAATGTTGCGGTACTTCCCACGGTGCGTCAGTTGCTCTATTACATACATTTTGTCAGCAAACTTGCTTTTCATCAATATGATTATTCCATTGTTCTCATGACACCCTAGCGATTCGACAAAGAGGCGACCTTTTCCATTCCATACTGGTGTTTTGGAGATATATCGGAGGAGGGTCTGAACAAACGGTTTCTGAACCACCCAAGTAACCATACAGAAGGATCACTTCAAGAATGTTGGAACAGCGAGTATACAACGAGTTGCCAGAAAACACATTGCAAAAGCTGGGGTGAACTGTATGGATGTCCTTCTGCCGTTTAGGCAAGCTGAACGATGATGAGTCTCTAAGCATGACAGGAACATTGACGAGAGAAGCTTGGAAAAAGAAGTAGTTACAAATATCGCCAAAGTCATTGTATTTCAAGGCTGTGTTTTTGTAGCGAAATGGCTTAAGGGTACTGGCATCGAATACCATGTGACAAGTCTATTCATAGCTCCCTGCTTCGTGTAGCAATCGATCAACTCGATTGTAGCAATGGTAGCATGAACCGCAACACTCCTGCAACATCCGTCCACTGAGGTAGTGTTGGGCGGCATAGTACCTTTACTCTTATCGATGGTAAGAGCCTCACGAAAGAATGATCTCAAGATTCTAGAAACGCTACCAAATACGCGCGATCTGGTAAACAGGAATCATGGCTCGGCAATAGGACCATCGTAATCCGATTGAAAATATGGCGGCAGTGACTTAAGCCATTTTCTAAGAGTGGCTTTCATTGACGGTGCGTCACCTGGCGTGATTCCTGAAGATGATAGCAACCAAGTTGAGATAAAATTGCTGCGTGTATGGAAGTTGCTCTGAATCTTCATGCAAGAGTATCAAGTTGGCTCATTAACTTCGACTGGCAGCTCCATAGTCCTGATGGTGAAGTACTATCGCAAAGATTATCAGGAAAGATACAGCATAGGATGCTCAAAAAGACACTCACCTCCTCGTGGATATGGTGGATATTGAGTACTGGCCGAACATGCACAGCTTCTGTGTCTGGGAGAAGAATAGGTCTCCTAAAGGTACTCGACACGCCGCCGCTGAACATAAAACTCCCACTAGACATGCCGATGCATCTCCCTCTGCAATCAATTAATGAGCCAGTCAGGCAACTCTTAATGAAGACCCGAACTGAGAGCCATATGGGTAGCAAACCCAAGAAAATCCAAGCCCGTGTTAAGTGTGTTTCGCTTCTGTCTGAAATTACCAAGTGTAAAAATGTGAGTTTTGAACTCTCCAACAATGATTCGTCTTCTCCAAAAGACATTGCACGGCAATATGGATCATCATCCAGCTCCTGTGTAGGCTATCGAGACACCAAGCTCCCAGTCAATATGGTGTGGGGCATCATTCGCCATGAGCGCTGTTGTGAATGCGGGATCGCCTCATGAAGCTGAGCTCTAAGAGTAGGTTTGTGAACAAGAGGTTACGCGCGATGGTGTACTGAGAAATATCTATCGACCAGGCAGTTTATGACCTGCCTTGAAGTCACCAGTTCTGACAACCATAAGGAGGGGTATAATGTAACAAAATGTTGCTCTGCCCTTGGACAATTCTCGAAAAAGGGCCTTGATTGATATTTCAAGCGTAATAGCGATTGTGGGAAGAACAGGCCCACGGTCGAATATAAATGATTGTGAGCCTCAAGACTGATTTGAAACACGGACAGTGGAACCCATGCCCAAGTAGTCTGCACCTCTAGGTTCGACGGAGAGTGCTGCCATCCCATCTGAGATAATTCTCAAGGTCTTCTTGCCAATAGAATCCATCATATTCCTCTGGCACAACTTTCGAATGACACCATGAGTTCCACTGGAAGTCGAAGCTATCGATGCAGGATGTGGTGTCTCCCCTTCCAGTTCTCTGCTGCCCTTGCGGCCAAAGCTTCATCGATATCGTTCTTTGGGAGAAGTTCGGAAAAAAGACTGTCTACCCGAGCCAGACGATTATCCGCTCTTTTGAGACAACTACATCAACTAATACCAAGTAGTCATATTACTGCGAAATGGCGCAGCACTGGAATTCTCACGCGCGGGTTAGAGAGGATTGTTGGATTCTCATACGGTGGTGATATGACTTTCAATTTTTTACACAGGCTTCGCACCTTTGTTTCTCTTTTGACTCTGCGCTGGGTGTCATTCTTTGTCCTCATATTAGAGTAGATAGCTAATATAATGCTATTGTTTTCAAAAACTTGAAGCTTATTGCGGTGTGTAGTGGCCAAGTCGTATATGGCCCCCTTGTAGAACCCCCTTGATTCATCACCATAACACTATATAAATACCCCGCGCGGTCATTGTTGCAACATAGATATTTGTATTGGAGTACGTCATAAGGTTAAACGTCGAAAGCCTTCGATTGGTGCCTGGATAACGTGTTTCTTGTCCCAGGATAGGTGTATCTTGTAGCCCAAACTACAATCCTAGACCTATCAAGTAAATTTTGACGACCTCACTACGTTTATTTTACAGCTAAATAGGTAGGCTCAGAAAGAGGCAACGAGGCATTTGCCCTAAGAAAGCTGATAAGGCCCTTTATGGTAAGCAAGATCCTCGGCACGGACTCACATTGACAAACTAGAAAAAGATATTTTGCGTTGCTAGCTTATTCTAAAGGTAGGTAGTGCTTAGGGCATTAAGTAGGTTTCCGATGTCTCATAACAAAATATGTGTCCATTGGATTTCCAATCAATACATGTAGCGTTCCCTAGCCGAACATGTCAAGGCATCTTTCTAGGCTTACATTGAGGCTTGCGCATGCATATCTTCGAGCTATCTATCAATGGTACGCCAGCTAAGGACCGTCGTACTCCTAATGTCTCTCTAAGTGACGAGCATCTTTTCGAGGCCGGAGAATAGGTGGATGCTGCTTTAGCCACAACAACGGGTCAGAGAACAATTATTAGCGACCATATTCTCCAGTCGGGAATTTAGTGTATGATGCCAATTACATCAACTTTAATGCTCTAGCCAAACGAATCGAAATGGAAGCAAAACCTCCAAAGAAGCCAACTTGTCAATTCAGAGCATACGACGAGGAGACCATGTCAGGGAGCTTGGGTAGTATAGATGGAGAAGCATAAGACCTGACAATCGAAAAGAAACCAAGGAAAGTTCGGCCCTGAAGTACCGCAAACAAACGATTACGCGACGTAGGAACAGATAAGCTCATATGTTATTTAATTATCATGTTATGATACTGTGCATGGATTAGATATTGCCATGTATTGCGAACGGTTGTTGCGGCATGTTTAATACCTCATTTGTCAACCAAGGCAGGATCGGAGTGCTCTCGTCCGTCCCACCTCCGATTGCGGGCGACATACCTCGGAACCTCAATCTCTGAATCGGAGGGCAATAGCGGTAGCATCCTCCGCTTGGACCAGACGAGTCAAGCGTGCGCGCGTGAGTATGGGCAATGCAACCCCGCAATGTACGTCAACCAAATTCCCTGCAATCAGAAACCAAAATTGAAGAGTCTACAGTGGAGAATCGGGATGCCATACCGCGTTTTATTGGTCTTTGGTCTAGGCAAGTGATCCGCAGACGGCAGTTAACTGACCGCGCTACACAGCCTGACCGGGAAATAAGGGAACCTGAAGAGGAACTTCAGCGTCGCCATAATGCGATTCTCACAGGCCCTCCTCCGCCTGTGGCTGACAATTCTTGATATAGATGCTTGACGAGTCACGACACTGTCGCCACCCATTGCATATACTTCAAGAACGATGGATTTGAAAACTACTGCCATAGTCCTATTGCGCAGTGCGCTGCCAAGTTTTGATCATGCATCGTTGCCCAGGGTTTCCGCCGCTCAAGGTCGCACCAACTGCGGTCTCGAGATTAAGGAGTCTACATAGTGCGTAAAATGGCTAGTCTGTGCAGAGTTGGAACCTGCTCGGAAGAATACCATACTCCGTATTCGAACCAGCTTAGCGCGCACTCAGACCCCCATACATTGCCCGCTAACCCTAACTCGAGCTACCTAGTATGGTACACGGTAACTATCCGGTCAACTAGCAAGGGTTATTCTGATCACTCACAAGATTATCACTGCCTCGTAATATGCCTTAGTATGACAGCAGCCGGACCGACACAATCCTGAGAAAATCTTCATCCTCGTTGCTTCACGACACCTACCGCAACTGGAATAACGTCGAGAAAATGTAAACATACGAATGTCCAAAGGCGGAAACGCAACAACGTAGCAACACTCTTTACCGAAGTGTAGTGTAGCATATGTGCATGTAACCAATGTGCAACCTCGACCCGTTTTGTCGTCACGTAACAATCTCCGCGACCTTTTTAGCTTCTCGCAGGACTAGGTAATGCGCTCAACCTGCCCGCAAAAAAGTCGCCGAAAGTTAGGTACTCCAGGCTCACCGTGTGTCTGTGTGTTTTGGCCCCTTTGACCCAGGCCTTATGTTTATTGTTGGGCGCTTTGACTAACGCCTAAATTGAGCCCCATCTGGGTTTAATGGATGGAGGGAGCATACTATGGCTCGCAGCGATGTGGGCTCATAGCTTGGTTGCGGAAGCGGAACCGCCGTTGCACTGCCGCAACCATGACCTTTATACCAGCCATGTAATAGTGGTACCTCCACAACAGAAACTAAAATCCCCTGTTTGAGAAGGGGCTACAACATCTGGTTAGGCAAATGCCCATGTGTCCTGCCCGGGTTATTCCTTGCCGTCGATTGCTCCGTTAGTGTCCTGCATGCATAACTCCGCTGGATCGCTGGCTGCCAAAACCTCTAACTGGTTTCCTACTGGCCAATCCACCCTCTTCCCTAAGCCAGAACGTGTGCAAAGTTTTGTTTTCTAATACAGTGACGGGCGTTAAGAGTGGTACGAGTTTTAGCAAGTAAATTTCCCAAGGATGCAACCGGTTTTCCAGTAGACCGTCGCCCGTTGTTTGTTCAGTTATGTTGCTTGATTCCCCGATTGTCTAGTAATAGACTGCTAAACTTGTGGCCCTGGCGAGTCGCAACAGTCGAGGGGACTGTGTCATTTGAGCCAATAGGGAGTCGAACCATGGAGCCGCTAGGGTGCCTTTTCCTGCAATATTATATATAATAAGAACCGGACCCTGTTCGGCCGTCGCAGGTATATCCCTGCAGCGGCTAAGCATGTTTCCCTCCTTTACGCTTTGGACCTTATCAGACCACGCCTCGTTTATATGAACGTCCCTAAAAGCCTGGGATCGGAATCTAATTTAATAGTCGTGGAATCCGGCCTTCTGTTTGCGCTCGACTATGAAGTGAGTTTGCAGTCACACACTCGTTACCCACACTCGTTACCCAGCATGACTTTGCTCATTCGCCACACTCTTTTAGCATGCGTGTTGTCAAGTCTTCTGGCTTGCGTCCAGTCAGAATCAGCAACATGCAAGCAGGTTTCTGCATCCACCAACATTGAGCACCACGAGCGGTTTGGGATTGATTATACCCTGGAACAGTTGGACTACTGGTAAGTAAGAATTCAATCTCAGTACTACCGACTATTCTGAACAGTGAGCAGGTCAACTGCTGCCGGCAGTCTCAAACCGGGCTGCATCTTCTACCCCAAGAGCGCGGAAGAGGTTTCTTCAATAGTCAAGACACTACAAGACAACGACGAGCAGTTTGCGGTGAAGTCCGGCGGGCATAACCCAAACAACTATTACGCCAGTGTCAAAGACGGTCCTTTGATCTCAACCAAGAAGCTGAACCAAGTAGTATACGACAATTCAACCAACACGGTCAGTGTTGGGCCAGGAAACAGATGGGAGGATGTCCACGCTGCCCTTGACGGAACTGGCGTCACCGTTGTGGGTGGCCGGATAGGAAACGTAGGCGTGGGGGGTTATTTACTTGGCGGTAAGTCTCGCTAAGGCTTCAAACCCGCACGAACCAGAAGTGAGCTGACTTGACGGTGTTGTGTAGGCGGCCTCAGCTTCCTCAGTACCCAGTACGGTTGGGCAGCGAACAACATAGTCTCGGTTGAAATGGTGCTAGCCAATGGGACGATCGTCACAGCGTCCAACACCTCGAATCCGGACCTGCTCGCTGCCATCAAGGGTGGCGGTAATGCATTCGGCATCGTTACGAACTATGTCTTGCGAGCCCATCCTATCGGCCAGGTAAGTAAGCGCTTATCGTGCTGTTCTTCATGCACATTCCGCGGCAGAATTCCGTGATTACTGACCATAGCAAATAGATTTGGGGCGGCAACCTAATTTTCTCGAGCGGTGACAAGACGGACGAGATCCTGACAGCCATTCGGGATTTCACCGAGAACTACACCGACCCAAAGGCTGCTATCATCGCCACCTCGGAGTTGACTCTCTTGAACGGCGTCAACCTCTGGATTCTTTTCCTATTCTACGACGGGCCGGAGCCTCCGAGCGGAATCTTTGACGGGTTCCTCAATGCCAAGCCAACGATCAACAACTGCAAGACGAGGTCGTACGCAGATTACCTCAAGGCCAACAACGTCTTCGTCCTCAAAGGCAGTGTGTACACTATCGCCACGGAAACGACGCCGCTGCCTCCCGCTGCCGCCGGGGCCAAGGTGATGCGCTCGTACTACGACCACTGGTACAACACGTCGGCCGCAAGGCCCGGCGTGGCCGGTGTAGTTGCCTCCATCGCCTTCCAACCAATCCCGAAGTCGTTGGCCCGGGTCGCCAGGGAGAATGGCGGTGACCTTCTGGACCTGGATGACGACGTCGACAGAATCATCTTCGAGTTTGACTACTCCTATCTCCTTCAGATAGACAACAACGCGATCGATGAGACAATGGTCGACCTATACAGCGGGATGAAGTCGCGGGTGGATGGGTTCATCGCGGACGGCACGCTCCCTGATGTCTACAGACCGTTGTTCATGAATGACGGATACTTTCGGCAGGACTACTGGGGCAGGTTGAAGCCCGAGAAGAAGCAGTTTGCCGAAACTGTTCGGGCTTCGGTCGATCCAGAGGGTTTGTTCCAGAAGCGAACGGGTGGTTTCGCACTCGCCGCGTAAGCCTTCTCCTTTGTGTTGTCCACGTGGCTTGTTCGGCTCTGCGGCGCTTCGTGCAGCATCTTTCAATTCAAAACTTAATCCGGTATCCAGCATGGCTGGGCGCTGTCTTAATGTACTGTAATTTCCATATGTCTAGATTTCTTCCAGTGACATAAGTATGGAAACGTATATGTTATGCTGGTACATCATGTCTAATGACGGTGACTCCCGTTCTTCAAAACACCTGTGTGAGTGCCGTTCCTAGAAATCACGTTGAAATCCATCCTATTTGTTTCTAGCATGAAACTTGAACCGCAGGGGCTAAGCGTGTATCAAACAGATAGGGATGGGGACTTGTTACATAGAGCAAACCAACCTTCGAACCAAGTCCAGAGTTACACGGCGAGTGTAAGTGTTGTTCGTCTACATCAGGAAGTTATATATTGGTGTGCAGTAAGAAGACTGAAGGGCCGCTTGTACAAAATTGTGTGCAATGCCCACGAAATGAGTACCCATTGCTCGAACTCATAGCGGTTTCGTCTTTTCACTTCGACGTGGCCCCGAGTCTATATATCAAGGTACGTAAAAGTCCGATACTTCGCACCCCTGATCTGTGCCATATCTCAATGTCTTAATACAGTATAGAATACCCGATGACGGATAGCAACCACATTTGTATATTAAGCTAGCCAAAGCTTCTTAACCATCGCCTAACGCCATCCAGAAACCACCGCCAAAGGGATAGAGAGGCGCCGAGCTAGGTCTGAATGGCTAATGGTCTACCCTAAGTTGATCAGAGACCCCATGAAGCTCCTACGCCACTTATACGAGGCCCGTGACCATCAGCCTGGAGACCGGGCAATAGCCCATCCTCCCAAGGACTGAGGTAATGTGTTACTTTAGGCCATGGCTCGCTCCTCAATAAGAATTAGGGGGGCTGTTCGACTTGTTCACCTGCCGCCAGATATGACCAACTTGGCATATCGGGCTCGTGCGCGGACGATCTACGGCCCGTAATGGTAACTTGTGGACTGTAGGATTGGCCATATTACGAAGTACACGGGACGGCCGGGCAACTAAATATCGGCGGAGGGGAAAATACCACCTGTCTGTGCCCTGACCGGCTTCTTCCAGGAGGGTCGCCATGATGTTGAGAAGGACTAATATCCTGTTACGGAACTGATCACTGGTATCAAGGACCACTTCTGCACCCCCGCCAGTCACTGAGGCTTTACCTCAATGTACCGACCTATATGCTAGCAATTCGGCAGTATGGTCATAGCCCAGGACTGGCCTTCGAAGGAGACCAAGGCTGAAAAGATCTGGAGGTGGTCCTGCAGGGCCAGCAAGGGAGAGTTGAGGAAACGGAGGGCAACGGCCGCCCATCACGTACCCGGCCGCACCCTCGACAGAGACAGGAGCCTCCTCAGTACCCGTCGGATCTCTTCTTCGGCGCACTCTTCGGCGGCCTTCAGTGCCTTCAGTTCCATGCCCTTACCGCGCCTTGGCACGGAGGCTGAGTGAAACCTGAATCGTGCTCTTGAGAAACTCCAAAAGGGCAAGCCTATAATTGGAGGTATCTCAGACGGCAAATGCTCTTCGCTAGTCATGAAGAACCCCGAGGCGAAGTTTGTAAAAAGAAGTAAAGAAACAGGAAGAAAAAAGGGAGAAAAGAAGATAAACCATCCCCGCAAACGGAGAAACCTCGTTGAAATTGGGCAAAGGCGACGTTTCCAAGAAGATATCTCGCAAATGAGACCCACCGCTGGTGTCACCTACTTGATTTTGGATTCAATCGTTGCATAGGGAGGAAATCTCGGAGCAACTTTGACCATTTGCGCAGGTGACATCGCGAAAACATGTGGTGAAGGGTTCATCTAAGACCGCCCATCTCCCGGTGTCCAACTCCCTATCCAGTCTCTGTCTCCAAGAATTCTTGAAAGCTCCTGTATCTACAATAGGATAAAATCTCACATAAACGGCACCGTCTCTTCTGATGTTGCCATGGCTACGGTCGGCTCCACGGTCGCGATTTATTCTGTGCGCTTCGCCACACTAAACAATCTCATCCCATCGATGAGCTGACTTGGTTGTGCCTGCTTGCCAGTGACGTTAGCATATGTATTTAACAAAACAGCAATTCGGCGACGGAGTTCCCAGCTGCCTCATTTCGAAAATCCTGCCCCCCACCGGAGTTGCCGCAATGTACGATTGTTGATAGAGGTTCTTCGCCCAAAAGCCGTCCGAATAAGCTTGCCCATCCCCTAGTGTCACAAGCGGTCGTGTACCACCGCAGCACGATATGTCCTTCAGCTGGCCAGCCTTGCGCTTTGGCCGGCAAGGCCTCCCGAAAGCTCCCGCTGAAGATCACGAGCCTCAGGTCGGCAGTTTAAAAGGAAGCACGCCGCGTCTCGCTTTGATCAGGAAACTATGCAGGCCATCCCCATGTTTGCAACAGAGGCGTCAGCTCCCCGTTGCCCAACTGCCCGAAGACACCGGGTACACAAGTTATGGCTTGTATTTTCCTATATCTTATGCTTGGTGATTCATACAGGATAAAATCTCATGATCCCCCATAATCCTTTGGCCTTTCGAACTGTTATGCGTTCGCACTAAGACGGCTTTTTGTCGCGAAGTTGAACGTGACGTCCTCTATTCGCGGCCAAGTCTAGGAAATGCACTTCTCCACTTCTATCCATGGTACATATAGTACTGACACAAGAGGCTATGCGAAGCAGGTTAAACTTAGGCCTAGGACGACAGGGTTGCAATTTAAGCTGCGATTGGGCTAATTCAAGACCTCCGGCCCATTCGCCCCCATTAACCCCTAGGCACTGCAAATAGTCATCAGTGAACTTGGCGCTGATCTGGCGTATATCAGACAATTGAAATGTCCGCATCTATAAAAACAAGAAACTCAATTGAGGACCTATTATGGGGTTGGCGTGTCACCGTGTGTGTGCGTATGTGTAGAGCGAGGATCTCACCACAGAAACGGGACTTTTTGTGTCTCAAAAGTTGAAGGAAGATTTGCCCCCGCACTCTACAACACAAACGACCTGAGAAGCGCGTGACTACTGGTTGGCGGGCGTCTAGGCAATGAGCGTTTGCGTATAAATGTTGGGAGTTTGTTTGAGGCCTGGTCACGCGCACGCTGGCGCGCAACTACCTCTTTTGATTGGTAGTTATGCGCGGCCATTGATGGCTGGGACGAGAGTCGGGTGGCTGATCGTTCGTTTCCAGTTGGCAGGTGACAAGTCACTACCGGGTTGGCGCGATCTTCAGTACCTTGTTTGCTCTGGTCCACTGCCGAACCGGGCAAATCGTCTTGGCACGTTGCAGCGGTTTGATGGCGGTTTCCCCAGATCGACGCTGTCTCAATTGTCGAGCCGGTCATCGAGGCAATGAAAAAAAAACTTTCAACCCCGCAAGCGGACGCCACGACTGTTTGCGCATCGGATAGTCAACGGTCGGGATGTATTGGAGGTGACAATGGGAATCACATCCGCATCAGAGTCAAATGGTTAGGGACTTCGGGTAGCCGAATCCGGAGTTGGTCATCATCGAGTGAAGATCAGTCCATATGGATCAGGTTTAGTCACCAGCTTGGTTAGCGAGAGATTTGGTGACAACACAGTGACGACTGCGAGTTCCGAGGTTCGTTGGCGGCGTGGCCGGACAAGGATCGTGGGGCTCGGACCTAAGCAGACTACACCACTGCCTACGATGGTGCAGGATGCCATGAGAATCAGCCAGCACCAGAATATGGGACGGCGCTCGTGGACCCTGAATGGCCTGGGGATGGATGGCTTGGTCGTTGGGGGTTGATGCGCTGAAAATGACAGACGGCAGGCAAACCTGGAGTCTGGTCCGAGGCAAGACACACACACCACCACGTGATAAAAAAATATGGTGTGGAGGTCCACTGTCTTTAGCAAAGAGTCTGGGTGTTTTTTTTTTTTTTTTTTTTTGCCTTCTTAGTGTGGTCCACCAAGGATGACAGGGGGCGTTTACTGATGACCTCTCCGCAGTGGAGATTGGGTGAGAATGACACTGCAAAGACGACCAATGCATCCATGCAAGCGGAGACCAGCTTCGTGCCCGTGCCCAGAGACCCCGTGGAGTGACGGGCTGCGCGGTGACAGCCTGTCGGGTCACTGGTTTGACGGTCTGTACGCTTGTTCGTCAAATTGGAAACGAGACGATGCGTCACAGATGATGCAGCCGGCGAAAACGCGGTGGTTTTACCAGCTGCCCATGGGGAAGAACAAAGAGGAGAACTGGAGACAATCACGGGGGCGTGGGCGAACGCTGGGGAAATCGACACCAATGCCAAACTCGGCGGAAAGCCGAGGGCATGGAACGATTAGTCGTGCTTTCGGGTATGGTTGAATGGGGCCGTCATCAAAGACGGGCCGATATCACGGCCGTGAAAGACAAGGGTAAGCACCAGGTATACCGTATGCCTGACCAGGACGGCTCCGAAGACGCCCCACCCAGACAACAGACGCGCGGTCAGTTTGAAGACTGGGGGCCGTCGTCGGAATTCATTAACAGCAGCGCATACCAAGGCAGGCAGACAGGTGCTACGAGGCGCAGAGCCCCGAAAGTTCCCAGGAATCAGACGAGCAAGTGCGGGTCAGAGTGTCGCAGAGACGGCGCCTGGAGGTGTACGAGCCAGATCCACAACGGACACCAGAGAAGAATGATGCGTCTAGGGGGACCCGGAGGCAGTTAGCACATCGAGTAGCACCGAGCATTGTCCCATTAGGGTGCCGTGCCGAGCCCTGGGGATTGGGGGAGTGATGGAGAATTTGGGGTAAGGCCGGACAGGATGGGGAGAAGTTGGGGAAGCAGAGGGCAAAAAAGTGCGGGATGGGATGGGATGGATAAAATGTGTACGGGGGTTGGGATAGTTGGGTCGAGCGAAGTGGCAGATCTAGCAGTTTTTGGTAAGGTTCGAATGGTTCTAATCAACTTCGTCTCAGATCGTTCGATCCAGACGAGTGGTTTGGAATGTGTCTAAAGCTAAGAGATGTGCTGGACCGGCGGAGGAGACCAAAAAATAGAAAGAAAAAAAATTGAACAAAGAAATGAAGGGGACAAAAAAAAGTCAAGTGGGTGTTGGTGAAGTGTGGTGGCGGCGGATAGGGAGGGACGGGTGACAGAGTAGAGACAGGGAAACCAATTCAAGGCTGCATGCCAATTGGCATGCGGTGGTCGGCTCATGTATGTGATAGGGCGTCAATCGTCAAGCGGTCCCCCAGAACACGGGTTCAAGGTTGGGATCCGAATCCGTGCAGACGGACGAATGTGCACCCGTGACGAAGGAAAGCACGAACAATATGACAGAAGCCATCGGCTACTTTGAGACATGTGCTCGAAAACAATCGTCGGCTACCTGCCTAGGTAACACCGAATCACTCTTGCCGAAGGACAGAAGTGGCGAGAGGGTTCGGCCAGGGAGCACTTGCCCCCGGCAAGAAAACCGCTTGCTAGAATTGTGGCGTAACTGTGTCAACCTCCCTAGGTACCTACCTAGGTTAGGTGGTTAAGTGGGTAGGTAGGTTGGCAGTCAAAAACACTCCAGAGACATCGCGTCGTGTCTCCGTTCAGCCGCAGCCAGCCAGTGTTGTATATAACAGTCAGCAACGTAGCAGTGTCATGGGGTATTGGTCGGAGGCAGGCAGCTTGCTTTGCTTTGCTGTGGTTTGATGACTGGACGTCCTGAAGACCAAAAGTAGGAAGAAAGACGACGTGGATGCGGACGTGGGAGGCTCCTCGCAAGCCAAACTAAGACATTGTCAATTCCTTACCAAGAGTCCACTGCACCACAGGGGAGGGGTGGCATTCTTTTTTTTTTTTTTTTCGAAACTGGGGGGGGGGGGGGGGGGGGGCGTGCGGGTACGGGCAAGGCAGGTACACCACAACAGGAAGGGCAAGGGGAGGAAAGGGAGAGGCGTCGGAGCCAATCAACGCCACGAAAAAGTGGCCGGAGAGAAGAGAGACAGGCGGCGCCGCACCTTGCACCAACCGCACTGCACAGCACCTCCCTCTAGGTAAGTTGGCTCTGGTTTGAGGTTGTCTGCCTCGGCGCTTCTATGGCGCTTTTTCCCCAAGATGAATCCAAGATTTTGGTTTTATTCCCCCTCTTCTTTTTCCTTCTCCAGCTTTGCTCCAGACTCCAGTCTCCTCCACGCTTCGTGCTCCACGCTTAACGGGGCGGTTTGCATTTTTAATTTTTAATCCTATATCAGTTTTTGCTTCTTAGGCCTTCGTTAATGGGGTTTGTGGCTTTGGCACGGTACATACACCACCACATCCCGTCGCGTCCTACTCCGTGTTTTTTTTTTTAAATCGCACCAACAAAATCCTTGTACGCGTCGGGTGTCGAAGAAGTGACCCCACATCATAGGCCCACCACCTCCCGGCCAAGGATCGGGATGATTAGGGGAGAATATGTGAGAAAACTCTAGACATTTGCTTGTTGAAAATTCTGAAATTGGTTCTTTGAGGTTGTCGTGACCGGCGCATGATGAGACCCAACCATCATCCAACCGGGCGCTTGACCAGGGACGGGCGCCTGTCGTCACCCAACCCAATCTCTCTCCGTTTTAGTTGCTACATGTTCTTTCTCACGTTGCCTTGTCGTAAGACATTTATTCCTGGAACCCTACGGAGTAGAGTCTGGAGAGGGAAGCGCCTTGGTATGCAGCCAGCGTTTTCTGCATGAGCTCGGAGCCAAGCTCGGCACGTTCAGTCTTGGCACAGCTGGTCCCTCACCTCATCCCGCCGCACCCGTACGCGTCGGCAAAAGTGTGGTGAAATGACTAGGTCGTGTCGACAGCGTCAATGTCAGTGTCAGTGCCCTGTCGGCATGATGATAGCGGCGGCCCCGCGCGCTTCGTCTATTTCCTGCGCTTGTCGTCGGCGCCATGCGATGTCATGTCACACCGTGACGGTTTATCAGGATCATCGAATGACCCCGAGCATGACCGGCCCGATACGAAGAAACATGCCGACTTTAGAATGGGCTTGGCTGTTAGTGCACGCGACTTTGTCAATAGTGATCATGCAAGTCTGCCAGTCTCTCAGAGGCGGGCAAACAAACACGAACAAAATATGAGAACAGCGGCACTATGCAGCGTCCAGTGCGCGCTGCCGACCCGGATGGATTGAAATGACGCCCGACAAATACACTGCCGCTTAACTATCCATTCATCACCTCATCGGATAACCCTGGCTGACAGTCGGTTTCTGTCCGTCTCTGTCCAGCCTGACTTCCGAGCCGATGGTCGAGACCGGACCCAGATCAGCGGTCTTCTGGTTCGACAAGGGGTGGGGCTTTTGGTGAAGAAAAGAAACCGGCCAACGCAAACACTTCGTACGTACGACACGACACCCCTCCGCGAAAAAAAGGAGGGGGGAAAAAAAAATTCGTGTCGTGTCCCGTGCCTCAGCAGAGCCCGCCGAGAGCGGTCAAGGGTCTTGATCGAGCCTAGTGCCGATTCACGAACCCAGCGAAGAGACCAGGGACCCGCCCCGCAAAACGCCACGCGACGGCGAGACAACGGCCAATCTTCCCCAGCTTTCCCTCGTCTGCTTATGTCGGCGAACTCGTGACCTGCGCGAGGTGGCTGCTCTCTCTGAGAATGGGTTAGGCTAAGGGAAGGGAAAGGGGGGTTCCCCGGGGGGGAAAAGGCACCGGACTGGAGTCCCCGGCTTGTTAGTCAGCCCCTCACCTATGGGGCTGGCCCCTAAAACCACGTCCGTCTGATTTACTGGTGAGGTTTGTGTGTCGTTTTTTCCAAATGTTTTGGTCCTCGTAGTGGCTTACGCCGCCCATTGCACGCCACTGACAAGTCAATCGGCCGCTAAATCTCTCTCTCTCTCTCTCTTTTTCTTTTCTTTTCTTTTTTTCACTCCCTCCTCGGCTCTTGTCTTCTTCCTCTCTGTGGTCGTCCCGCGACCTAGGCCAGACTGTGGTCAGTTCTGATCCGTCTGGAACAGACGGGCGATCAGATCAGTTGGTATATGGAGCAATCGGCTGGGTCGATGCTTGCTGGACGTGACAACCATGCATCTCCCTGGTTCTACCACACGTTATGGTTTACACTTTTGGCGATACATGTCTCTGGCACTGTCATTATGGAGAATATACATTACACGTCCCCAGGTCTTGCCTGTCCTCCTACCCCCGCCCGACCTGATTAGGTACCTAAACAATTGAATTCTGGCGGACCTCCCAACTAGAATTAGAAGTGACTAAGCTATCTTGTCCAATCATTCGTGGCCGTACTTGTTACTGTTAAATAAACAGAGGGAAACAATCATTGTGGTCCCTCAAGGTTGCAAGACAACCGCAATGTCTTCGTGCAATTGCCTGCCTGCCTGACGACTGCTGCTCCTGAATGAGCGAAGGGCAGGAAGGTACCCTTGCGAGACATTCGAGTTTAGGTGGAAGGAAGCGCGGCATGAGAAGGTACCTACCCTCTCCTGTCTTAGCGCAGCCAATCAATCCCTCCTCCCCGAGCCAAGTTCCCTCTCCTCCCACCTCCCACCGCGCGCCTCCCTCGTTCCTCCTTCCCCATAGCCTGCCCGCCCCGCGGCCCCTTCCCAACTCGTCGGGAGGCCCCCCCCCTTACCTTCCAAGGGAAAAGCAACCCCTCCCCTGCTCCCCCCTCGACCTCCACGTCTGCCCCAAGTGCTATCGGCCCTTTTAAGCATGAGCCAGCAGGAGCTTCAATATGGGGACGGCTAACCAGCGGTGCTAACCCAATGGGAGCTCTTCTTTCGGGGATGTGACCCTCGGAATGGGAGATGAAGCGCCACTCACCACACAACTCACCCCTCAGTCTACCCCGTACAGCGACTCCGCAGACAGGCTGAGTACGGCGGAAAGCGTTCGATGCTGCTATGGATACCTACCGCCTGACGTCCTTTTTCCATTCCAGACTTTTGTTCACACCCCTCGCTACAACACGCCCCTCGCTCCTCTGGTATCCGCATCTCCCATCCGTGCCTACCTACACTACCTGTGGCCGGTACCACGGTCACACGCAGGACGGACGAACGAACTGGCACAGGCGCAAATTAACTGGACCAATTCAACCTTGCTTTACCCTCGCGCCTGCTCCAAGTGACACGAAGACTGATAAAAGGTCCGCCTCTCGCCCTCGCCCTTTGCTTGTTGCTCCTCCCTTCTTCACGAGCTTCCTCGCCGCCTTCTCACGACAAGCATCCCTACTTGTCCGATCTTACTTCTTCCGCGCCTCTAATACTCGTCAACACTATCGGGGAAACCACAACAGCCCTCCACAATGGAGAAAGAGACCGGCGTTACCCGTGACCCCGTCGTCCAGGGTCTCGCCGTGACCGACGATGTCAACGCCATTGAGGCCCCTGTCACCTGGAAGGCTTACCTGATCTGTGCCTTTGCTTCCTTCGGAGGTATCTTCTTCGGTTATGACTCCGGCTACATCAACGGTGTATTGGGCTCCCCAATCTTCATCGATGCCGTCGAGGGCCAAGGCGCCACCGCGATTAGCGAATCCCACCAGTCCCTTATCGTCTCTATTTTGTCCTGCGGTACCTTCTTTGGCGCCCTGATTGCCGGTGACCTGGCCGACATGATGGGCCGCAAGTGGACTGTCATTCTTGGCTGCCTGATCTACATGATCGGTGTCATAATCCAGATGATCACCAACGCCCACTCTGCTCTGGGTCCCATTGTCGCTGGTCGTCTCATCGCTGGTGTCGGTGTGGGTTTCGAGTCTGCCGTCGTCATCTTGTACATGTCTGAGATTGTGAGTATTTATCTCACCACTCGAAGCCCACCTTTGGAAGAAATCGTCACTAACACGCATACTACAGTCTCCCAAGAAGGTTCGTGGCGCTCTTGTCTCCGGCTACCAGTTCTGCATCACCATTGGTCTGCTCCTGGCTGCCTGCGTCGTCTACGCTACCAAGGACCGCACCGACACCGGCAACTACCGCATTCCCATCGCCATCCAGTTCCCCTGGGCTCTCATTCTGGGCGGCGGTCTCATGCTGTTCCCCGACTCCCCTAGATACTTCGTCAAGAAGGGTAGAATTGCCGATGCCGCACGCTCCCTCTCCCGCCTCCGTGGCCAGCCCGAGAACTCCGAGTACATTCAGGTCGAGCTTGCTGAGATCGTTGCCAACGAGGAGTACGAGCGCCAGCTCGTCCCTAACACTACCTGGTTCGGCAGCTGGGCCAACTGCTTCAAGGGCTCCGTCTTCAAGGCCAACTCCAACTTGCGCAAGACCATCCTCGGTACTTCTCTTCAGATGATGCAGCAGTGGACCGGTGTCAACTTCATCTTCTACTATTCGACCCCCTTCCTCAAGTCCACTGGCGCCATCAGCAACACCTTCTTGATTTCTCTCATCTTCACCCTCGTCAACGTCCTCTCCACTCCATTGTCCTTCTGGACGGTTGAGAGATTCGGTCGCCGGACTATCCTGCTTTTCGGTGCCCTCGGTATGCTGATCTGCCAGTTCATCGTTGCCATTGTCGGTGTCACTGTCGGTTTCAACCACACCCATCCCGATCCTTCCGACAGCACTCAGAGCATCGCCAACAATATTTCTGCTGTCAACGCTCAGATCTCCTTCATTGCCATCTTCATCTTCTTCTTTGCTTCCACTTGGGGTCCTGGTGCCTGGGTTCTCATTGGTGAGATCTTCCCTCTGCCCATGCGCTCCCGCGGCGTTGCCCTCTCCACCGCCTCCAACTGGCTCTGGAACACCATCATCGCTGTCATCACCCCTTACATGGTCGGTGAGGACCGCGGCAACCTCAAATCGTCCGTCTTCTTCGTCTGGGGCGGTCTCTGCACATGCGCCTTCGTCTACACCTACTTCTTGGTCCCCGAGACGAAGGGTCTGTCTCTGGAGCAGGTTGACAAGATGATGGAGGAGACTGTTCCCCGTACCTCGGCCAAATGGGTGCCGCACGAGACCTTCGCCTCTCAGGTCGCCCGCAACGGCGTCTTGGATAAGGTTACCGTTGACAATGTCGAGCGCCGCGCTTCCAATGTTTAAGCCGACGTCTCGCTGTTCAATTTCCATAATTATCTATAGTATATCACCCGTCAGATCGGATAAATGGCCTGGGGGCACAGCTGAAGTTGAGTCCGTTTCTGGACATGACTTAAAATGTAATGCGAAATGTGGAATGTTGCATGGCGCGGGGGAATGTACACAGTCACAATTGGTGACGAGTTCGATACCTATCTACCTAGCCGTTTACGGAAATTCGTAATTCAAACAAACGTTCAAAAGTAAATATTACATGGTGCAAGGCCTCAAACTCGGCTCATTTCCGTGAATGAGATTGGTTGGAGGGTCCTCAGCAGAAAAGTCAGAAGAATGCCCCCAACTCAATGCCCAAGTTGGGGGAATGCGGGGCCGAGGTGGTTTGCATTAATCGTGCAAACCCCATCCGGGGACCATACCCGGACATGGTACCATGCCAGTTGGCGATGCTGGCAGATCGATCGCGGTCCCGGACCTGGGACATCGCGCCCAGCCCAGACCGGATCAGCTCAGCTTTGGGATCTCTTGGCTGCGGATGCCGAAGAGGGAATGAAGCCTGTGCTCTGGCAACTGTCTTGAACTAGTATTATGTACATGGTGTTTTCCTTGGTAAGATTCCAGTGGCTGTCTGTCTTTCCGTCAAACACTGCGCCATTACTACCAAGGTACCCTGGACCCTGCAGTACTACCTCCACTGCTACCGGGAATCAACCTTTCTAGAGTCTGATCCAGTCTCATTTCAAAGCAAGTGGCTGCTCCTCGCTCGCTCGGGTTGGAGCAACCGGGAGATTCGAGCCATAGTCTTAAGACTTGTACACCCGTTTTGTCCAAGACGGGCACGACACCAAGACACATACACCACATCCGCCTGGGCAGGGGTTGCTTTGGGCGGATTCTATAACTAGTTATCTCCCTTGAGGAACATCCCTTCCTTGTCTCCCTACAGCTATGACTGATCACTTCTACTCGCTTAAACGACGAGAGCGCTTTCCCCGTGCGGGACACTGGTCGAGTAAGGTGTCGAAAATCAGAAGTCTACCCACGATACATGTCACGATCATGTCACGTAACCAAAAACGACACCGTTAGTTACGGGGCAGTAACTAACGCTGATGAATCTCGTGGAAAATTATCACCAAGTTGCTCCCGCGCCGCAGTCATGTTGGCAGCCGTGTCCAGGAAGCTGCATATCAAGGGTTCCGGGGCATGCGTGGTAGAGTAAATCCTTATGTTGGCGCGGAATGTGATATAAACGACACCTACAGACACAGTATTGGGTTCGTCGTTAAGGACAAAGTTGTCGGTAGCAATTCAGTCCTCGGCAGAGCCCCCATGCGTCGTCCTTAACATCTGCAACGCGCCCGGCAAGTTGATCGCCAACCTCCTACCGCAGGCTACATGGCGGAACCGATCACGACAACCTTCGCATTAGTGTATCTAATCCAGAGGATATCAACTGGCTGTTAGCCTCCTCCTGGGTGAGAGTATTCAGCATTTGTTTCCTCAGTGAAAAGGGTTCATCGTTCATTTCCTTTCTTTTCTGCCAAGCCCAATCATCATGTCGTTTGATCATTCCCTTTTTATATCATGTGACGGTTCTGAAAGCTGCAGCGACGTTCAAACCTGCTACAGGTCTTCAGTTTGATTTTATTCCAATCGATTTACTCCCTGGGGAATTCTCAAGAAACACAAGAAAGGAAGACATTCAATGTCTGTTTATGATGCATTTTCCTTCTCTTTGAATAGGTATTCGTGTGCAACCCTCTGATGACATAGTGCTGACTTAGCTACACGCATATTCTAAATTCTAATTGTCTCCATAGATGGATAATTGTGACATTTGATGTTGTGGCAATATGGACTGTTACGAAAACACGGCTCTAGTAGTGCCCTATGATGTTCCTAGGGATGTAAGGTTCCTCCAGGTACTTCATCTCATCTTCCGTCAACGTCTTTCCGCGCAGCTCTCCCGCCTCATCAACTCTCTTGATAGAGTTGAAGCCCGTGATTGGAATGCCTCCCTTGCACCTGATCCAGGTAAGCGCAACATGGCTCATGCTCCATCCCTTCTGCTCGGCTACCTCTTCGACCCTGCGAATGATGCTCTTATCCGTCTCCGTAAGACCAGGGTTCATCAGGCCCTTGACTTGCGAGCGAATGCTTGCCTTGTCTGACTTCAGCGACCTTCCCAGGGCTCCGCCGAAGAGCGGAGACCAGGGGATGATGCCGACGCCCGTCTCCTTGCAGAAGCGGATCATCTCGCGCTCTTCTTCACGGTAGACGAGGTTGTAGAAGTTCTGCATACTGACAAACTTTGTCCAGCCGTTCTTCTCGGCAGCGAATTGTATTTGAGCGAATTGAGTCGCCCACATGGAGCTGGCGCCGATGTAGAGGATCTTGCCGGCCTGAACGAGGTCGTGGAGGGCTTTCATGGTCTCCTCGATGGGCGTGGCTGGGTCGAAGCGGTGGATCTGGAAGAGATCAATGTAGGTCGTTCCAAGGCGATCGAGGGCGTCGTCGACAGCCTTGAAAATGGTCTTGCGGGAGAGCCCGCCTTGGTTGACATAGTCTTTGCTTTGTCCAATTTGCTGGGCGTACATGGGAGTGAACAAGCCGACATCCTCTCCCACGGGCATGGCACACTTCGTCATGAGTACAAGTGTCGGGATATTCAACTGTTTAATGGTGGAGCTAATCTATGGTCACGTGATTTACTATCACGTGACTCACCTTAGCAGCTTACTTACACTACTATAAATACCTATAGTAGTAACCTCTTCTTTTTTCCTTTATTATTATCTTTACCTAGCTACTAATAGTTAATTAATACTATTATAGCTACCTTAATTATAATCTCTATAATACTAATACTAATTAGTAGTTAACTTTATAGTTACTACTACTATAGATTAGTAAGGATTATTAGAAGAGGCTATAATACTTTACTTACTATAGTAGCTTAGATTAAAGTATTAAAGTGCTACTTAGCTTAAAGATTATTAGTACCTAGGATCTTATAATACCTAGTAAATAACCCTTTAAGCCTTATGTCTACTATATAATAACTACTATTACTACTATTAACTTTATTACTTTTAGAGAAGTCTTTTCCTTTATATACTACTTATTTACTAATAACTTTTATAGTATTTAGTATAATTATCTTCTTTTTATACCTAAGTTTCTTTAAGTTTTTTTTTTTTTTTATTCTTTAACCTTTTTTTCCTTTAATTATTAAGATTTTTATCTTACTAAGTTTTTATCTTACTATAGTAGTAACAGCCTATATAAAATTATAAGTAAATAGACTTTTATAAGTTCTTATCTAAATAAGATCTTACTAGTAGGACTAGCTATAAAGCAGTTAAGTAAGAACTACCTAAGTAATCTACTTTTAATATAGTATTTATAAATAAATAGCTTCTACTAACCTTACTCCTATACACTTCTAATATTATATTATTAGCTAGGTGTAGCCTATAGTAATTATAACTTCTTTTTTTAACTAAATAGTTAGTAGCTAATTATTACCTTTAGTAAGTGTGCCTCTTTTTATTCTTAAAGTAAGGTAAAAAAAGTAGAGGTTACTTATATTACCTTAATTTACTTACTTTTTTTTATCCTTTAAATACTTATTAATAACTATACTATCTTTCTTACTTTCTCTTTTTTTTTAAGTAAGGTATAGTTATTAGTAACTAATATAACTTTTACTTAACTTTATTATCTTAATTAATTTAAAAAGACTACTTATTATTTACCTTTAAGTAAGGTATATAACCTTAACTTTTTACCTTTTTTCTTTTAAAAATCTTTAACTATAGTATCCTGCTTACTAAAAGGTAAGGTCTGCGTGTGTCTTTTTTTAGAGGTAGTATATATCTCCTTTTGTTTTTTAAGTAAGATCTACTATAAGGCCTCCCTAGAGCTATCTCTTTATGTTACTAAAACGTAAGGCCTCCCTAGAGCTATTTACTACTATCTATTTATTTATTATTTTATTTTTTTATTTACTTTATTTTTTACTTATACTTCCTTATATTATATTATTTATTTACTTATCTTATTATTATCTATACTAATAGTAGTAATTCCTCTAATATATAGATTTACTTTTAACCTTATAGGTAAGAAGTAAGTACCTATAATTAAGAGGTTAGTAAGGCTAATAGAGGGTAATAATAGTAAAGAAAAGACTAAGTAAAAGGTAAAGTAAACTATAGGCGCTAGCTAAAGTAAAAGAGTATATTTATCTATAAGATATTAAGGATCTATATCTTATCTTAAAGCGTAGCTAGCCCTTTATTATTATATAACTATAGGGTATAACTAATTTAGCTAATATTCCTAACAGCCTTACTTAAGTTAAGTAATATAACGCCTTAAGTATTATTATTATATTCTAAATAATATAATATAGCTTTATATAGCTATATAGTTAATAGCTATAGAGATATACTACTAAAGACTTTAAAGAATAGTTACTTAATGCCTTTAAAGGTACTACCTATAAAACTATTATTAAATTTAGAGACTACTTAATATATAGGGGCATATAGGTATTAATAGTAAAGTTACTAACTATTACTAAATAAATCTACTATACCCTTAAGGCTAATAATCTAAAGGTATAAACGCTTAAGGATATTAAAGAAGAGAAGAAAAGAAGTAAGGATTTTTACTTAAAGATTAATAAACCTAACTTTATATAAGATATTATAGACCTACTACTAGAAATAATATTAATATAAGATTAACTAGGCCCCTCCTATATTATTACCCCCTTAGTATAAGTTACTTAAGTCTAGGAAGGTTAATAAAGGCCTATTAATTTAGCCTTATTATATAATAACTTAAATTTTATTTCTTTACTATTTAAGTAAGTAAGTAATACTTACCTTTACCTATTAGTTATATTAGTTACTACTACCTTACTTATAACTTACTAGCTTACTAACCTTATTAAATTATACCTTAATAAGATAAAGTATAGTAAAGGGGTATATAAGTTACTTAAATTAAAGCTTATAATCTTTTATAACTGCTATATAAAGGCTAGGATCTAGTAAGAGTACTTTATAAGTGCCTTTTTTATTATACTTAAAGGTAAGGCTATAAAGTACTATACTAACTATCTTTATAACTAGACTAACTTTATAACTATAGTAATATAGATAAGGGGTAATTTTAAGAATAAAGAGACCTTTTAGGCCTACCTTACTAAGCTATAAAGGACTAATTTAATAAGGACTATTTTAAATAATTTAGATAAAAGTAAGGCTAAATGCCTAAAGTTACTTATTAAGAGAGTAACTACTTTTATAAGAATAGTTATAAGGATTAGTACCTTATCTAACGTAGCCCTTTATAACTAATTACTTAACTCTTACTATAGGATAAAAGAATACTTTTTTACCTTTTTTAATCTATCTTTAACGTTTACTAGTGTATATAGCTAGCTTTAATTAGTAATTAGTAACATAATATAATTTAAATAACTTATATATTAATACCTAACTAAAGAAGTAGATAATTAATACTAGACTAACTATACTTATAATAGCTAGTAAAGTTACTAGTAATTTAGCTAATATAACTATAGCTATAGTAACTTTACACTATAGCGCCCTTTTAATAGTAATTTATAGTAATAAGTACCTCTTTTGCCCTTATTATTATTTATAAAGAAGTGCTATATATATAGTAAGCCTAACTGTTAGTTAATAAGGTACTTAAAAGACAAAAGGTAATAAGCCTACTATAAGTATAAAGAGTAGTATCTAATAGACTTTTTACTTAAAGCCTTTAACTACTTTATAACTAACTTTAAGGGATATAAGCTATTTACTTTAGATAAGGAAGGTAACTATATAAAGAGTAATAAAGATAAAGAATTAGGCACTATGTTTTATATATTAATAATATTCTTTAACTTATTTACTATTAATAGGCTTGCTTTTTTTTTATTACTATATAACTAATTTACGACCTATTTTCTTATAAAGGATAACTCCTTATATAAGAATCTATATAATAATAAGCCACCTAACGTAGATGTCTTTACCTTTAACAAGTAATATTTATTTATCTTATTTTATAGTATTATACCTAACTCTAGCGTAGCTAAATATTTAATAGCTAGATATAAGTAGTATCTTACCTTTTACTACTAAATAAAAGGAAATCTAGCTATAGATAAGTTATAGGTAGGTAAAGTAAAAATCTGCTTTAGTAGTAGTAACTACTTTAAATTATAAGGGGTAATTAACATACTAACCCTTTTTAGTATGCTAACTTTTTATGTGATATTATTAAACACCTTATTTCTGCTTTACCTTATAAATATAGATTAGTATAGTATTAAATTTAATAACCTTACTAATAAGCTAATCTAAGGTAATATTATTATACTTACTATCTATAAATAAGGCTATATATAGATACTACTTAATTAATATAAGTAAAGTATTGCCTGCTACTATCTTATAGATATTAAGTTATAGTAAATTTATTATTACTTTAGCTACTTATTAGTTAAAAGGCTTTATTACGTCCTCTAATAATCTAGTAATAAAGTTAAGATTACAGCCTTAAAGAAATTAACTAAGGTCTGCTATTACTACTAGATAAATATAAAGGCGCCTAGTTACTTTAAATTTACTTTATATAATAATAAATATAACTTTAACTATAAGATTATTATTAATATTATCTACCTTAATAGTAACTGCCTAGCCTTATATATAGTTAATACTATAATATCCTTTTAAGCAGCCTGTTTACTTAAAAATATTACTATAAAGTATATATAAGAGGCACTTTAGATATACTAAATTAATATCTACCTTAGCCTACCTAACTAGATTATTACTAATACTAGCCTAAACTTTTATACTAGTAAATTTAAGTAGTTAGTAAGGTCGCTTTATATTAACGTTAAAGAAATACTAATTAAAGCTTATAATAGTATTAGTAAGGTTAAAAGATACTATATACCTCTCTAATATATATATAATATCCTCTATAGTAAGGGCTATACACCTAAGGTTACCTTTTAGCTAGCTATTAAAGTAATTAATAATATAGCTAGCCTAAATAGCCTAGTACTTATATTACTAGTCTTTAGTGCCTACTTATAAATCTTTAACTTATTACTACCTTTACTAACCTTACTTAAAAAGGCTAAAGTAGTAAGAAAAGTAATAAAGGCTATTTACTAGATTTATATAAAAAGGTAAGTTAATAAGGTAGTAACTATACGTAACAGCCTAGATACTACTATAATAGTAGCCTTTCTGCTTTAATTTATAGTCTATATCTAGCGTAAGAAAAAAGGCTAGTAAGGCCTTTTTTACCTTATTACTAGTAATAAGACTACTTATACTATTAACCTCCCTTAAGGCTTATAAACTTTTTATTTAACTATTATTAAACTATACCTTAAAGATACTTATAATAAGTAATAACAGCTACTTTTTAAGGTAGGTAGGTAAGGTAATAAGAAGAATAATAATAATAGCGTAGTAGCCTTATTACCTACTAACGTCCTTATGCCTACTAAAGAAATATATAATAGTATTACTATTACTATATACCTATAGCTAAAGTAAAAAGCTAGCTGCCTATAGAGGTATATTAATTTCTTTAATAAAACTAGCTTTACTATTAGGCTTACTGCCTTCTTTACTACTATAAGTATAGTATATATCTTAATAAAGAAAAAAGCTAACTAACTATTATTAATTAAACTATAAAAAAAAAGTATTATTACTACCTTAGGGAAGCCTTTTAAGTAAGTAACTACTACTAAGATTAAAGGGCTTATTACCTATAGGGTATTTTACTTTATTTAATATAATAAGAATAAGTACGCTAAAGTATAAATATTTAAATTATAGATTATTAATAAGGTAAAAGGCTAGAATAAAAAACTATATAAGAAATCCTACTTAGTTATCTAAGGATACGCTAATAATAGTAAAGAAGTAATTCTTACTTAGTTACTTATAATCTAGTAAGCTAGCTAGCGCCTTATTCTTACCCTTACCTTATCTCTTATCTATAATAATAATAATTTCTTACTTTAGTTACGTAATATTACCTAGGCGTATATATAGTTAATTACCTTATTAAATTATATAATTCTTATATACCTTCTATTATAGATATAAGACCTTTATCTAAAGGGCACTATTATATAAGTAGTAAAGCTGTTATATAGTATTATAAAGGCAGGCACTTACTAGTAGGTAACATATAGTTACTACTATAAAGAAAAGCTCTAGATAAAGACTTTAACTTTTAATTTATACTTACTAATTACTAATATAGAGAGCCTAGACTTTAGGATTATTAGTATATAGACTAATAATACTATTACCCTTTTAGATAAATTCTTTTCTACTTATAAGGCTAATAAGCTTACTAAGGCTATATTTACTATTAAGGAGAAGTAAATCCTTACTATTAATAACCTGTTTACCTTTAATAGTAATATAGTATCTCTAACTACTAAGGGGAAGCTCTTTTTCTAATAAAAAGGCTAAGGCAAAAGACTTTAACTTATTAATAAAGAATCTCTATAAGCACTTAAGTAGTACGTTAAGTAATAGGCTTATAGTATATATATTATATTAGTCTGCTAGCCTAAAGCGTACTTTAACTACTTTATTATAGTATAACACTAATTACTTAACGTAAATAAGATTAAGGCACTTAACTATTATATTATATAGTAAATAAATAACCTTAACTATAGTCTGTTATTTTATTTACTTAACCTTAAATCTATAAAGCTTTTTATCTTTATAAATAGATTATTTATAAATAATAAGGACTTTACTTTATAACTAGGATTTATTATTATTCTTACTAATAAGGCACCTATAAGTACTACTATAGGTAATAAATTTATTATAACTAGTAATATTATTTACTTTAGCTTAATAAAGTGTAAGTAAGTTACCTAAAGTATATTAGCCTTTAAGATCTATAGTATAGTTACTAGCGCTAACGTTACTTATATACTTAGTATAACTATTATAATAATTACTAACTACCTTAAGCTACTATATATACTAATAATCCTTTATACTAACTTATACTTACTTTATAAGTGCCTTATTAAGCTTAAGACTATAAAAAAAAAAAGGCTTATAATTAATATTATAGCCCTCTAGTAGTTATATAAGTAATATAAGGTCTATAAGGTATAATAAATATAAAGTAATAATAATCTTACTAATAGATTTACTAAATTATTACCTAATAAGGTACTAGAATAACTAGTTAGAAATAGGATAGTTTAGATTAGTATAGAGGGATAGGTTTCTTAAGCTACGTAATAGATTATATAAACAAAAAGTATTAAATACTTTTAGGCTTTTGATTTTTATTACGTTTTTAAGCTTTTTAGCTACTAGGTAGTATTTAGGCTATTTATAGCAATTTTCTTTTACTTTAGAAAGTTACTAGTATTAGGATATTTAACTATTTAATAGTAAAGCTAATCTATAGTTATGTAATTTATTATTACGTAACTTACCCTAGCGGCTTACTTATACTACTATAAATACTTATAGTAGTAACCTCTTCTTTTTTCCTTTATTATTATCTTTACCTAGCTACTAATAGTTAATTAATACTATTACGGCTACCTTGATCGTAATCCCTGTGATACTAATAATAAGCTTTTTGCGGGGAATGTTGTACTTTTTGATTGCCTTGCTGATGACCTTCTCGCTCATGCCGTTGGAATACATGTTGGTGGTGTCCTAGGTGTTGATGCCGCGGTCGTAGGCAGCCTTGAGGATTTCGCAAGATTCTTCCTCGTTGAGTACCCAGTCTTGCCATTCACTGGATCCAAGAGACATTCCACCCAGGATGGGCACAGAGACTTTGAGGCCGGAGGTTCCTAGGCGGACATATTCGACCTTGGTTGCATCAAGGCTTTTTTGAAGAGACGCGGGGACAGGCAGCGCAGACATTGTGAATTTGGAGCAAAGAGGTGAATAAGGTGGATTTGGTTATTCTTCCCAAGAATTGTGTGGTAGCGGTGTGATGTATGATATGTTTGATGAGAATCGAGAGTATGCTTCACGATAACACAGTTAGGGACTGCATCCTGATATATCTATAGGTATACGAGGCGGCCTTTACTTCTTGTCTCCACAACCGTATGGGTTAGGATAGACAGTCTGGTGGATCAACTATTGCGCTCTCGAACAACATTGTCATTTGATGAAGATGCATTTGAACATGGAGATAATTGCAAAAGCCGCTGTTTTGGATATGATCGCAAGTCGCCAAACTTGTTCTCCTCTTAGAGTCTTCGACTGTTAAGCCCGTGTAGGCGGGCGTTAAGCCCGTGCGTGTATATCGTTGTAATAGCCTATAAGCACTCAAACGGTGCATCGCCGGACATTCAGGCTGCATTGCGCCGCCCATGAATTGCATTACTAGCGCGGGCAATTAACGGACTAAGTTTCCTGTCCGACCCTTCATGTCAAGTCTTTGAGGCCTTAGAAATAAACGTCCAAGATCTGGGTCCAGGGTAATGTCTTAACACTCAAATCCGTAAACTCCGGGTGGGGGCCCCGTCATTATGTCCGGGCGGTGGTCGCCGACCCCGTAGCGACATTCTCATCTGACCAATGAACTGGTCAGGAAACCACCTTGGTAGCCACAAGCGGCCAATCGCGTGGCAATACTACTGTGTAAGCGTCATGATGAAAAGAAGTTCACGAATGTGGTGTATGGATGAGGAGGGATCTGACTAGAGTCGCAGTTTATTGCAACGTACCCGCCGGGGTTCTCAAATCAACCATCTCACTCTTAGGTATCCTCTCGATGAAATCAGGAAGGAAAGGACTGGACAAAAAGAACAGGATTGGTTGTGTCTTTGCAAGTCAGATTCGACCGTGAAAATGTCCTTAGAGGTAGCCCCATGCGCAACAAAGCAGTAGTCGGTCGGCCCGCTCGGCCGCGGTTACTGATTAACTCCGTCATACAATTTTGATGACGTCGCTCTGAGTTGAGTATAGTCATATATATATACATATTTCAACATGTGCTACGATTCATCTTAGCAATCCCAGCGCAAATTTATCACAAAGTCTTGACGTTCATTTCCAAGTATCTCCCATTGAAGCAAACAAGCACCATATACGCAATTGCATTGATCCAGCCCCATAACAACGATGAGTTTCATTTACAGCCAGCTTATCAAAACCCTGCCATACCCTTCGGGCTCGTATGCTGGCAAAACTGTTGTCATCACTGGCAGTAATGTTGGCCTCGGCAAGGAGGCTGCGAGACATTTCGCCCGGCTGGGTGCCAGCAAGCTGATCCTCGCCGTCAGAAGCCTCGACAAGGGGCATGCCGCCAAGGAGGACATCGAAGCTACCACAAACTGCGCCAAAAACGTCATCGAAGTGTGGGAACTCGACATGTCCAAGTACGCCGGCGTGCAAAAGTTCGCTTCCCGGTTGAGCACTGGGCTGGAGCGTGTTGATATCTTCATTGCCAATGCGGGCGTGGCTCACCCCAAGTTCAAGCAGGCGGAAGAGGATGAAGAGACAATCACCGTCAATGTCGTTTCCACATTTCTTCTAATGGCCCTCGTCTTGCCCAAAATGAAGGAGACGGCTGTCAGATTCAACACTCGACCCACCTTCACGATCACATCCTCGGAGGTGCACGGCTGGACGCCGTTTGAGGAGCGCAATGCACCCGATGGCCAGATCTTCAACACCATCCACGAGAAAGCCTCGAAGCCGTCGGAGGATGTGAGCAATCTTTACCCGCTTTCAAAGCTCTTCGAGGTGCTTGGTGTGAGGAAATTCGCCGCGATGCACCCCGCTTCAGAATACCCCGTTACCGTTAACAACGTTAACCCGGGCTTCTGTCACTCGGAACTAGCCCGCGATATCGCCTCGTGGACAATGTGGCTAATGAAGCGCTTCCTGGCCCGGACAACGGAGTATGGCAGCAGGAACTTGGTGTATGCTGGATCAGCAGGCGTTGAGTCTCATGGACATTATGTTTCGGACTGCGCCGTGGCGAAGCCGTCGCCATTTGTGAGAAGTAACGAGGGAGAAGTGGCACAAGACCGTATTTGGAGTGAGCTTGTGCAAAAGTTGGAGGCTATTCAGCCCGATGTTATGAGCAATATTTGATGTCATTAGCTATGCCGATTACGCTGTATATCCCTCTTTATGTACATCCCGAGGAGCCTGTGCCACACTCCTTAGTAAAGTCGCAACTCCAGAACTGATAGGTGCTGCCCGTGGCCTGACACTTGGCAATACCGTCGGTGTCGGTGATCATCTGGTAGGCGTTGGGGTCGTCGGGGGCGGCGAGTGAGCTTTCGTAGTCACACACCTTCCGTGTGGCGTCGGGAACCGCCTCACCAAGCTTTTACAAGGTTACGATCAGCACAATACCCGTTTTAACGTTTTTATCCCGTTCATTTTGCTTTCTCCTCTTTCCAAATCAAGGGGGGCCGCGTATGTGACTTACCCCATCGGTGCAATAGCACAGGGTTTTCCAGTCGCAGGCTTGGACGCCCATGAAGGTGGCTGCGGCGACGAAGATGAAGCTGATGGACTTCATCTTGAACCAAGGTTTAAAAAAAGATAGAAAAGTTCATGAACGACGGATGAGAAGCGAGTTTACCTGTTGATAGCTATAGTGAATAGGAGGGAAAACAAGTCATTCAACAATCGGTAGGAAGGGTAGCTTCTATATTAACTTAAGGGAGAGCATGGAAGAGACAAGCATAGTGGTGTTGTTCTAAGCAGACTAGAATCTTTCGCTCAAATTCTCTTGCTTTTACTACTGGCTTTTTATTACACTATGGAAATAAATGCGTAGATTACTGCGTTCGTACTTAGGCGACAAAACCCCTGCCGGAATTACCGATTTTGATGATACCTGACTTTTCGCTAGCATTACAGAAATTGTAACTGTAACAGTTGAAGTACGGGTATACTGCGATACCCTTGCTTGCTTGTTTGTAGGTATGTGTAACTCCGTTCCCTAATTTGTCAATTCCAATCTCAAGGTTTTATTCTAGGGGCTATAGAGTTTTGTATTACTATTTGTAATTTACTAGGTAGTCTTGGTCCTATTATCTATATCGGCCCCGGGCCCGAATCCAAACCAATTAGAAGCTTTTGTTGCGATGTTGACCATCGCCTGGATATCGGCGGTATGGATTAACGCCGAAATGGCCGGAATAACTACGGCCGATTTCACCATGGATCCACCGGATCCACGGGGATATTACGCGGTGAATTCGCCGCGTAATCCCACGATGGTTTTCCTTTCTTTACGCATAATTCAGAACCACCAGTTACCACTATTATTCGTCAATTGCCTATTGATACGTACGGTTAACCGTATCACCACCCTGGTGATAACCGACAGCTTTATTGTGTGGCTATAGCCAGGATATATAGCATTATGAAGTGCTATTATACCCCTTAAATTAATATTGCCTAACGTTAGCGCCAGCTGATAGGAGTTTTTTTTGCATTCTTCTTTTGTCCTCTCCTGGCCCCTAATGTATTGGAGTTTGCCTGCACCCATTCCCAGTATAATGCAAGGACTATCCGTACTTTTGTAACATATGACTTGAGTATTGGTGTGACTTACGCTAGCGACACTGACGAGCAAAAAGAGTCCCGCTTCTGCCATAGAGCGAAATCTGGGCGGGAGGTGCTACAGCCGACGAAGGGATGGCACTTTTTATCTAGGGAAAGGGTGCAAGGGAGGAGGGAACTAGTCATCAGAAGGAAACGACCTCCTGGCGAGAGGCGCAAAACATAGCGACCGACACTGATGGCGTGGCATGGGACTAGAGATGGCGTTAGATTTAGTTAGGCTTTTTTTTCTTCTTTGCGCAAGGGCGGTTAGATAGAGTGGTTGATTAGGGCCGACATGAGGTTCTTCTACTATAGGTTACATACTGCTTGAAAAGCTATTATAAGGCAGTTTTATATATAGGAAAAACTTATAAGAAACCAACTTGAATTGTCTTTATATAAGGCTGTCTTGCTAAACATATAGATATATATATCTTTGTAGTAGAGCCAGGTGGGCTAGGTAGATACAGCTAAATTATCTAATAATCTAGTCCAATAAAATCCTATAAGGCTGTGAGATGCCATGAAGGCATCGCGACAAAAGCAGAAAGATAACATCACATACTCTACTTAAAAGCATAAAGACAGTATTATATACTAGGATAAACAGAAGCTCTAGAATATTCTTCCAATTAATTTAGGACAATAATCATGCATTTTAAGGCTAGGGGGGCGGGGGTCTCGTCTCGTACTTTTTAACATTCTTACCTGGTTTAGTTAAGGGTTAAGTCAGGAAGGGGGGTATTGTATTCGTCTCCCCAGGGCCCAGCTGACGTTTATAGGCACTCCGATACCATGACTTGACCTGACTTGACTTAACTTGACACTGAACGTTCTCATTGTCTCGCCCACCGCAGACGCACCTCGTCAGGTCGCTTCATCTGCAACGTGATAACGGGCTGGCCGTCGCGCGTTAGCTCCAGCAGCCGCCGCCGCGCGCGCTCCACGCTCTCGTCTGGCCGCCTTGCCGGCTCGACGGTGATCAAGTTAGTGCCAAGCGCACCTAATGCGGAATGTTGCAGCCAACCACCCATATGCTCTAGACAGTTATATGTCAGGTAGCAGAAATACCCAAGTGATATAGTAAGTAGTTAGAGATTATGTTTTCGGGTTCGTTCGGATAGCAAAGCAGAACATATCCTGCAATAAAAAGTGCATTGTACAATAAGGTAGAGTTAGCAAGCACATTATCTTCACTAGGCTTTTACGGGATCAAACCATACAGCAAAGATCCGCAGGATACCAGGCATATTGACTTTGGCAAGTATTTCTTATTCACCATAACAAAAAGCCTCAGAAGCACTTGCGCATGCCATCTAGAATACATATCGGAAAGACAGATTTTCCTTGTCGGTTATGTCCTCGAAAGAGTGAACAGTGTACTCAGGAGAAGCCTCCGCGATACCGGCAGCAACCATGGCGTCTCGTTTCTTGTTCTCGCGGGAGAGGTAAATGCGGAGACCAATGATGATGATGATTAGCAGCGCGTAGCAGCCCAAGTGGGTGGCGAAGGCGATGAAGTAGCGGGGACCATCCCACTTGAGGAAGACCTGGGGGCCGATAGAGTTACCGGCGGCCCACACGATGAAGTTGATGGCGACAGCAAACTGCTTCTTTGTCTGGCCAGCAATGTTTCGGGATATGAGAGACAAGGCGAGGGTTTGTGCGGACCAGAAAGACAGGGTGATGTAATAGCAGATGAGCAGACCGACCCTCTGGGAGAAGGTGTCGTCGGGGATGGTCATCAGGAGGACAGTGCCAACGATCGAGCTAGCGATATGGTTAGTCAATTGAAGGAAACATGAATGAATATGCTTTGAACGTACGGAGCACAGAAGCCGAGCATGACGTAGAGGTTTTGGTTGAATCTCTTCACCAACCAGACGGAACCAAGGAGAACAAAGATGATGTAAAAACCAAGAACCATGGCGAGCAGCTGGACCTCAAGGGTATTGAACCCGAAACTCTTGATGATAATGTTGGCGAAGGCGCCGAGGCCAGAAGTGGGCAGAGTGGTACAAAGAGCGATGAGGGAGTACCCCCAGACCTGGGGGTCCTTGAGGGCCTCGATGGCCTGCTCGCGCTTGAAGGTCTTGTTTTGGATACCGGTCTGGTTGTCGCGGACACGCTCAACCATCTCGTGTTTGACCTCCTCGGAGTAGCACTTGGCACGCATGGGGGAGTCGGGCATCCAGATTAGTACGAATACCCCGAAGACGACGGAGATGATACCGTAAGCTAGGAATAACCACTGCCAGGACTTGAGCGGACCGCTCTTGATGTGGGTGAAGCAGTAGGCGAGAAGACCGCCGACCACCTGCTGGGCGCCATTCATCATGTACCAGTAGGTGACACGGGACGCCTGCTCTTCGCGGCGGTACCACATAGAAGAGAGGACGACGAAAGCTGGCTGGCAAGCTGACTCGAAGATACCGAGGAGGGTGCGGACAACAACGAGACCGGTAAAGTTGGTACAAGCGGCGTGGCATGCAAGCACGGTACCCCAGGCGATGATGGAGAAGCTCAGGTACTTTGCGATGGGGACGCGGGCGATGATGTAGTTTTGGGGGTACTCGACGAACAGGATAGCGATGTATATACAGGTGGTTAGCCAGGAGAACTCCTGGCCCTTGAGTCTGGTGTCTTCTTGGAGACCCATGATGGACGCGAAGGACATGGTACCCTTGTCAATAGCCTGGAGGAAGTAGGTTCCGATCATGATGACCAGGACGCGACGGTCGATCATCTTGCGCAGCTCGTCACTCCGTTCCCGGGAGACAGTGATGGAGCCATCACCGACGTACTTGGACAATTCATTGTCGACCTTTTCGAGGCGCTGGTGGTAGGTCTTCTCGCGGGACATGGATCGCTCAACTTCCTGGAACGACTTTTTGTCCGGCGCCGTTGTGGGAAGGACGAACTCCGGGTCGACGACTTCAGTTGAAGCCATGCTGCCTGGCTGGTGAGACGGGACCAAGTGGGCCGTCGATGGCGTGGAAGGCCGTGGAACGGGAGAGACACAACAAAGATCTCAGCTGGCTGGATGGGGCTTTGAGCCCATAGTCTGTTTAACCTCTAGAAAGGAAAAAGCTGGGCAAGCTGACGAAAAGAAAGGAAGGAGAATGGTATGCTACCTCGTTCTATATAAAACATATCTCAAGTGGAGTAGGACAGGTTGTGTTCGGTATTGGTGAGGTATCGGAAAGGCGAGCCGGTGCTTAGTGTCTTTTCATTATCCTCCTCTCGGCGGGTTCATTCAGCCACCTGTCAAACCCCAGGATCTCATCCACATTCTCCTCTCATGTCTACCCCAAGGCTTTTACTGGGGGTGTCCCGGAGTTCGGTCCCCGGGGGAAAAGAACGACGAAAGAAGGTCAAGCCTCTCCAATGAGTCCTGAGGAGGCGGAGTCGATTCCAGTAGGCTGAATGGCTCAAGGGGTGAAACTCGAGCTCAAGCCGGGCGATGAGTGGAAGATGGATGACAGGACAAGTGGGTGCAGATTGGGTTATCATTCAACCGAGGTGGCGGACAGCGAGGTGTGTCGACAGCTTCGGCACACGACGCACCCCTCCTCCATAATGTACGTCCTTGGTCCTTCTCTCCATCGCACTCCACTTGTTTGCGTGCGTGCGTTCGTTACTCCCGATCATCCTGGTATAGTTACGACAGTGGCTCGCTGGGTTGGCCCAATATGAGGCGATCCTCTCGAGTGTGGACGGACCCATGGCTAGAGCGGCATGAGCCGGTGTTGGAATTTGGATTGTGGGAACGTTACTAAGACCGGATGAAAGGCAGGGAACAATACAGGCGATGGGGGCCATGCAAACAAACCGGATGGCGGCAGCAAGTTCATTGCAAAGATGGTGGGAATGGGGTGTGGATGCATGGCTCCGACAGGGAGGGTTCTCAGTTGGCCCTTCATGGTTGGCACGGCTGGCCAGGACCACCTGCTACAAGGACGTGAGCCTGTGGCCTCCCAGTTGGGAAGACTGATTCGTAGTTTCTTGCTATGGAAATGCTGCTCAAGGCTAATCTGTTCGTTGATTTCTTCTACTGGAGCAGGCCACTCGAATTCGTATTACTCCGATATTTACATAAAGCCCATGTAGTGAGTGTCGTTCAAGCGTTCAAACGCTGTGGTAGAACCCGTGGCCTTGTCAGTATCCTAGCAAGAAGGAAGGCATGATGGTAGAGTATCGAGGCGTCAGCCGTCAGCGGCTTGGCGTGGCACTTGGACACTCTCCCGGCCGCCGCATGTCTTGGTTCTTCGCCGCATTTCTGGGCGTACGGAATCTGCAAGGAATCGGACATAAGGTGGGAAAAGTACTGGGGAGCTATCCCATTGAGTGCGAAGTGACCTCACACAACCTCAGACCAATAAGACTACAGCAATCCAGGCCAACTATCCAATAGCTGTTGGTAATCATTTGCAGAAACCCATATTTGGGTTATGTGAGGTCACTTCGCACTCAATGGGATATAGTGTATGGATAGGAAAGCACAGATGGATGCACAAAGTAGCAAGCAACGAAAAAGTCGGGGAGAGACTCCACCGGCGCGGGGTAACTGGGCCGGGGCGCGGGGGAGGAGCAGCCGAGCTGGCAGTGGATTACCCCGGCGGGATAGCGCACGAAGTGGGTACAATGTGCTCCGCTTCGACCAATCATGCATTGTCTCTCACGTCCCAGAGGCGTTCCTGTACCCTTTGCACTGCAGAATTCCCAGTTGTGTTGAAGAAGGAGCAACCCAGTAAACGCCAGACGACTCGTACTTCTCACGGGGTTCTGCGGCTCTCTGGGTGGGGTTTACCAAGTCTAGGAATCCCCTGCGCCAGACCGCACCCTGGAAAGCGTGTCCCGAGGAGTCTTGGGACCTCGGTCACCCTCTCCCCGAGTTCCTTCCCCCCTCAAGTCAGCCGTCCGTTGACCCCTCATTTCTGCCCGCCAGACGTAACTTGTCCCCCTTGATAAAGAGCCTTGCATCCAAAACCACGTCACGATTGTGTATGCGGTAAAGCTGTTTTGCCAGTGTTCCTGACAATAGACACCAAACGGGTCCCAACCACACATCGAGCCCAACATCGTCACCCTAAACACCGTCAGAATGCCTGCCGGAATCAACGAGGTGGCGGGCGTCAAGCGGGACGACGTCCATAAACAGGTTAAGCAGTTGATCCACGACATGGTCAACATCAACGACACCACGGGCGAGTTCTTGATGACGCTCGAGAACGGCCGCGTCATCGACACTAAGGGCTGGGAGGACTGGGAGTGGACCCACGGCATCGGCCTGTATGGCATTTGGAAGTACTACGAGCTCAAAGGCGACCCGGCCGACCTCAAGATCATTGAGGATTGGTTCAAGAACCGCTTCGAGGAGGGCCACAAGGGCAAGAACATCAACACCATGGCCGCCCTCCTCACCCTCGCCTACGTCTACGAGAAGACAGGCAACGACACCTACCTACCCTGGCTCGACAGCTGGGCCGAGTGGGCCTACCACGACCTGCCGCGCACAAAGTACGGCGGCATGCAACACATCACCTACCTCGACATCAATGATCAACAGCTCTGGGACGACACCCTCATGATGACCGTCCTGCCCCTTGCCAAGATTGGCCTCGTCCTCAACCGCCCCCACTATGTCGAAGAGGCCAAGAGGCAGTTTCTCATCCACCTGCAATATCTCTTCGATCCCCCCTCCGGCCTCTTCTTCCACGGTTGGACCTTCCACGACGGTGGCCATAACTTTGCCCGCGCCCGGTGGGCCCGCGGCAATAGCTGGCTGACCATCGCCATACCCGAGTTCATCGAGCTCCTAAACCTCAGCGGCGACGATTCGCTACGCTCGCATCTCGTAAACACCCTCGACGCCCAGTGCGCCGCCCTCGTGCCCCTGCAGGCTGAGAGCGGCCTGTGGAGGACGCTGCTGGACATCTCCGAGGAGGAGGGCTCCTACGTCGAGGCGAGCGCCACCGCCGGCTTCGCGTACGGCATCCTAAAGGCTCAGCGTAAGAGATACATTGGCAAGGAGTACGAGGATGTGGCCGTCAAGGCTGTCAAGGCCGTCTTGGACAACATTAGCCCCGAGGGTGAGCTGCTCAACACCTCGTTTGGCACTGCTATGGGACACGACCTGCAGCATTACAAGGACATCCCGCGGACGAGTATGCCATATGGTCAGGCCATGGCCATGATGGCCCTGGTTGAGTTCCTCCGCGTGTTTGTATAAGCCTAATGACAATGCTGAATGAAAAAATAGAAATAGAAAAAGAAAAGACATAAAGAAAAGTGGAAACCTAAACGAATGAACAAAAGCAATGTTCCCGAATCGTCTTGTGTGTGGCCCCAAGACGTGTTGGCCTTCGGCCTAATCACAAGCGCACTGCGGCTCCGACTTGGCACAGGTCTTCGCCGGTAGACGTTTGCTTAGCATCAAAAGGGGGAGGGGTTCACCATTCTCGGCACCTCGTTGACCGAGACAATCCGAGACCTCAAGGCACTGCCCACGACGGTCCTGGGCATCGGGTTTTCACAGTATCCATCCCCCGAAGTAGCCTTGTCCGGCCGTGATCATTCGACATGTGCACAAGGCAAGACCCGTTTTGATGACGGTCTTGCCCGCTGCTTTCCACCACTACCTTCCAGCTTGAGATCGTTCTGGAAAGAAACGCTCCACTCAAGGATGGATTCCCCCATCAACCAATGCTGCATCACCTTCCGGAAGTTACCAAAAACCTCGCAGATGCATCCGGACTCCTGTTGTTCCCACCCGTCTCGTCGCATGAACCCCCCAGTTGCGAGTGTCTGACGGGGGTATACCAACTTCTTTCCGTGGAGTCTGCAGTCGTGGTTGAATATGGCGCAAGCTACTGGTGTCCAGGTGTTGTATGCCAAGCAACCCCGCGAGACCGCTGCGCTCTGATGATCTAAACCTCAAAGTGCCATGTCGCGAGCGAGGTTGGTGAACCAAGCAAGGCTAGTAGTGTGTGTTTTCCATTGATTGGGTCATCTGGGATGGCTTCCAGTTCAGTAGGCAGTTATTTGGCTAGCAATCGTGGCGACACGAGGCTAGGGGCGTCTTTGTTGGCACCGTACAGCACCCTCCAGCTGCCACATTTGACTCTGGGTAGTCGGCCGCATCGGAGGTTTTTGCATACATCGTCACATGTTGCACTCCAACGGGAGATGACGCCCAGGGTGGGGGGTATCGTCGGGACTAGCAACATGTGGTCACAAGCAGAGTGCCTTGAAACAATATGGCGGTCTGTACGATCAAATGATTTGGTAAACCATAAAGAAAGAGAAGAAACAATTGGGGGCGGCGATCGGAATGCCAATGCAGAGGAGCAAGGTTAGTGGCCGTTGGAAGTCAGGTCGGGGGGGAGGTTGGAGAGGGATCTCGGATGATGAGTGCCAGATCAGAGATTGGAGATCAGATGGCCTCGGCCAATGACAAGCTCATTGGTCAGGAAAGAAAGACGTCATCAGATGGAGCGAGATGGCCGAGAAAGCTAGTTTTGCACGTAAAGCACGAGGAGGGCTATGAGAGACTGATGTCTGTTCGGCTGTTAGTGAATAGGCAGCTGTCAAGGCGGGAAGCTAACACGAGACTTCCCGCTGGCCAAACCCATACTTTTGTTCCAGCGCACGAGCCACAGCCAAATAGCGAAACGAGATGGATGGGGGGAGCCCCCCGATAGGTAGGTGCCTACGAATACCATGAGGTAAAGGTAACCGACTTTGGACCCATAATAGAAGGAAGAAAAAAATGCAGTAAAATGAGGTCACTCTTGTCTGTGCGCCGTCCCTATTGGGTCCCGCCCCATCTCGCTTATGTCTTTCAGGGCCCTTTCTTCCCCTCCTGGGTTGTTCTGTGCAGCGAGCAGCAGCTGTTACGTCGTATCTAGCCAAAGCCAATTCCTGCCGATATCCTCCCGACACATATTCTTCAACCACTGCCGCCGCCAAACAACGGATGCTTACAACACCCGTCACAAGCTCTCCCTTCCGCGACACCATCCACCACCACACACGATTGTCGACTCTCTGCTCGTGCGACCAAGGCCAGGCACCAAGGACGCACTCCGAATCTCGGCGTGTCGCAATCGCTTCTTTATTTATCTTCTATTTCCCCCACCACCACCTATTGCCTCCTCGCACCAATAAATCACTCGAGACCATGCGCTGGAGGTTGCGATTGTGCATTCCATCACCGTGAGACCCTGGCAGCGGGGTAGCCTGGCCCAGCAGCTACACCCGAGACAGAGCATCGTCCACCGAACCCATCTCCGACGACCTACCACCGAACCTCCCGTGGAGCTTTCCCGACATCACCGCCACTGCTGCGAATTGCAACTGCTGTAGCAACTGCTGTACTGAGCAGCGTACATCTGTAACAGGCCGCACACGACCACGGACGACCGACCGACCGACTCCCTCGTCTTCGAGCTCGACATGGCCCGGAATAACGTTGTCCGCGCTTCCGCAGCAACCCGCACAGCCTCGTCAGGCTCATTCCACGCCGGCGCTCCGATCCCTACACTGGGAAACATCGAATCCAGCCGGAGAATTACGATACGCCGTCAGTCCACCCATCGGTACCACACCTTTCCGACCCCGCCCCCAAAGACCCCCCGCGAGCAGTCCTCGGCCGAGCATTTCCCACATCCGGACGATAGCTCCAACCCAACCGACGACGATCATGAGCAGACCCCTCTGCCGGTCAAGCAGCTTGCCCTGCTAGCCTTCCTTTCCTTGACCGAGCAGACGGCCCTCAACTCCATTGGACCCTATCTGCCTCAGATGGTCGAGTCTTTTTCCGACATTCCCGACGCCCAGACGGGTCTTTATGTCGGCATCCTGGCCTCGGCCTTTGCGTTGGCACAATTGTCGACAAATCTGCTATGGGGTTATCTTTCCGACGTTGTTGGCCGGAAGCCTACCATGGTCCTGGGCACATTCATGCTCGCGTGCTGCTTCGTCGCCTTCGGCTTCTGCAGGACCTACTGGCACATTGTAGCCGTTCACGTCGCCATGGGTATGCTTAACGGCAATGCGGCGGTGGTGCCCACCGTCCTCGGCGAGGTGACGGATCGCTCCAACCAGAGCCGGGCCTTTACCTGGCTTCCTGTCATCTACTCCCTCGGCGGCATCACAGGTCCCGCCCTGGGTGGCTTGCTGGTGGGCATACTGGGGACACAGTACCCGTACCTGGCACCGAACCTTGTTAGCGCCGCATTGCTGCTCGTCAGCGTGTTTGTCGTGGGGATCTGGTTCGAGGAGACGCTAGAAACCATCCAGTCGGACCACGCCGCTTGGATTCCGGACTGGGCCCGCAAGGCATGGTCTTGGACCCAGCGGCGCCCGGAGCCAAGAAGAGATTCTTGGGCCACCCGCTGGCCCCGTCGCGGATCGCAAATCGTGGTGAGCACGTCCGACGACGATGAGGATGACGAAGACGACGGGGCTGAGGACCAAGGGCTGCTCCAGCCGGGATCGGAGGGCGGCCCCGGGGCGGCGGACGACGATGCCAAGTCATCCAGCGAGGTCGCGACGTGGCGCCAACTCTTGAACCGCAACACGATTCTGGTGTTGTTGACGTATCTGGTCTTCCAGCTGTCCAATATCTCATTCAACAGTCTCTACCCCATATTCGCTGACGCCAACCCGCCTACCGGCCGTGACCTGTCCCCCAGCAAGATCGGTATGAGCTTGAGTCTCGCTGGCGTGGCCACCATCGTGTTCCAGGGCTTCCTCTTCCAGCCTTTGAAAACGCGGTTGGGCAACCTGGGCACCTACCGCATTGCCTTGTTGGGACTGGCCCTCAGCATGGCTCTGATGCCGTGGATCGGCTACTTGGACGACGAGCCCTCTTTCGGCCTCGGTACAGGCGCCACCTGGCTGTACATTGAGCTGGGAATCGTTCTCATCGTAAAAAATATCTGCGCCGTTGGCGGTCTGTCCAGTGTGATGCTTCTGGTGAGCTCAAGCCGGCTTTGGTTATTTCGGACCTCCCCACTGACAGTTTGTCCCTATAGATCACAAACTGCGCCCCGAATCATGCCACCCTGGGCACCTTGAACGGCATCGCCCAGACTCTTTCAGCAGCAGGCCGCAGTTTCGGACCCTTTGTTTCAGGCGCCCTCTTCACCCTGTCCACGCGCGTGCACCCGAAGGGCGAGGCCCTCGCTTGGGGCATCTTTGGGGGCATCGCCCTGCTTGGCTGGCTCGGCTCCCTTGCTATTCGCAACCGCGGTCTCGAGAGCGACGACTGGGTCGGCGAGGAGGATGGCACCGACGGTGAGACCGAACCGTAAACCATCCACTATATGACTGCGGGACTCGCGCCTCCGGGGTCTGAACCAGCCACCCCGGGTCAGAAAAGGGACATGGATTTACTAGATGTATGTTGGAAGAAAAACTAGGGTGATCACAGCGTCTGCCAAGGGCCGGGAATGTATATAGGTACAGCGGGTACAGCTTTTTATTTTCATGTTCCATTTAGCTTTTGCATTGATAGAGGGACACACACGAACTCATCCCCTCCTCCGTTGTGGATGGGAGGGGGGCAGAAAGACCAGGTCTCAGATCCAAGAGACTGCTCTGGGGCTAGATCTCAAAAAGAGCAATCAAGATAGATTTGATGATTGATTCAACTGCCCAGTCACCCCCCTCGAGTGTTCAGTTTGTCCGAGCTCACAACATGAGCATCAGAACGGCCCCGCTCTCTAAAGATTGTATCGATATGGCGAGAGTGCTCTCCTAGCGATCATTCGGATAGAATGAAGAAAGAACAAATGACTCCTCTTTTGATGATGCTACCTATCCAATGTGATGGGACAGAACTCCAGGGGCTTGCCAGAAGCCCCCTCCCCCTTTGGCGATACGCACTGCCCTGTGACTATCTGCCTCCAGTTTACGTTAAGATGAGAATTGAAAGGTACGCAAAACGAATACCGTAAAAATACACGCCTCAAACCCATAATGATGTCCTAGATGATGTGGCGTATGCCTTCAAATGCTGATGCCTGCGCCAAGTCCCAATGCTTCATGGGCTAGATCAATGCCGCCCAGATCCGATCACTACCAAACGCCTGAATACATGCTTACACCATCGCGCTTCATCTTATTGCGCATAGACGAGTGTCTCGTTGTCGTCATCCTCGTCGTCTCTGCCTCGCCGGAATTCGAGCACGATCAGTACCAGGTCGGGGGGATAGACCAGTGCCTGAGCATGGTCTCAACGGCCTTGTTCCATTCATACTCGAAGCACGCGGCGAGCTGAGCCGCCTCTTCCGGAGAGGGCTCGCGGCCTCCCCACATCTCGGGCTTCGAGGCCTCAAGGGCGGCGTACCCAGGCACCAGGTCACTATCGACGCACCGCGTGGTCAGCTTCTCTGCGAGCGTGCGCAACTCGCCTCGTCCCGTGTTGGCGGGGATGGGTGGATTGCTTGCTCACTCTTCCTGGATCTTCACCAGACACAGCCACGCCAGGTTCCAGCTCTTGTTGGAGTTGGGGTCGTTGCGCACGCGCACGTGGGCGTCGTAGAGGATGTCTCCGCACAGGGGGTAGCTCCGCGTCAGGCCGCGGAGCTCCGTCAGGAACTGGTTGCTGTTGACGTAGTAGTCCCAGGCGGAGGTCATAGGGCCCTGAAAAGCCAAGGCGTCCTCTTCGTTCTCGCACGTCGCAGCTACGCGCTCAATACGGCAGAGCTCTGTTAGGGTGTTGACGCGGTGTGTCTGGAGAGAGTCTATCAGTTGCTGGATAGACTGCTGTGATGGGATGTCAGTTCAAACGATCACGAAAATGGGGCTCAGGCGAGCTGGGAGCTCAAGGAGGCATGTGTGGAGGGGCGGAAGAAGGTGTTCCAGTGGCGCGTCTTAGGGATGTAGTACAAAGAAGAGACCGTGACTAACTTGAACCGCCCTCGGCTTCTTGCTGCTCTTGGAGCTGCGGTGACCTGAAGATCCTCCCGAACGGCTGGAACGTGACGAAGACATAGCGATAGTCGATGTACGGACAACACGAGACTCCTAGGGGAGAGATGATGGCGAGAAGGCGGCAAGGATATCTTCGAGTGTGAACTGGGTGTGTTGGTTGAGTTGGTCTCGGAGCCCAGTGAGGTTGTTGTATCGATGGGTGGAGGAAGATCTTGTGTTGAGACTAGGCACATCCATTGATATATCCTATTTCCTGAAGTCGTATTGAGAACTCATCGTACCGTCCATCTACCCTGCGGAAGCCTTGAGCCTCGCAGACGATGCAATTGAGGTAGCCAGCTGAAGATATCGGCCCGCGCAATGACGTCGGTGGATGGTTGGCAATTTGAGATAGCCGTCTGATGTCCTCAAAGATCTCTGCAGCAGAGAGACTCCGGAAAAGGCGTATGACTGAGAGGCAATTATGCGCGTCTGTGGGCCTTTGGATAACCGGCGAAGAGGTCAGATGGCTTGGAAGAAAGTAATGCCTAGGAAGACATCCGGCAATGTCGGGTATTGAAAGAGAGGGCCGCCCGGTGTGGCGGATGCATGATCTTAATGGCCACAAGGAGAAGGGAATGACGGAATAAACGGGAGTTGGGAGATGTAGTCAACAGCGTGCAAGCCACGGGTGTTCGTGCTAAGCATCATTTACTCTGACGATACCAGCACGGTGACCCGAACCCTAGGCGGTCAGGAATCCGCATTGCGGTACCTGCGGCCGAAGCTGAGGCTGGGGCTGATGAGAGGCATCGGGAAGCAAGCCATGGCGTTCGGCTTTCAAAACCTCGAAGCCAAGAATGACATCGAGCCATGGCACGGAGGTGGGGGGCCAGGAACAGCCGACGGTTGGCTGTCCTAATCCCGACTCCAATCCTCATCTGTCCCGGGACACCGGCTGTGTTGAACCTCCAGTCAGTGTCGAACATCCTGGTGTGTTTGATGACTCGTTGCGCTAGGAGCTTGAGCTGCGTGAGCGGTACAAGGTGATGGGCGGGACAACGAGGTTAGAGCCAGTGATTGGACGGAACGAGACAGATACCGGTAAAAGAAACTGCTGACAGAGCAAAACATATTTTTGTCCGGAGCCCAGAAAGCTACCCCGGCCGATGACGATGGCGACCGTGATGGGCTAAACCCAGCAGTCGGGGCAACCAAGCGGCCGGCGATGCATGCCTCTGGAAGGGGGTGGTGGCATGCCACGAGGGGGTTGTTCTGCAGCCCTACCAAAGAGGAGATACGGCGTACGACCGGCCAAAGGCTGCTCTTCAATACAGTCGGCGGAGGAGACGAGATCCCCAGGGTTCCAAGAAAGACAACGTCAGATTTTAGTGGTGGGGCGAAGGGGGGGGCGCCGGTGGCATGGGTTCAAAGCCCGTGGCCATCCCGGGAATCTAATTGCTCAAGGGAACGCGGCTTGCATCTTTAGAAAAGGATGCATCTAGCGGCGTTCGATGTGTGGCCGAAGAAGGTACGGAGTTGAGAGGAGGCAGTGGCGTTGCTGCTGACCGGCCTAGGAAGCTCCCTCTGTACCCTAGCGGAGGGGTAGAACGGGGATTGAACCACGATGCCGTGTCGATAGGATGATTTCTGGCTAGAGGCCTTGAATAACAATGCGTGGGTCAAGTGTCCGTAAGCAGAGACGATACCATTTATGGCAGTAAAAGTAGTAGCGAGCTGAAGTGCATCGGAGCGGACCGGAAGGAATGCCGGGGTAGATATGAAGCGGACTCACCCCTCTTGACAAACGTAGCGCCCAAAGTCCACCAAGCTGGCCATCGTCGGACTCGGAATCTGCCATCCGGAAACGGTATGACCAAAAATGACATCTCCGCATTGATGATACCGAGTCTGTCTAGGCCAGACTGCGTGAAGCTTACGCGTGGGGTGGGTGGTGCCGTCCAAGACAATGGGCATCATCCTGGTCCGAGTCCTAGATGAGGAGATACTTCCATAGGGCTGGATGTTGACCAGAACTTCTGAACGCCCGGGTTGGTCCAGTCGCACATCAGCCGTTGCCCCGCATCCCAATCTCTCGTAGAAAAGAAACTGCGGCTCGTGGATCTAGCATGGATGCCTCGTACCGAGGATACTTGAGATCTGGACGCCAAGAAACGCGGTCATCTGGTTTAGGATGGTCGCCATTTGCTCCAGGCTGGCATGTCCGCGCGCGTGTTTGGCGCCTTGAGAGGCCGGTGCGTGAGCCGGGGCGACTGGGGCCTGAGTGCCCTCCTTGTTGACATCACCTCAAGCGCCTAGGATAGTGGTCAATGATACTAGCGTGAGATGATGTTGTCGAAGGTCTTGACATGCTGCTGAAATCAAGGCTGAATGCAAATATGACACCCAGCCCTACCCGAAGAGATGGATCGACGGCTTGCGGCCGCATGGAGGCGCGATTAGTCGATCATGGACCAGACCAAGCTCCAGAACAATGTTGACCACGTCTGGTTACACACCAGCAAAAAGTCTAGGTATCACAATATTCGATCATGTACACGCTGGAAGGAAGATGGGGCGCGGGTAACCTGTGATCCGGACAGTTCTCACTGACAGTTGAGGCGCCATCTACGAAGTATGCCTGCATGTGGTATGAAGAGGATGCATGGTGTGAAGAGGAAACAACGGAGAGACCGTCAACAGGCAAGACTAACGAGACGCTTAGACGCGAGATAAGAGAGTTTGGCTTGCTGCGTTACGCCGTGTAAGGAGTTGCAAACAACGGCTAGAATGGAAAAAAGCGCAGCAACTGACAAAGACTGAGCCGCGGGGATTATTTTGCTGGATAACGACTGCGCCACAGTAGTGTGCCGGATGTTCCACTTAATAGGCTCATGGCAGACCCGCCATCCAATAAACAGGACGCATCAAGGGCGGCAAGGGTAAATCTTGAGGTAGGTGGAGTGGCTGGCCCTGTGTGGCTGGTCCATGTGGCTGCTCCGCCCTCAGCTACTAGCTTCTATCTGGTTAGGTAGGTGCCCTACGGTAGGTACGGACACTACTGATCTTGGGTTGTCTATCTCACGAAGCGAACAGTTCCTTACACCGGGTGCGGTGCAATTCCACCCTGTCGCTACATACTCGCCTTCTTCGACGGACCCCAAGCCTATTTTCCGTATCTGCACGTTAATCTGCCCTCATCTGCAATTCTTTGCCGCCCGCTGTCACATTTCGACCCGCGCCGGAGCAATTCCCCCCCCCCCCCCACGCCTACCACCTCGCGCCTCATCTCACATGCCCGTAGAAGTAATTGTCCAGACTCTTGCTGTGCGCGGTTTCCGAATCCCGGAATTCGCCTGTTTTGGGGCGGTTGAGCAACCCCGTTTCACCGGACACCCGGCTTATCCTGAAGTGCCATCGGTTGTAGCATTCCTATCCTGCTGCCTGCAACAGTATTGCAACGATTCGTCATTCTCCGCGGCGTCAGGCCATGTGTCAGCGGTGAACATGCTGCAATCTGCTGTGTAAGCCATCTCGATGGATAGGCATTTACACAAAGCACCCTTTCCCAATACCGACCGCCTCGTCAGACGCCGTAGATCGATTGACGGCTTACGCAATCATGTGGCTGGTCACGCCGGCGCCCAACTACCTGGCCTGTGACCTTCAAATACCGCTGCTGCCTGCAGCCGTCGTACATACACTACATTTCAGATCCCTAGGTCGCCGCCGAGTTACCGAGCGGCTTCTACTTATCTCTCACCCTTGTTGATCAAAAAACGTCCCCGGGTCACTAGGTTGCCACCACCCACCTGCAACGAGATGCCCTCACTGATGTCACTGCTCGCCCGTACAGGCTGCTTGCGCACGCGTGATCGTGCTACCGCTCTTTGGGCCACTCAAGACACGTGTTAATCTGCCCGGGCTCTGGATACCTATCCTTAATCCCCCTTCACAACGATAATGTGTGTGGTCAGCCGCCTTGAGCCACTTCTCGTGCAACTTTCTCTCAGTAGCACTGGCGAAGTACAATTTCATACATTATTTGAAATCTTGGTTCAAGCTACATCGTCTCCTTCAGGCACTCGCTTCCCCATTCAGTCCTTCTTCAGTGTACTTCTTGTCGGCGTACCCCTTATGTCCATATCCCCGTAGGTACTCGACTCCGGTGCGCCACCATGCAATGACAAACGAATCCCCGGCCGTATCTCCGGCCCTTTCTCTAAACCCTGGCTACGTCCTTGCTTCGGACACCAGATCAGTCGACAGCGTCAAACCTGGAGGCAATGCCAAGTTTGCAGGCGGCATCATGGCGGCTTGCCAGATGTCACACGGGGTGTCGACGATAGTGGGACGCCACCCGTCAGGCCACCAGTTTGCGGGCTTGCAACTCCAGCGCATCGGGTAGCAGTTTGAAATCTGACCGTGACAGGACAGGTATCCATTATAGTTATGAACGATGTCGTCTTGAGAGGCATGGGTCAGTCCAAGTCCTCGTGGGTGGGCAGCATTTGCATCCACTTACCAACGTTGAGAGAGGACTCCTTGAAGCTTCCATCGCCCTTGGCGCACTGGCAGACAATATCACTGCCCTCGATCCTGCACTCCCTGCAGCTTTGCCAAAAATTGCCGCTGCAATCTCTCATTAGCAAGTATCCGCCTTCAGGAACGAGTCATTCTAAAAGAGAGTATTACTAGTATCCCTCGGCCTTGGGTTGGAGGTCACCATACACGTTGGTGATGCAGTCGTTCAGATTGATGACGGTGAACGTCACGGTGCTGCAGATCTTGTCGTTGCAGTAAGTCGTGATGGATCCGTCGCCACGCAAGGTAAACTCTGGGCCATCACCCATGAAACCGCAGTCGTCACTTAGAAAGCCGGCCTCGGTGAAGTTGGCGGCGCCGAGAGCAACCAAAACGCCTTTGGGAGATGCAAAAGAAAGGAATCTGACCATTGTGGAATATATCAAGTGTGGAATGTGTGACACTCTGTAAGACAGACGCCTCATGAAGTTGGCGAGAAGAAACAGGGTTAAATATCTCACCCAAAGGAGCCGTTCATTTCAGACGATACATCTTCTGATGGAAAGAGGGCTACGGCGAGATGAAAAGTGCTCAACAAGGGCAAATGATGAGTGCAGCAAACAACGGTTGACGGTGTACAGCAGCGTGCTTGCCATGAGCCAAGGCTCGCAATTGCGTGACAATGACAAGCCAGAACACTATTCGCATGGGTCCATTGGCCTTTCTGGCCACAAGCTTAATCAACAGTGTAATGTCGAACGCTGAGCCTCGGCCGGCGGCATTTGTCAGGCCCTGGAGCCAATCGACCGGCAACTCGACGCCTTTGCGTCAGGCAATCTGTTTACGTTGTCAATATATTTGAGACGTATGGTATCAGAGCTGGTATGTTGTGAATTAAGTTCTACCAAACCTTCACGTGGACATCATCGACGGTCTATTGGTGCCTCTACGCTCTCTGGGGCAACAAACGCAGTGGGCATGGACGACAAACATACATCCCGGAATCCGACCTGTCAACACTGCCAGCGGGGGCCTACATTACTTGTGCCACCTCCTTTCCTTCTTTTGCCTTCCACCTCGGTCCCCTTCCCAGTGATACTGGTCTTCGCCTGGAAGATGTTGAAAACCAACCATGAAGACCATGTCGCCATCTTTGACATCTATGATGTTGTAACCGTCCCATTTCTGACATGGATGCTATTGATCACAACCTCTATGAGACGTAAACTATTAGTTCGCTGTATGATTGTCCAGTCCGCCTAATACCCGCACCAGACTTTGCATCGATTGGTATAAAGGATCTTGCTATCAAGTGATTGATCTCAAATAGAGACTGGTGAGGCATGTTCCAGACGATACTTGGTAAATAGATTGTGTTCCTGGTTGCAACGCTTATCAACTCCAACTTCTATACATGCCGATAGCAACAGCTGCGTGCTAGCCACGAAACGAGGACCATACCTGAGTGGCATTGCAAGACATGGACGCTGGCTTCTATGCCGTGTAACATGCAGGGGACGAGGTTCAAAGAGACCTTCAGGAATCTGGGTCTTCATATTCATGAGAGTCGGTGAACTTGGCTTTTGCCTTGCATGATACACGCTCTGAACTTCCACTGATCTGACTTTTCTCCTCCACTAACAATTTTTGAAGGCAGGTAGGATTCTATGAATACGGCAGTTGCCACCCTGACCATCTGCTCACTACCTAGGTAAGGGTCAAGTAAAAGCAAGGCCGTACTTCTTCACTCCCTTCGCCCCTGCTTCTTTAGCCAACCGCACAAACGCAAAGAAACAATACCGTGGGACCTTTCCTTCTTAACCACTAGTCTGTTACAGATTCAATACAATGAGATCCGTCAAGATGAAGCTACTTGCAGCCATAGGTGGACGTCCCATTAGGCCTCGTTATCACTCACGTCAACGCGCAGCTTCACTCAACTACCACAGCCCTGACTGCCGCCTCATCGAAACCCATCAAGCACATTGTCACCGCGATTTCCGACGAATCGTTCCTCTCTGTACTTCCTGCGACCTTCCACACCGTCAGTATTCCTTGCACAAAGCGACACCCGATTGACGGCACCTTTGTCCCCTATCAGGCATCTAGCAATATAATCAACAGCCGAGCCAAACCCCTCGCCAAGAGCCTCGAAGGCGATGATTCCTACAAGCAGGGTTCCAAGAACGAAGACAGGCCCAAAAACCCTCAAGAGGAGAAGAGCCACCTTGGCCTCCCCAAGCGCGCCCATGCAGCCGAGCCCTCCTCCGCCCTCGCCGAACACCGCCCCGACACCCGCTCCATCTCCGGGAAGAAGAATGCCGGGGGCTTTTTGAAGACCTGCGCCCCCAACTGGGTCATCTGGGAGCTCAACAGCGCCATCTGGGCCCACTGCCGCGGCAGTGGCGAGCGCCGAGGAAGACTCTTTTGGTCCCGTATCGGCCTGGACCACATGGTCGGCAACGAGCGCGGCCAGCTGGCCTACCGGCGGAACGGCTCCTTCTCCTCGACTTGCATCGACTGCAAACGCTGGGGCACATCTCACCTCGCGTGCAGGTGCCTGGACGGACGGGGCGACTTCCAGGCCACGAGCATCAACCTCGGTAAGTTTTCCTACCCTTTGGCGGGAAGGAGTCCAACTCACGGGTTTGTAGACAAGTGCATCGGTAACTATGACGGCCTCCTTTGCTCTGAGTATGAGTGCGGTGCCCGCGAGGCTCCGCCTCCTAAAGGAAACTGAAACCCCCCTCGCCTTTAATCGGAGACTGGCGTAGGGATCTTCTTCTGATTAACAGCAAGATATCTCTTGGGGAGATGGTCTAGGACTATAGCAGCTGCGAGGGAAAACTAACGCGTGCAACGACCATATAAAAGGGACGAGTGACACCGACGGACATAGAACGTGATTGAACGATTGTATTTACATTTACATTTACACCCATGAGAATGCGTGACCACGCTCGCCGCACTCGCGACCCTTTACGTGAGCGGCGTCCAACAAATAAGTGAGGTGACCTTCACTACCTACATTTTCTCATTAGTGAGCGCCAATAACCTTCTCAACCATCGAACACAGAAAAGCATACTACCAGCTGCCAACTCTGGAAAGCTGCCTCGAACTCTCGCCAACGAGAAACGAGTACTCCCCAGACGTGACCATGACCCAGTTCTGGCGGTGGACATCCCAGTAGCTGAGGTCGCGGCGCGTCAGGTTGAACGTCACAGTCTTCTTCTCGCCCTTCTCCAGGTTGAACTTGTCGAATCCACGGAGCACCTTGACGGGGAAGTCCACACCGTGGACATCCTTCGGGTAGGTGAGGTACAACTGGGGCACGACCTTGCCGGCGACGGCGCCGGTGTTGGTTACATCCGCTTTGACGGTGACGTATATCTCCCATAGATCCGGGTTTCCGCCCTCCTCACCACCGGCTTCCGAGAGGGGTTGTTCCACGTCGTAGCCCTCTGGGTAGGGGTACGGCTCCGTCGAGATGTCGTCCACGGTGTCCAGGTACGGGTAGACATATTTCTCAAGCTTCCGGAAGCCCTCGGGGAACAGCACCTCCTTCTTTTCGGGTATCTTGTCGCTGAATTTCGGCGGTTCTGCAGCCGGCGGCGGGCGGGCCGCTGGGAGTGGGCTCTTGGGCTTGACACCCTCGACAACAACGTTGGAGAAGTCAAAAGTTGTGTACGACAAGCCAAACCCAAACTCGAAGCGAGGCTCAATCTCCTGCTTGTCAAAGTGGCGGTAGTCGATATACAACCCCTCGGAGAAGTCTTGCTGAGGCACAATACCGTTGGGCAGATACAGAATCTGCCCGCCCGGTCCAAAGTCCTTCAACGATTTGGGAATCGTGTACGGCAGCTTGCCGCTGGGGTTCACATCACCGAGGATAACATCGGCGAGAGCGTTCCCACTCTCTTGTCCGGGCAGATTCGCATAGAGCACCGCCTTGACGCCAGGGTGCTCGATCCATCGCTCCATCTCGACGGGCCCAACCGAGTGAATGACTACGATAGTATCACCCCCAACCGGGTTGCCATCGCCCTTGCCGCAGTTATCGGCGACCTGGAGAATGAGGTCGTCTCCGCCCTTTTGTAGCTTGAGGTCGTTTCGGTCTCCGCTGATGCCGCCCCAAGATAAGAAGCCCTCACCCGAGTCCGCGTTGGCGAAAACGATGCAGACATCCTGGTCATGCAAGATGGATGGGTCCTTCTTGAACGGGGGCGAGTTGGTGAGAAACTCGGACAGCTCCACCTTTTCAGACTTGAAGGCCTTCTTCAGGGCCTCCACTGGAGCTACGAGGTAGGGAAACTCAACCGCGCCGCTGCCCCATCCGGAGCCGAGCGTGCCCTGGTTGCAACCGCGGTCCTTACAGTAATTGGGTCCGTTGCCGGGGCCGGCGTCCTCGCCATAGATTCCAATCTTCAGCTTCCCTTCGTGGCGCTTGCGCTTGGCATCAATGAAGCCGTCTTTACTGATAGGCAGAACGTTCTCATTCTTGAGCAAGACGGTGCCCTCAGCAGCGACACGGCGCGCCACGTCCGAGTGATCACTCTGCACGTTGACGTACTTGTTAACCTCAAACTCCACCTGAGGAGTCTTGCTGCCAGGAGCCAGCGTTCCCATCTTATCGTCGGTCCACGAGGAAAAGTTGGGGAGCTCGTTCGGGAACAGTTTCTTGTCGTCCTGTCCCAGCTGATACCACGAGGCAACGATGCGTACAACCATGTCATTCAGTCTGTCGACAGGGACGGATCCGTTCAGGACGGCCTTGGTGAGCTCGGGGCCCCAGAGAGACTTGCCGTCCGACCAAAACAGTCCATCGCCGGGCATGGTCATGTCCAGTCCGGCCAAAGCGCTATCAACGCCCGAACGCTGCGCGAGCCAGTCACTCATGACGAATCCTTGGAAACCCATTTCGTCCTTCAGAATGCCGTTGAGGAGCTTGGAATTGCCGCACGCGTACGAGTTATTGACCATGTTATAACTACACATGACGCTCGCGACGCCTGCTTTCACAGCATTGAGAAATGGCCACGCGTAAAGCTCATGCATTGCCCGGTCCCCAACGTTGCTCGACATGGCGTTAGGTAGACCCCATTCCCAACTCTGGCGGAAGTGCTCTTGTTCGTTTGCCACGAAGTGCTTGATTGTCGCCATAACGCCCTGGTCCTGGATACCTTTGATCGTCTCGGCAGCAGCGATGCCTTGTAAGTATGGGTCGGCGGCAAAACCTTCCCAGTTGCGACCACCAGCCGGCAAGCGGCCAAGAGGGCCTATGCAAGGCCCCAGGAGCACATTGATACCCTTGCCTCGCGCCTCTTGTCCGTGTGCTTTACCTCGCTCGTACATCAATTCGCGGTTCCAGGTAGCGCCGACAGTGACGCCCGCAGGGAAGGCAGTTGCATTGTCAGCAAACCGGATGCCGAGCGGCCCGTCCTGCAATTGAAGCTGGGGGAAACCAACGTGAACGGCGGGACCGGTTGTGCCGACTGCGAGACCCATCATCCAGCCGGTTCCAGTGGTGATATTGACCTTCTCCGGAAGCGTCATCCTGGATACCATCTCGGCGGCAATTTTGTAGCTCTCGGCCCAGTTCTTGGATATGCCACCCTTCGGAGTCGGGTACCAGGGCGGCGACTGGCCAGTGGGCGGAGCGCTCTTGAACTTCTTGTACATGACGGCACCTCCGGCGCTGATGATGATCCACATGATGACAGCAAGGGCGGTGACGAGTAGACATAATCGTGAGCGTCCATGGCAGGCCCTTTTGAGTGCCGCGAGACAGCCGGGAAACCTGTTGGAAAGGAAAGCGGGCTTCGGAAACGACGATTCCTCTTTCTGGTCATTTCGTGGTAGGTAGTCGGTGACATCAATGTCTGAGCCGTCTTCAGAGTCTCTGTCGTAAGAGCCACGGGACTTGTCGAGGAGACCCTGGTTGCTGGGGTCCATGATGCGCAAATGTGACGCCTCGTGGGAGGTTTATTGGATGTAGATATGGAAGCTTCGAGCCAACGGGGGGGGGGGGGGGGGGGCGCACGCTTGACGTGCAAGAAAAACAGTGATTTCCGTGTCAAACAAGCACACCAGGAAGGTCTAGCGGCTTATTCTGACAGCACAGTTCGAAGTCACCAAGCGAACCATCGCTCAATGCGCCTCTAGACCGCGTACTTGGGTTGACCGATCCGGTTATCGTTGGCGTGGAATGGCAATTGGGGTGTGATGCTGGTCTACACTGCAAGTCTTGTTGGGTAATCAAATGATGGATGACTCCAGGAGTCGAATTGTGGTGGAAGAAAGAGTGCCAAAACAACCTAGAGGATGACGGGGTGTAGGACGGGGTACTAGGTCTGTTCTCCCAGTACACTAGGTAGGTTTCGACTTGCAGCTCGGCCTGCGGCTTGTCCCATTTAGCGATGACGCCCACGGGGGACCGTCCCAACGTGGGGCGATGTTCCCCCCACTGCTGTTTCAACACTGAAGCTCTCAGCTCCAGGCACGTGCGAGTGACGTCCTTCTAAGAGTTTGGCAGTGTTCCCCGCTGATTGGTGCGGGACGTCGGGAGCACGGGCCTACCGTCCCCTAAAACATCCAGAGCCTGGCTAGGTAGTGTAGTAGCCTGGCACAATTGGATGGGTTGAAAGCATGCCGAATTCCCAACTGTTTCGCTCGCATCGCCATTCCAGTCCTAGCCAACCCACGCGCGTCCCTCCAGCGCTCCCGAAGATCTCCCGCCTCTCGGTTGCTCGTGTCCCGTACTGCTGTAGGTCATGACGGATGGCACATGCTGGAAATGGTACACCTGCAACGCCGATATCAAAACTATGCAAGTAACATGGAGCCATTCGCAGGTTCACAGACTGACCCTGACGAGTCACGACATTCCAGAAAATAGTTGAGCCTCAAAAGAGCGAGCGCCCACGAGGGTTTCCCTCTCCGTCCGATGGTCCTTCTCTGCAAACTCTACTCTCATGCCAATACCTATCCGTATCATGCACAACCTGGACCGCCTCGCGTGACGGGCACCCACGAGGCTGGATTGCAGCTCTCGGCCCCAAATAATGTGCGGATAAGTACATGGCTGTATGAAGGCGACGAGTTTCGTTGGATATTTCATAAAAATCCGCAAGATGCAGTTGCACGACTGAGTCGCTGTGTCGACCGTCAAGGATTGTCAACAACCTTCAGTTCAAGTACCCTTGCCATATTTAGCGGGTTCGTTGTAGAGATTTCGAGAGGCCTGGTAAAATACTTCTAAGCCGTCGGGTATTCATACCCTGACCCAATTGACAGTAGCCCTGCATATTGCTAGGTCGTTAAGCCATGGCTGTTTTTATCGCTAGAGGAAAGGTGGCATATGCGACAATGAAAGAGGAATAGAAAGCCCGCCAGTCGGAGACTGCGCGATCAACCTACCCTAGATTTCCGGTCTACGCCGAGACGGAGGCACTACCGCATGGTAGGCCGAGCTTCTCCTATAGGACATCCATGACCGGAACAATCCTCTGGTCCGGAAACAGCCCGCCTACCCAGAGCCGCTGTTGCCTGTGCGTGTAGATCTTGCTGTTGCCGAGTTACTTGCGAGCAACGAGACAGACAGCGTCGTTGGATTGGTAATTCGGGCATCAAAAGCCCTTCCCAGCGGAGCGAAAAAGACGAGGTACGGAGACAGGGGTACGTACCGTTACAGATAATTCAGGCGAGTATGGAGAGGGCCGGGTGCTCCAACCAATGAGACGCTCACGATAGGGGACAGGCTGCCCTGGGATAAGTCCCTTAGTGCGTACCCCAGCAAAAAAATTTCACATGGGCCAAGTATGCGATTCTGCTGGTGGATAACAGGGACAAAGAGGGAGAGGGAGGGGGAAATCGCGCCCGGACATGCCCAATCTACCCAAGGTGGGAAGGGAAAAAAAATTGTGCTGCTACGGGGAAACTTTGGTGCTGACAACCTTCTCTCTCTCTCTCTCTCATACAAACGCACTCCCGCACAACTCGGAGTCCAAGAGAGAGGACAGACGAGCGCTTTTCTCCCCCTCTTCCTCCTTCGAAATAGCAGAAGCGAGGTCCTTTTTCCCTCATCCCTTTTCTTTCATTCTCTCCTTTTCTCTCTATCATTATACAGAGTGTTGGCCGCCGCATCTATGCCTCACCCTGTAACCCCGCCCTTATCGCAGCAAGAACAGCAAGCGACGATGACCGTCGTGGCCAAGGGCGATGCCCCTCCCCCGCCATCCCAGGAGGACGTTTCCGCCTTCCTGAACTCGATCTTCACAGCCACCACCTCAGCCGCCTCGGTCGATGCCGCATACGGTCTTTGCGAAGTCCTGAATAACACGACTGGATACGCTGGTCTGCACCAGTATGGGATCCTCGCCGAGGTCAAGAAGGCCGCTGCCAACAAGAAGTCCGCTCAGCTGCGCGAGTCTGCCCAGAACCTGCTCGGCGCGCTCTTTGAACGTCTGCCCCCAAAGTCGCCTCTGAGTGAGGTCGCCCTCCTGCTCCAGGATGGCGGCATGGTTCCCTGCGCCCTCGATGCGCTCGCTGATAAGGGCTCTGTCGTTCGCGAGTCCGCCCAATACGCGCTGGATGCTCTCTTCAACAACCTGAGCCCCGAGGCTCTTATCGTCGGTCTCCTCCCCGTCCTGCACACCTATCTCGCCAAGAAGACCGGAAAGTGGCAGGGCACCGCTGCCGCCCTCCTCCTTCTCCAGAAAATTGCCGATAAAGCCAAACAGACGGTCGGCTCCACCCAGGAGCAGGCCGAAGAGCAGGACATCCTCCGCGAGTCCATGGGTACCAAGCTGGCCGGTCTCATCCCCCTCGTCGAAGGCGGTATGCACGACCTCAAGTCCGAGGTCGAGAAGCAGGCTGTCTTGACCATGACCGCCCTCACTGGCCTCATGTCCAACGACGATGTCGCTCCTCGTATTCCCCTCCTAGTCGAAACCATGCATCATCCCTCCACCGAGACCCTGCGCAAGGCTATCCACGCCCTGTCCATGACGACTTTTGTCGCTGTCGTCACCTCTCCTGTCCTTGCTCTCCTGACTCCCCTGTTGGAGCGTTCCCTCAACACCCCCACCACCGCCCAGGAGGTGCTCCGTCAAACCGTCGTTGTCGTCGAGAACTTGACAAAGCTGGTCCATGACCCCATCGAGGCCAGAACCTTCCTGCCCAAGCTGCAGCCTGGTGTCAAGGGTGTCTACGACCGCGCCTCCCTCCCTGAGGTCCGAGAGCTGGCCAAGAGAGCCCTCGACGTCATCGAGAAGGCCATGGGCGACGACAAGGATGTTATCGAGCGTGTTTCCGGCGACGACGTTGGCAAGATCCTTGACGCCGAGATCAAGAAGAGCGGTGGCCTGGCTGACGCCGATGCCTTCAAGCTGGCCCGTCCTTACATCACCGAGCAAGTTGCTGAGGATGTCAACCACCGTTTCGTGCAGCGCATCTCCGGCAGAATCGCACCTTATCTGCAGGCGCTGCTAAAGAACCCCGGTGCCAACACTGCCGTCGCCGAGGGTGTTCAGAAGCACTACGTTGAGGAAGATGCGCGCAAGTACGGTGTTCCCGAGAAGGAGGACGATGGCGAGACCGAGATCGTCAATGCTCACTTCTCCTTGGCATACGGTGGCATGTTGCTGCTGTCCCACGCCAACCTTAGACTGCTCAAGGGCCACCGTTACGGTCTTTGCGGTCGCAACGGTGCCGGCAAGTCGACGCTGATGCGCAGCATTGCGACCGGCAAGCTGGAGGGCTTTCCCCCTCAGGACGTCCTCCGCACCATCTACGTCGAGCACAACCAGGGCGAGGATGCCGACATTAGCATCCTGGATTTTGTCCTGAAGGACTCTGAGATCGCTGCCCGTGGTCGTGAGAAGGTCGTCGAGGTTCTCGCCGAGTTCGGTTTTACCGACGGCCCTGACGGCCGCCAGTCCCACAAGGTCGGCTCACTGTCTGGTGGATGGAAGATGAAGTTGGCTTTGGCCCGTGCCATGCTCAAGGGCGCCGACGTTCTGCTGCTTGACGAACCTACTAACCACTTGGACGTTGCCAATATTGCCTGGCTCGAGGCCTACCTCAAGAGCCACCCCGAGATTACCAGCTTGATCGTTTCCCACGACTCCGGTTTCCTCGACAACGTCACAACCGACATCTACCACTACGAACCCAACAAGAAGCTCGCGTGCTACAAGGGCAACCTGGCCAATTTTGTCAAGCTCCGCCCCGAGGCCAAGAGCTACTACACGCTTTCTGCTTCCCAGGTCCAGTTCAAGTTCCCGCCCCCGGGCATATTGACCGGTGTCAAGTCTCTGACCCGTGCCATCATCCGCATGACCAACGTCTCCTACCAGTACCCCAAGGCCCCAAAGCCTTCTTTGAGCGATGTCACCTGCCAGCTTACTCTGTCATCCAGAGTTGCCATTATCGGCCCCAACGGTGCCGGCAAGTCTACTCTCATCAAGATTCTCACTGGCGAGGTTAATCCCACCACCGGAAAGGTAGAGAAGCACCCCAACCTGCGTATTGGTTATATCAAGCAGCACGCTCTTGAGCACGTTGAAATGCATCTCGAGAAGACGCCCAACCAGTACCTCCAGTGGCGTTACGCCAACGGTGATGATCGCGAGGTCCACATGAAGCAGACCCGCATGCTTTCCGAGAAGGATCGTGAGCAGATGGAAAAGCTCATTGACCTCAAGGATGGAAAGTCTCCCCGCCAGATCGAGACCATTGTTGGTCGTCAGAAGTACAAGAAGACCTTCCAATACGAAGTGTAAGCAACGGACGGCCCCTCAAGCTGATAATGAAGATGGACTAATACAATGAAGCAAATGGCGTGGCTACCTCCCCAAGTACAACACCCAGGTCTCCCGTGAGACGATGATCGAGTGGGGTTTCTCTAAGCTCATCCAAGAGTTCGATGACCACGAGGCTTCTCGTGAGGGTCTCGGTTACCGTGAGCTCCAGCCCACCGTCATTTCTAAGCACTTTGAGGACCTCGGCTTGGACCCCGAAATCGCCAACCACAACGAGATCGGCTCGCTGTCTGGTGGCCAGAAGGTCAAGGTCGTCATCGCCGGTGCCATGTGGAACAACCCTCATTTGCTGGTGCTCGACGAGCCTACTAACTTCTTGGACCGTGATTCCCTCGGTGGTCTTGCCGTCGCCATCCGCGAGTTCAAGGGCGGTGTCATCCTCATTTCCCATAACGAGGAATTCGTCGGTGCTCTGTGTTCCGAGCAATGGCACGTCAATGACGGCCGCGTCGCCCTCCGCGGGAACGCTGCCATCAATCTCGGCTCATTTGAGGACAGCAGCGCACCGGGCAGCGCCATTGCCTCCACGGCGGTGTCCAGCGTCGCCAACAGCGTCGCCAACAGCGCCGTCAACTCGGGCGCCGAGGACAACTCGGAGATGAAGTTCCGTGCCCGCAAGAAGAAGAAGAAGACCAAGAAGGAGCTCAAGGAGCAGGAGGTCCGCCGTCGCCTCCGACACATTGAGTGGCTCAACAGCCCCAAGGGAACCCCCCATCCTCCTGACACGGATGACGAGGAGTAAACGCAGTCATGATTGACGATGATACGACCGCGTCTTCATAACCTTTTGTCCTTTTTTCTTTTTTGTTTGTGGAAAGAAGTGGCTGATCCTCGGTCAACCTCTGAATAAAAAGTTGGGGTTTTGCTTTTCACATATATCTTGGGAATAGAGAGATAGATACCGAGGCGGTACCTGCTAAAGCGCATTCAGGTTTACCACCACCAGACACGGCCAAAGGGGAGGCCCGTAGAGAAGAGAGGGGCGGGCTACCTCGTGTTTGGAACGGGATTAGAACGGCGTTCTGCATATAGACGGGATGGGAATCAGGCGGTACATTTCTTCTTCATGGTTTCCTGTCGCGTTGTTATTTTCGAATCCGAGATTGTCACCACGGGCATGACAAGACAGAAGCACCCCTAGACAGCTATTCTGAACGATGGAGCGGCTTTGATCCGATCACTCGGCGCTTTTCTTACCTCCCTCGCGTCTCTTCGTTGGTTTTTGTGCTGGTGTGCCAAGTCTCGTGACATATTGTGTATCGAGTGAGTTACTGCTTCCTACTCGACTTTGTCTTGGGACTCGGGAACCCCCCCCCCTGGCTTGAACCAACTCCACTTGTCTGTGTCCTGCTTTGGCGCTTACCACAAGTCCTCACCGACAACGTTCGGCGTACATATATAGTCAGCAAATGAAGGAGAGGCTCTGTTTACTCAAAATCAACCTCATCTGAATTTTTGCGAAATTGGGATTATATGCCAATGTTTGAGTGTTTGTCCGTCTTGGAAAAGCGACATCTACTTCATACCCCGTTGTTCCGTGGTCCAAGCCATGTTAACGTTACCCTACTCCATCTAGACCCGTTCCCGGCCACCAGCTTTGTGGTCATGAGGTAAAATTAGTCTTCAGATAAAGGTGCAAATTGCTGCATATCTGGGAAGAGAGGATAAGAAAAGAATAAAAATATAATCGAGCCCCATTCCATCCAATGTTGTGATGTGCTCAAGCTAGGATCTAGGTATCAAAACCGGTCGCAACTCCGTCCCAAGTCTATCTATATCGATGCGGAAAGAAAAGCCAACTGTACAACGTCTAGATGCGCCCCGTAGGGCCCCTGAAAATAGAAAAAAGGAACACACAACCAAGCCATCTGCGATAGGCTGATTACCATGAGAAGGTCATGAGCGCAGGGTTGAGTGCGATGGGCAGGAGCAAGTGACTGGCCGAGACAGTGGCCATGGGCAGGATGGCGACGAAGTCGGTGATGCGCCAGTCGTAGGGGACGAAGGGCGCAACGGCCAAGATGATCATGCCGGCAATGAAGATGCATGAGAACAGCATGGAGAATTTGAACTATTGGGACAGCGTTAGCGCGACTCGGACAGGGCACATTTGATTTGACGTTGGAAGGGGGGTGGGTGGACATCAGTAAGCACCACTGGCACGTGGGGCACATAGCCGACATCTTCAAGGGAGAAAGTGGTATAAGAGAGCTTACCTTCTTCAGAACCTTTGGCACCTCGATGAAGAAGTTGGAAAATTCGGCTTCCTTCGAGGTTGAGCCCCAAGTCATGTCAATCTCAAACATATGAGCCAGAAGAGCCTGGCTGACGTGCAGACTCAGGCCTCCGAGGAAAATGGCGAGGAGGAATGTCCACTTGATGTTCTCCCAAAAGGCCCCCAGCAAGCTCTTCTCGCCGAGGCGGTAACGCATGATGGCCAGAGCGACGTTGCCAAGACCGTTGAAGACGATGATGATGGAGAACCAGACCTGCCACGAGTCGACGTAGTACTTGTCAAGATATCCGTTGTACCAGCCCATGAGGAAGTAGTTGACGGAGGTCATGATCCAAGCAGCACCGATGGCATAGTAAGTGCCAATGTACGAGACGACGGTGATCTTGGAGGTGAAACGAATGTTGCTGAACAGGAACTTGCGGAACAGGGGGGTAAAGGGGCCTCTCCAAAGCCAGGTGCGGATAGGATGGAAGAGAAGCTCGTTGCAGCCGTAGGCATACTTCTCCCAGCGCGCAAGCTCGTCATACACGGTAAGAGACACACCCTCTTTGAAACCCTCGCCGGCCCAAGCAGCTAAGCGAATGATATAGCCTTGGCACTGGAGACGGAGCGACATATCAAAGTCCTCGGACACGTGCGACTCTGACCAAAACTTCTCGTAGCCATCCTCATCGAAATAGCCGACCTGCTGGATGGCACTCCAGCGGAGAATGGCATTGTGACCGACGAAAGGGGCAACATCACCGTTGGAGACGGTGTATCGAATGGCGCTGTAGATCAGGTTGGTGAAGAAGGTAATGCCGTTCTCGAAATACGTGTGGACGACCTGCATGACACCAGAAGAGAATTGCATGATACCGACGTCGGGAGATTGCTCCATCTCAGACACGGCGTCCAAGAAGCAGTCGGCAGGGACCTGAGTATCGGAATCGATGATGAGGATGTAGTCACCGACACGGATGTTACCGTCGGCCCAGGCACGGCCATCTTGCTCGAGAACATCTTTCAGTGCATGCTCATAGGCCTGGGCTTCATCATGTTGGGTCCATTCAGCGGGGCGGTTGATGGCCTGAAGCTTCTCTTCGACCTTGCAGGAGATCATCAGGCCAAAGTTCATGTTGGACGCCTTCTTGAACTTGCCCTTGCGGGTGAATCCATTCTCGCCGTGCTTGGGACGCGCAACCCAGCCAATGCTGTTGTCAGCGTAGAACTCGATACGTGCGCGGCGCTCCTCTTCGGAGATCAACTGGAGGCCGTCGTCGTTCATGAACATGTTGGCGGAGCCACCTTGAAGTTCGTAAGTGGACATGGCCTGCTTGATGGACTTGACCGTAGGTACAATGACACCAGCGAGACCCTCCTTGTACACTGGGCATTGGACAGTAACGTGGGGCAGGATCGAGCCCTGCAGCCTCGGGGGAGGCCGAGCCGAGTAGAACTTGGAGTTGATGGTCAACTGACGGATGGGTCCGAAGATCTGAGCCAAACAACCAACAATAACCTGAGCGAAGAAGAGGGTGAAGAAGATCTGGAGCGGAAACAGAGCAACAAGGACCAGGCGCAGGTACTCTCCATCGACGGAAACCTCTATGGCGAGTTGTCTCCAGGCGGCGCCGAGAGAAACAACGACGATGACGAGCGTCAAGGACACCAAGTAGGTGTTGAGAAGATGGACAGGTCTGCTCTCAGGCTTGATCTCACCACTCTCCTCGTCGATCTCGTATTCGACAGCGTTGGGGCCCTTCTTCTCGTCGCCCTCTTCATCCTCAGCACCAGCTTTCCAGACTAGCTCCATGAGCTCCGACTCGATCGCCTTGGCTCTCTGAACCAGGTGCAGGGCATCGTCATCCCAGACAACCAGAAGACCTTCGGCGGCAATGAAAGCGGCGAACTGATGCTTTCTCGCTCTGGGAAGATCCTCAACAGTGGGGAGGATCTGAACTCTGAGACCGTTCATCAGAGGGACGTCGACGGCGTCGGGAGACCATTGGAGGAATGTCTTTATGACGCGAGAGTTGACGGTCATGGCGCACTGAACGTTGAGCGCGGAGCAAGCCTGAGCGAAGGGCGAGTTGCCGAGCTGCGGTGGGCAGGCCATGTACTGGCCTCTGGCCTTGCGCAGAAGCACACCTTCGATCTCGCCGGATCCGTCGCTGACCCAGAGGTGAGAGCACTGCTGCTGGTAGAGGTAGTTGACCATGACCTCGTGCTTTATGTCGTCGAGGAACATGGAGCTACCATTGGAATGCGTAGACCGGCCGGAAATGGATTGAGGCCGAGAATTGTAGCGAGGGGTAGGCGGTTGAAGCTCCATGTCGTTCGTCGCCTTGGAGGGCCCCTTTTCCGTCATTTGACCCGTGGTTGCGCGGCCAGGCTGAGGCGTCGAACTGCCATTGCCAGATGTTTGGGCCTTATCGGCTTTGAAATAGCCACCGATGCCCATCTTGTCGAGGATGGGGGCTGTGGTGGTTTCTTGGAACTGAGGAGCTCGCGGGCGGAGTAGAAAGATTACCTGCTCTGCAAGTGTTCAGAGAGTCGTCGACCAAGTGTAGAACGATTCGGGCTGGTCCAAAGCGATGTTAGTATTGGTGCTGCGATATACTCACTCTGAGTGGATTTAACACGGCATAACGGAGCAGTACCTCTAAGAGTCACACAAAAGCAATACGGTGGAATCTGCGGTGTTCGAACAAGAAGAGCATCCAACAGGAGGCCGAACCCAAGGACGGATGAGACCAGGTTGCTTGGAGGATCGGGGGGGTTGGAAGCGATAGTGAGTGTATAGGTTTCCAAGTGGAGCCGGAGGGGCAGCGTAGCGAGAGTATGGAGATGTTCAAGCTACCATTGACGAAGGCAAAGATTTGTCGGGCTCGAGGTCGAGTTGAAGTCTTATCGAGGAATGCAGGCCAAAGGACAAGCGACAAGGCTCAAAGTACAAACCTCTGTCTCTCTGCTAAGGTCGCCTTGGGGGGTTAGTCTGGCGGACTATCTCGAGGGATGAACGAAGGAAAGACAAGTGGGATCGTGTGGAAAGGCGAGGGAGGGATGGAGATGATATTGAGGGGAGAAAGACACGGGGATGATGAGCGAGAGAAACAAGGCCAGACCAATTGGGCAAAGCGTCGATGAGCCTCGCCAGCAACACAAAGTAGGGGTGCCAACGGATAGTGCAGTGAACCAGTCTTGGAGGCAAAAGGCCGGCGGCGGGTGAGCAAGTGAGCGGGTTGCTTTGCTAGACCTGCGAGAGCGAGCTTAGGCCAAGATACAGATGGAGACCGGGGCTAGAGGTCCATGGAGCAGACCAAAGGGGGGTGGGATGTAGACACGGGTATGGACTGAATGTACTTGGACACGCCGTTCCCGAGAGGGGCCGGGCCAGCGTTACGGGATGGGGATTGGGAGATGCAAGAATCGTTTCCGATGTAAGCAGACGGACGGGGAGGCTTGGTCTACGGAATGGTTGAAGGGGATAGACAACAAGGAGACAATGGGGCGTGGGCGTGGGCGAGTGCTTGAGAGGCGTCTGGTGTCTGCCAGGAAGAGGCAAGAGACTCGGAACTGAGAAGTACCAACATTCGTACATCGTGGCTGCCCCAGGAACAAGGAACTACTACACCATGTGTGTGCTAAATGGGAAGGTGCAAATGGGACATGTTGTGGACAAACGAGCACAACAAGGGAAAGGACCATCGAGAAGAGGGTGTGGGCAGGGGTGGGACCGGGGCCGGGGTCAAGGGTCGAGGAAGGAGCGCCGGACTGGCACTGGGACAAGGGTAGAAATAGTCGGGCTTCTTGGCTCCGCCCGACTGACTTTAGCGTTCCGCCTGTGCCTGAGCCAGTGCCTCAGCCTGGTCTGTGTCCCAACTGTTTGATGGGAAGTTATGGGTCCTCCGGGCGCGCTAGGCGGCCCCGGGAGGCTGTCGCCCGTTCGGGCCCCCGACTGCCATTCCCATTGGTTCGTTGGTTGGTTAACTGACCGACCGCGCTTGACTTTCGAGCTCTTTCTTCTCGTCCCTCGCGACTGCTTGGTGCCTGCCTTCTCTCCAACACAACACCCTCACTTTGGGCGTCTCCCCATTCGCTTCGGCCCACGACTTCCATCGGACTTTGACTTTAATGACGAACGGGCCACCGAGCAGTGACGGTCTACAATGGCCACCGCGCCGTTGCCCTGGTGGCGCTCTGCCATTTTTACCCATGAAGTCCCCCAAGCCACCCTAGTTCATCGTCTCGCTTCCTAACAATTCCTCGCCAAGCAAAGAAAATAAACTCGAGTCTTTGATTGTTTCCCGCCGCCTATACGAAACGTGTTGGCGCTGCGATTTCTGCTCTGTGACGCCCATGACACTTCTCCTCTTCCGGCGCCATACACCGAGCCGATGCCGGTATCCTTACTTGGCATCTGCCCATGCCCCTCCCGCCGTTGACACGGTGCCACACTACAACTGAAGATTCTGGCAAGGCAAGCATATCTACGATGCCCATGTATGCCCTCCGAATCCTCGATCGGACAAAGAATCGGAGAACCCGAACTGAACTCATTACTTCCATGATTGAGATCATCACTTCCACGATTGACAGGTGAAGGGGCAATGCTCGATGTTACTAGGGCTGCGATGCCACATCAGTCAAAACACGTGCTTCTTTATGGACTCGCAGCATCGTCCTCCAATTTGCATTGCCGTATTAGATTCGAAACATGTCGGGCTTATCATCAGCGTGAGCCCAGTGGGCTTGGTTACCGACACTTGTGACACCTGCTTGCTGGGTGTCATTGACCGTCAGTTCTCAATCAGCGTCCTTGGATCTGCTCGCCATCACGCTCTCGTCATAAGAATCCCGGGTCATTTCGTATCCTGATGGGCAGGTAACTAACAGAGCCATCTCGGCTGTTGCTCACCCTTGGGTGTGCAAGATTGCCTCTATCAGGCGCTTAAGGTCGCAGGTGTGTGTCAAACACGTGGCTTTTCCTCATGGCAGCCTTCGATCAGCCTGAAATTCCAATAGCAGGTGGCATCGATATCAGCCATCAGCCAAGTAGATGTCTAGACTGCCCGGTTGCCTTGAACTGAGATGAGGGGAGCACCCAGCAGTGCGGATGGGGTCGCCCGCTTTCATCTCCTTGCGCCGCTAGTAGGGCATTCTATCGATTCGTGCAACTCAGCCAATGGCGCAAAATGTTGCACGATGGCTTGTTCAGCCATACCGGCGCCGCCTGTTGAACTGGATTCTGGGCTGGCTGAGAAGGCGCCCCACACAGGGTACTGAACATTCAATAGCTTCAATATCGAGTGGGCTGGACCCGAAAGTGCGGCTGTACCACGCGAAAGAGCCCTCCCCGCAAGAAGACAGGCGCATTTTGAGTGAGGCGGCACTGTGATGAGTGATGATGGCACATGTGATGGTTGCTCATGCTCGCCGTGGATTGTGTCCACCGTACGTGATGACTGCTTGGGACACGCAGCAACGGAAGACAGATACGAGATCGCCGAATATGGCCATGACTCTGAGTTACCAACCCGGAAGACTGGCAACTAGCATACAGCAAAACTACAAATGACGTTTCACACCACCAATGTTGCAAAGGCGCAATCGTGACATGGTGAGGACCCAGACGACGGACGGTCATGTACTACTACCATGGTTCCCACGCTCTGATGATCCAGGGAACCAACCTGGTTCCTCGCGGGGCTTCCCGCGGCGAGACAGGGCGAGATACTGAATCTTTCTTGATGCTGCTAAAGCGGCGACAGGAACATCGGTAGGTGGCGCAAACAGGGGTTCGTCGACCTTGCGATAATGCATCCTGCATACGCCACCAGGCAGGAGTCCCATTTCGAGGATAGCGCAGAAAAGACGAAAAAAGAAATAAATAAAAAAAAGAAAAAGAAAATCCTCGATATCGAAGCCAGGTACGTACAACCCGTGAAAAGACGCTAACGGGAGTGCATGGGAAACCAGATCAAGCCGAGATTCTAGCACGCCTAAAGCTGCCCAGTACTCCGCAGTGCACAACTGAAAGGGACGGCCAAAAGAGCTAAGGGAATATGAGACGACGGCGCGATGCTCGAGTCCGGTGCACAGGACGAACGACGGAAAGTCCCATTGGCGGTCCGGTCTTTCATCGCCCTTTGCCCATTGCGTCCCTTTCTGGAGAGGAATAGAAGCTGCAGAACGGCAAGAAACGAAAGCCACTGAAGCCATGGCGCGTCGTCGTCGTACCAGCGGCGTGAGAGGGGGGGGGGGGGGCAGTGCAAGCAAGCGGCAAGCGGCAAGCAGCAGCCGCCCACCCAGTGGGGCACGGCAGGATGGAATACAGTCCTGAATCCGCTGTAGCAGGTTGTGATTACCAGTGCTCGGCTGCTGCAAAAGGTGTATTAAGAAATGGGGGCCATCCGGCTCTGGTGTAGGGCAGAAGGGCTGAACAGACGACCTGCCGAGACCCGTTATCACGAAGCAAGCAGATTCGGATGACAAACTCTAATGGCTGGGAAATTGTCATGACAGCAAGAATCATGCATATGTACTGTAGTATCCGTAGTGTACACCACTAACCAGGGGGTGGTCGTGCTTGTTCTTGGGGTGTTGCCCACCACTAACTAACACGCCAATTCTTCGTATTTGACGGTGGGTTGCAGCTACGACAAGGTTGTTAGACGGGCCAAGCTGCCGCGGTGCCAGCCCACCAATCCAGGGCTCATAAGGCCACACACACACACACACACTCACTCCCTCATACCTACCCTCTCACGCCGAAACGACCACTCAGCTCATTCGCCGTTGGGATCTCCGAAAGGAACGGCACGAAAATCAATGTTCTAGCCAGCCACGATGGTTGGCTGGATGGGATGGGACGAGCCGACAACGCAACGGCCGCCGTGAGGCTCCAATCCATCGATTGGACGACGTGTATGCATCCAGCGCATCCAGTGAGACCGGTCGGCCTTCCACCTCCTGTGCGCTTTTCAATCATAAGCGAGGATATTGCTATATATCTCTCTCTATTATTAAAGTGGACCTTGCCTGTCCGCACAATTAAGCTTATGACAGACCGCTGCCTCAAGTTGCCACCTCCGGTGTTACTGCTCGTTGTCACCGTCAGCATGCTCGAGCCCGTCCTGATTTCTTGCCTAGCCGCCGAAATCTGCTTTCGAATCAAGAGCAGCATCCATCCTCAAGTGGCCAAAGACAAGCTTTTCTGACCTCTGCCAGGATTCGTGGCGTCAGCGCCGGCGGCTGGCTTCCTTCTTCCCCTGGGCTGCTTGGGCCCAATTAGCGGCCTGCGTATCATCGGCATGTCAGATATCGTGGTTAGGCTTCCAATTTCCACCTGGGCGATGATAAGGGGCAGAAGTTTCTGTTTCTAGGTTTTCTCTCTCTCTCTTTTTTTTTTTCTTTCTTTTTTTTCGCGCGCTCCTAAACCTCCGGCGTCAGGAAAACCAT